CCTGCACAACGACAAAGCTTATCTCAGCTACTCCTCGACAAATTGATTCTCGACGGCTTAACCATCACATTCGGCGCGCAGCAGTATGGACAATAACAATGGTAGCAGCAGCAGCAACAATAGCAAGTCCGTGCGCCGCCAGCCGACTCCCCCGGTTACAGAAGTTCCCAAAGCCCCCGGGACAGTTCCTCCAGAAACCTTTTACGCGTCAGCTTCAAAATCGAGCGCAGGGCTCACACCTCCACCATTGCCACTGCGCCCGAAGAGCTCTGCAGGATCGGCCTACACAAAGGTCAACATCGAACCCCCGCCAACCTATGACACTGTATTTCGCGAGCCTCAGCTCGTCTCAGAGGATACAATCGGTACTGATCAGGTCCCTGCGCTCATCCCAGCCGACGACCATCACAACTGGCCGACTGCTGAGCACAGGTGGGCCGAAGATAACTGGGGCAAAAACGATGCTTGGAATGAACCGATGCCGTGGGATAATTCATGGGCCGGTGGTTCGTCACAAAAGGTCATGGATCTTGATGCGCGGGACCAGGAGGAGGAGACGAACTGGTGGGATGCAGAACTGCGGGGAACGAGAAACCGTCCAGGGCCGGGACTACTACCACCTTTCGTTGCTGAATCGTTGCACAACCCTGAACATTCATTGTTCTCGGTGAGTGTTACCGCACCTGACATCAGGCCGACTGGGGATGTATCCCCTTTCATCCCCCCCAGCCATGATGAAATCCTTCGCGCTGTTCCTCACGCCAATACATACTACTGCAAACGACACCATGGTTGGGTGTTCCTCCAGTGGAAGACATCCGCTATTATCCCTCCCTTTGCAAAATCATTCGACCCCAAACAGCACCCACCCCTCCCTGACCAAGACCGTCGTAAACGCACCGTTACTTGCGCTGACAACTCTTTCGATAAGTCCAAGAAAACACATCACTTTCACTTCTACCCAAAGGCTGTTGATTCGGGCCAGCTCAATCCAGCATTCCATCGTGCCCCCTGGGAAGTCGCTGCGCAGAGAAAGCAGAAGCGTCGGAAAATCACTTCTGCCAATCTCGATGGCTATGCGCTCAAGGAATTAGATGTCAAGATGAACGAAGACCTGCCCGAGGGACATGTAGAGGGCGAACTGCTTGATCTTTATGTCTGCTGTCAGTGCTCCGTCTATTGCATTGCGTCAGAAGTTATGCCCGGTGTTATTGCTCTTAAATACGTGGAGGATTTTACCAGGTATAGGCATGAACACCCTCCCATCGGGAGGCAGCCTGACGAGTCTGTTGTCAGTGGGTGGGAGACACTGATCACGTACGTCCATCAATTCACTTCATGATGGTATTTCATCTCTTTACAGAATTATTGAAAACAAATTATGGAAAGGCAAGAATGGTCAGCTCCCCGTTTCCGGGAAAACGTTTCAGAACAAGATCGGGTGGTCCTCAACTACGTCAGGAGCTTTCATTTTGCTGTTATTCAATGCAGCTGATGAATTCATTTGCAGGAACTATATCTTCAAGCAACTTGGGTTCGAGCTCATTACACGCACCGAAGCTCCAGGCACGCCTGAGGAGAGGACAGACGAGTTTTTGTCACCCCCCGAATACTGAGCCCAACAGTCCAGAAGGTCAGGAGGCACGTATGAAGCTTCTGCGTTTCTGGGTCGAGACGAATGCGTATCTCGTAGAATACCAACGTCGCTTCGGTAAGAAATACTGTTGAATTCCTGTATCACTCACTCATGAAGCGCAGCATCTGGGCTCAAGCACTATACGCCCCACCCTTTGCACGTCAAAGTCGACGGTGCCCGAGAGATGTACCAGCAGGCTATCGGTGCACACCCTGATCAGAGTAAGGCTAAGTTTTGCTGTGTCGGAAGGCAGACCTAAGCTATTTGTACAGTCTCGAGATCGACCTTGTCGTATCCGTTAGGTTCATTGGCGGAGTATGTACCTCTGCTTCAGACGTGGAAGACGTTAGGAATAACCCCCACAACATTTTCTCCGGGTAAGCAGTTGAACAGTCCCCTTGTTTAGATCCGCTCGGTGTTAATGGTGCTTAGATATCCTCATCTTCGCCTATTTGGCTCAATGCCGTTGTGACCCTGCCAATACAATACTCTACTTCACCCATTTCTACGCAATCATCGCCGCAATCCAATCTCTCGGTGGCGTTCCGTCTCAGGAATTGCAGACCCTAGTTTTTGAAGAGCGCTCTCGTGGGCGATTCACGGAAGAGGACCTGCAAAATGCTGCCGCAGTTCTCGGATTTGGCAAGGATGGCGCGCTACGCTTGGAGCTTGAAGATGACATTGAGGACGACTTTCTTGCGGAAGCATGGCGGACGGCCATCAGAAATGCCTGGCGTGACGCGAAGGACTGCACACAGCTCCAACGCGACGCGAACGATGCATTCAGAATCATTGCACAGTCGAGGGGTAGTAAGAAGCTTATGAAGCTGTTTTCTGAGTCATCGAAGAACCAGATGGACCCTTCACGTGCATACTCGGTATTAGAGGTTTCCGCGGATGTGGATGATGAGCTCGTGTTGACGGTGTTCGTGATGCGGGTATGCGAGGCTGCGTGGCCTTATTCGCGGTTCTGATGAACATCAATAGGTCGAGGAGCAGCCCCATCAATCTGACAAGTGGCGCGAAGCGTTGAGAACAATTGCAGAAGTGAGAGACAGCAGTCGGCTGCGTCATTTCCTAGAAGAAGGCAAAGATCGTAAGTACCTGCCCATGTTCATCTTGATATACTATTTAACCGAGACTCCTTAGCTGGAGATATGGTAGCTTCAACACGTGCTGATCTTCCAAGAGGTCTGAATCAACTTGGAAATACCTGTTATTTGAACTCGTTGCTCCAATACTTCTACACGATTAAGGAGCTTCGTGAAGCTGTCGCCTCCATGGCCAACATTGATGTGAAGGCCCTTGAAGACGAGAAGTACTCGGAGGACGATTTGAAACGGCATCGTGTTGGCGGACGGTTAATTACGCGGCGCGAGATACTGCGATCGAAAAAATGTCCGTTTGTCATCCACTTCTTATACCCCAAGCTAAAATTACCATCAATGTAGTTGTCAGCCATTTGGCCGATTTATTTTGGCAGCTCCAATTCTGTGAGAACCAGGCTGTCACACCGACCATCGATCTTGCGAAGTTAGCACTCGTAACATCAAGAGACGAAGAGGAGGAGGAAGCTGACAGGGGTGGTACTGATTCCTCAAATGACACAGATGCGACGCTTGTTGAGGACGGGCCCGTGCGGTCACCTGACTCAAATGGCTCGGTGCTGGGCAAGCGGCCACGCGACGAGCAACGCATGAACATGGATGTTGACACACCCATGTCTCCTATCACGGAAGAGAAGAATGGGTATGTCATGATATCCCAGCCGTCTCCGTCTCGTGGGTCCAAGTCTCCTCGCTTGCATGGGGAAAGCTCGTCAAGCACGATGCCGCTGCCATCCTCGGTTCCAGATGCGGAAATGGTGAACCACGAGAACTCGCAGGTTGAGGAGCAGAAGAAGGCTCCTCCCTTACCTACACGCAAGCCCACTCAGTCAGATTCGGTTATGATGTTTGGTGAGGTACACTGTACTCTGAATGATGTCATATCTAAATACTTGGCTTTAGGAAAGCAGCATGATGTCTCTGAATGCATGGACAATTGCATGTTCCAGATCGAGATCGCGCTTCTGAAATTCGATGGGCTGGGCGACTCGGACAATCAAAATAGCGTTGTGAAGAGGCGAGTAATTTGAATTCTATCAAGCACATACATGAACTGTGATCCACCAGGCTATTCTATGGGAAATTGCGGCAAAGACTCACACAAGTCTCAGCACAGCGGCATCCCAGAACTTCGACACACGAGAAAGAAGACCTTTTCTCGCATCTTCCTGTGAATGTGGCTGATAACGGCTTTGATATCTACGATGGCTTAAGTGGATACTTTGACGATGTCGTTGATTACGAAGGCGAGAAAGCTAGAATGGAGGTGACACTGGTTGATCTACCGCCATTACTGCAGATTCAACTTCAGGTAAGTGCCTGCCCGGATAGCTCGGCGATGTATTAAACAAGTCAATAGCGCGCGCAATTCAACAGAGAGACCCTCCAACCGTACAAATCGCAAGCCTATGTCAGGTTTGGCGAGACTATATATATGGACCGGTTCCTTGATACCGCAGATCCAGGCAAGAGGGCTAGGTCGAAGGAAGTACAGGCGGAATTGAACACGCAACGTGAACGTCTGCGCTTGCTGACACAGGACAAGGTAAGGCTACTGTGTGTATTTTTTGTGAATTAACCACATAGAGTACTTCAGCACGCACCTTTCCCTGCATCACTCAAGAACACGCTTGATTTCTTGTCAAAGCAAGAAACACTTATTCTCCCGGATGTCGATGAAGAGCTTGTCGCGAACATCAGCAGCGACCAAGATATGATCGAGGCTGAGATTGTCGAACTCAAAGACACGATATCGAAGCTGAAGGAGGAGCTGGAGAATATTTGGAAAGATGATACCTCGGTCGCATACGAACTGACCTCCGTCTTCATACATCGTGGCTCATCACCGTCATTTGGACACTACTTCTTCTATTCCCGACATGTACCGGAACAGCCTGATAACTGGTTCAAGTACAATGACCATCAGGTTACGGAGGTGTCAAAAAACGAGGTCTTGGCTGACACCACAGGGCTCACTGCAAATCCGTACTTGGTGAGTATACGCATGACGCTATTCTCGATGCGATTGACTGACTGCTTTCTAGCTTGTTTTCGCGAAGAAGGACCGGGACATTGTTCGTACCGTAAATCGTTTTGATCCGATGGCTTTAGAGGATATTGATACATGATCTGTAATGTTGATATCCTATGATTCCTTTCATGCTCTAGCTGTGTCCCTCTAATCCTCGGAGGATTTGAACACACCGCGATAGTGTATGTTAACTTACGTAAGGACATTTCAAACTTTCAATTGTCATTTGTGGATTCGTCCATAACCTACAGCCTGAATTTCCTACAGACACACTATGCGTTATAGAGATTTGAAGAGTCTGACGGTACTCATGTCAGGGGCACCCTACAACAGTTATAGCAGTTGAAGACAGGGCCTGACATGAGTACTACTCTGAGGACTGAGACCCCGTGCTCAATCCCCGCATGGGTCAAACAACATCTTTCCCGAGATTAAGTAGGCATCTGGAGAGTGATTCGGATACACAACTAATGATGGGCATGTTTGAAAAACTTGCTGTAAGGTCGGTTGTGATTATTTGGGGCACGTTGTGAACGACTGCGACAAGCACAGAACGGTATCAAGGACATATATTCAATGAACTGTATTACCACTCACTGCAGAGACCATCTGGCTAGCGCGAGAGGGCAGGCCCGCCGATAGTCTTGCTCTCTGTTGATGAGACGGTGACTCGCTCTGCCTCTACTGATATCGTCTTCTCTGCAATGCTCGCCTCATCACGGGTCTCGAGGGATGTCAAAAGATTATCCAAGGTTCCCAATATCCCTTCCAATTTCCCTTCAATGCCCTTGGCCACACCATCAGCACTATCCAGACGTGCCAGGATTTCCATCAGGTCTTCTGTTTCATGACCACCGTCCAATGAGCCGTTTAACAGAAGAGTGTTCAAATGAGCGATGTCTGCCTCAAGACCGCTGTCTAGTCTATTGTTTGAATGACCGTTAGTTCCAGTGTCGGCGGTGTTGTTGTTGGACATAATGATGCTGAACAATCTTTGAAGCGACGTGACAGAATAGTCTAAGTTAAAGACTGCTGACACGCTGATGAACGGCATCTCGGCACGAACTTTGATTATAACGACCTCGATGAGCTCACAAACGCAGAGTGTTCAGTTGTTGCTCGAATCTTTCCCCCAACGTCCATTCGATCAGAAATTGTTGCATGAACTAGTAGGAAAAGAGGTCGAGAAGTTCCAAGACAAGTCCTCTGCAGACAACGTCAAAAGTCAATGGGAGTTCCTCCTTAAGAATGAGGTATTCACCTTAGCGGTACGTGCTCGCTTTCTTAGTTTTCATTGTTCGTGACCAATGCTTTTTGCAGGTAACTGAGGGTAGTGCATTGAAGTGCGACAGCACCTTGTACTATGATGGTCTCCGCGACAGACTCGACTTGGTGCTGACATTCACCGAACACGGTTAGTGGTCTCTGACTACAGTTTGTATACGAAGTGCTCACTTCATAACAGATGTATGCGAGACAACCTTCCCTTTTACTGTCCTTCAGGATCTTCTCGAGACACAGACTATCACGTCTTGCTCACAAATATTCTCTTGGATCGAGTCAAGTGCTTCTCGACTCACCAAGGACATGGTCCCACAGAAGGGCAAGGCGCTCATACTACTGCGCACTCTCAATGATCTTCTGCGTCGACTCTCAAAAATGGGCTCTACGACGATATTTTGCGGTCGTATATTGACCTTTCTGAGTGGCGTTTTCCCTCTGGGTGAAAGAAGTGGTGTCAATTTGCGAGGAGAGTATGGGCCTATGTGGGAAGGTGTCAAGGACATTGAGAAATGGGAACATATGGAGACAGTCAAGGGCCCTGAAGACAGCCAAAAAATGGAGGTAGACGGTGGAAAGAAGGAATCTGCAGATTCCAAAGACAAGGACGGTAGGTCGGAGCTCTGTCGTGATGTTCTGTGGCTCATGTCATTCTCAGGTTTCTACACGACGTTCTGGTCCCTGCAGCTACCTTTCTCCCGACCCCCATTATTTGCCTTCCCCAATACATTCGGAGAATTTAAGGATGCGGTGGATAAAGTTCTACCCGTCATCAAGGAGGCGACCACGAAGGAGCGCGCCATGATGGGCAATAGAGGCACCAGTGGTGTAAACAGCAACCTAAAACGCAAACGAGAACCAGAGTTGGGTGAAGCAAGCAATAATAGCGAATACTTCTTCGCAAAGTTCTTGACAAGTTCAGACCTTCTTAATCTAGAGGTATCTATCCGCTTTCTTGAACATGCAAGTCACTGAAATTTCGTAGATTGCGGATACCCATTTTCGCCGACAAGTCCTGTTCCAACTCCTCATCCTCCTTCACCATCTGTTGTCATTCACCAAAGTCGCAAAGACCGTGTGGTCCACGCCCAGGAACCGATCTCTCCAAATGGACTTTACGCTTGAATCTGCAGATGCGCAGTGGGTCCATGACACCATCACAAAGGCGTCCGCGGAGCTGCGGTCCACCGCTCCAAACGGTCCTACATTCACCGACACTGTGAATGTTATTCTTGACCGGGAAAAAAACTGGGTGAAGTGGAAGAATGACCTTTGCGCACCTTTTGATAGGGAGCCATGGTCAGCTGAAGTGGGTGGCAGAAAGGTAGGGATGGAGGAGGCCACGAGGGAAGTTCGGTTGAAGAGAAAGGAGGGCCCTGAGCCATGGAAGTGGAACCTAGGATCTGAGTCGCTGACTGAGATATGGGAGATGGGGTACAGGGATTTGTCCGACCTGCAGAATCCCTTCCAGTTAAGGATTTTACATCTATTCAATGACTTGATGCTGACCGACCGGGCAGACCGGGTGACGTTAAGGATTTTGTGAAGAAAGTCAAGCAAGAAGATGCTCGCATTGACATGCGCAGAAAGCAACTTATGAAGAATGCCGAACGCTTAGCTCAGGCGCGAGCCAAGGCAGTTGCTTTGCAAGAGTCCACTGCACGGCAAGAGACACCAGCTCCTGCATCGACACTAGCAGAGCCACCCAAAGTGGAGCCGCCAGCAGCTTCGTTCTCTGCTTTGTTATCGGCACCCAGTGTCTCCAGCTCGCCCTTGCATCCATCCCTACCCCCAAAACCTTGTTCATCTCCAGTAAAGTCATTCCTAGAAACAGGCGCATCAAGTCCTGCTCGCCCTCCAATCACTCTCGCACCACCGCCCTCGACGATAGCAGCACCCACACCAACTCCGACTCCAGCTGCAGCCTCAGCCCCAGAAACTTCCTCTATCACTGCTCCACTACCCGCCGCTTCTCTTACTGATGACCAGATAGCTCGATATGAAGAGGTACAAAATACAGTCATTCTTCCATGATCTCGCTGATATGTTTGAACAGAACAGACAACGCTGGTCATGGCTTGCATTGCGTACAGCACGAGATCAATATCTGCAGCATTTTGGCAAGATCGGTACGGGAGACGTTGTTTTACTTGCCAATGAGATAGAGGTAGAGAAGGAACGAGATAAGAATCAAAAGACGCAGAAGGCCGAGGAGATGGTACCTACCTTGTCGTCTACGCAAGGACACGAAGACCGCAAAGCCAACAAGGCGGGTGATGCCACGGGGGCTACAGGGATTCCATTGGATGCTGAAGGGGATGTGAAGATGGAAGATCGGTGATGTTCTAAAGACAATTCGAAATTTCGGAATTCGCTTCGCAGTTCGAATCGGGAGGATGCATGCAAGGCTCGATTGTGCTATTTAATTGTCAAGGGCTTTCTCAGTACCTACTATATTTTTTTCCATGTCGTATTTAGCCCATGACTCTGCACTAAGAAAAGTCTATCCAGTGCTTGCCGAGGCGCAGTAATAGTCACTCGTGATCGCGGCGGGGTCTTCGGGATGAATTCACATTGCAAGTCGGTTGCCAACATTCCGTAAATTCTACTCTCTTCAACCTTCGACGATGTCCACATCCACCGGTTTGCGAGTGCGTACTCAAACTGCACGCCTCATACTTCGGATAGGCTCACATTTTGTCATTACAGCGTGTCCTGGTGACTGGCGGAGCTGGCTACATCGGTAATTACCTCAGGGGACGACCTGTTCAGCTTGCGTTTTGACTGAAGTTTTATCGATTATTCAGGCTCACATGTAATTTACGCTCTACAACAAACGAGAAGATACAAAGTCATCTCTGTCGACAACTACCATAACTCATTCCCTGCGTCGCTCACTCGTGTAGCCCAAATTGCGCGAGACACGCTTCCCGAAAACCCGTCGGAGGCAGAGAAGGAGAGCACAGAAATTGATGCATTTCAGTGCGACTTGACTAGCCCGGAGCAAATAAAGGGGATCTTTGGACGCTATGACAAGGGTGGAATATGGGGTGTCATTCACATTGCTGTCAGTACTGGTTTTTTCATGCAGGTTGGATTGTTCCAAATGAAATTTTTCAGGCGTACAAAGCGGTCGGCGAGTCTGTTGAGATTCCTTTGACATATTACGCAAACAACGTTGCTGCTACGGTGTCGCTGCTGCAGACCATGTCTGACTTTGACTGCACTCGCATTGTCTATTCATCTTCTGCTACTGTCTACGGAACGCCCCCTGTGATCCCAATTCCCGAAACGACGCGTCTCAAAGCAGACAGCCCTTACGGCAAGACAAAAGTCATGTCTGAGATGATTATCGATGATTTGTGCCACGGTAGGCGTCCCTTACTGTACCTGAGCCTCACCAACATATCCTTTCAGCTGAACCGAATAGATGGTGTGCCATCTCGCTTCGCTACTTCAAGTGAATACCTTCCTTCTGTCTGTTGATATGTGCCGATGCTGACTTGCGTACAGTCCTGCAGGCGCGCATCCCTCGGGGTTGATAGGCGAGGACCCCCGTGGTCGCCCAGGGAACTTGTTGCCTTTGCTAGCACATATGGCCATTGGACGTGTAGACGATGCTACTCTGAAAGTGTTCGGAAATGATTACCCCACTCCGTGAGTCTGTTCAATACAGCCTGCTTATGTTCAGGGTTCATGTAAGATTGCAGGGATGGTACCTGCGTCCGAGACTACCTCCACGTGCTTGATTTGGCCTCCGGACACTTGCTCGCTCTCGACGCACTTGCGCCTGAATCTACTATTTTCAATAATTGCCCCGATGATGCGCGCTACAAGGCATACAATTTAGGGAAAGGAAAGGGCATGAGTGTCCTTCAAATTGTTGAGGCGATGCGCAAGGCTACAGGGTTCGATTTCAAATATGAGGTCATTGGAAGACGGCAAGTTTATTCCTCGCCTATGGTAATTATGCCTTGTTTACCTATTCTCAACAGCCGTGGCGATGTTCCTGATCTTACTGCGGATCCTGCGCTAGCTGAAAGGGAGCTGGGTTTCAAGGCACCGCAGCCTCTCGAGGTTATGTGCCGAGATTTATGGAACTGGCAGTCGATGAACCCTCAAGGGTATACCCAACAGTAATTTAGTGGTACAAGATCCTATCTACACACTTCTAATCACGGATATATAGAAGATCAAGAACGAACTTATTAGAATACCTGTCGTTGTAGCTTACCTGACAATCAGCTGTTGCATTGGATGTTGAAGCGCTGAACATCATTCAGCACCGACAATCTAGTTCGTTCTTTTACCATCCTTTCCCTATATTTCACTGCTTCATCCATATCCATGACTCCGTCCACCTCATCAAGCACTTTATCAATGAGCTCCACTGCAAAGATTCCACGAGTCCCCTTTTCAAGACCTAACCTCGTCCACGCCTTCTGTTGGGGTGGGACTCTCTGCGTGGACGCCAGCGGTGCAATGCTTGGATCAACCAAGTACAGCCCAATGATGCGTTGGTGCCCCTCCTTTGACGGATCGACCAATGAGAATGGTGTGATGTGATATTGATAAATATTAGGATATGCGATGCATAGTCCTTGGTGAATTGGGACAGCGCCAATATACTGGTGACAAGGTTTTCTTGCCTGTAAACCCTCCCGGTCGCCGCTCCTGAGAAATGCAGGCGGTGTCTTAACAGCCATGCGAAATTCAATCGAGTTGCGGGTAATATTCTCCTAAAAATGGTTGAGGTTTTGGATAACAAGTCAAGAGATGTCATACACTTGACGAATTATAAAGAATACAAGCGACGATGTGTTCGTTCTTCACGCCCTCTACGCGCCATTTAGAGCCTTGAAGGCAGGGCCGTCTGGTTTCTACATGGACTCGATTTTAGGGAATGGCAGCAGTGCGAGAAGCGAATCATACGATGCAAATCTCATACACGTCATGTATGACCTGAAGAGTCTTCCCCCTGAGTTGCACAATATTTCGGCGCTCTTCAAGCCCACCTGGGTAACCGGTGATCGGGACATCAGGAACAATCAACCGGCGCATGATCCGCTCCCGCTTCTTGCTCTCAAACGCAGAGTAATCCACGGTGTCGCGCGAGAAATCTGGAGGCTCCGGCTCTTCCCACTCCGCTGACGAAGAGGGTCCCTGGGTTCGTTCTCTGTTTGGGTTGTCCGCATGCAAATCCGTGAGGACGTGCTCGAACATGGGAACGCATTTCGAAAGCAACTCCTCAAAGTGGCGATAGAGCACAGAGTAGGCAAGGGTGGAGGTTATTTATGTACGAGAGAGCCTTTGCTGTGCCATCCTGAGAGATAAGGAAGTCGGAAGGCAAACATGCGAATTTTTGCGAGAGAAAACCTGTGGTGGTCGCGTCTGTAATGTTGGGCACTAGCTCAGGACGAAGAAACCCTTCCCCAGCTGAGTCGTAGGCGAGCGTCCGACCGTAAATGAGAGGATGCAGGTATGGATCTATAATGTGGCGCGTTAGCTCGTCTCCCTCGCGACGTGCCAGTTTGTCTGGAAGCGTTTCGAGAAAGTGAGAGAGTTGACAATTGAGGCTTGCGCGCGCTGAGTTGTCAAGTATCTCTCGAGACTCCCAGATGCGCTCAAAGCAAGAAACCTGACTGTTAGTATGTTAGAATGCCTATTGTTGATATCCAGAAAAGAGGGCCTGCCAATTATTCTCAACGTCGCGTGGGCTTGCATAGCCCTGTAACTCCTCCAGAACATATTCAACCTGTTCCAGGCGAGACTGCATGATTAACTCTTCGCAAATTCAAGCAAGTATACCAACCTGATTGGGAGTCAGCAAGACTCTGAGGTTGTGGCCTGGTGCTCGCACAACCACAGGCTCGACGAGAGCTTCGGCGGCCCACTGAGCGCGGGTTTCTGGACATTTAAATAAATTCCACCAGTCGTCTCGACGTCGTATACATCTAGATAGCTCCGACATAGCCAAGTCTACCACCTGTGTGCGACTGAGGATCTATTGTGTGAGAATGAGTTAAACCCGCTCACCGCTCTGGCGGGATCACCGACTCCAACTCCCTGCAGAATCCGTGCGTCATCGACAAGAGGGTGAGGCCCAAAAGGCTCACAATCAGTCCCTCCGGTCATTCGATGACTGCAGCCGAGACCGAGACCAAGGTTACAACTCCACCCGCGCCTAAATTTCACCCTGTATTAATATTAGTACAGCCTCTCAAGTGGAGTGTCAATGCGCAGTGCCCTGTTACCACTCCACCACCATCCAACCAAGGCTGTGGCGGTGAAGCAATGTAACGTAAGAACGTAATGAAAAGACCTCGGAAACCTCGTTGGCTCTGTTGATGAATAGCACCAGAGTCTCTGGAAAATACCCAACACCAGCATTAGGTACCGCCCAAAATATCCTCTGAGTACCCTAGTATTTCAATGAACGATAAATGATCTCAATTGGCTGAGACATTGCAAGTTGCAGGCAAACAGGCCATGTATTGTTTTCATTGCCCGAAAGCGGTAACACTACCGCCCAAACATATCCTAATTTGGTAGTTTCACAATATCAGCCTGGGCCCGGCTCCCTGTGTAGTGGCATATATCATCAATAACTAGAATACATCCAATATAACATACTGGACCGCAATATATACTACCAATGCATAAGAGGGAGTGCATACTAGCTATAATATTTTGTACCTACTAGAAAAAAGAGTGAAAATATCAACAGACTTATCATTGTGTGAGGTCCTTGCTTGCTTGCATGAGGTCATCATCTCTGCTGTAACTGAGGTAATGCTCATAGTTGCTGTAGGAACCGAACAATTTCAGAGTGGCAACAGGTCACACATCACTGGTCACTATCTCAGGTCTTGCGCGAAGTATCTCACAATGTCATACTCAACGAGACCCTGGGTACGTACTAGGGAGAAGGGGATAGAGGCACTAATGAATTTCATTCTGATGGTTTCAAGAAGGTCACCATACTAAGATGAGAGAGGGACTCTGAGGAAAGAGGAGGGGGATAAGAGAGGATAGAAGAGGAGGAAATAAGCAGAGGGGGAGGGGGTGTAGGAGGAAGGAGTGTACCATATTAATATTGTACCCAGCTTGGACGCCGGACAAGCTCAACGATTCGCGCGCCAAAATGCAGACTCCTCGGCTATTCGTACCATAACCTACAGGTGTCCCTATATTCATCTAGCCTATAGGGCACCGTGTCCTACTTTGTTGTATACATATTACAAATACAGAAATTCTCTCTAATCCTAAAATGGTGTATTACGTAATCTGGAAATGAGCTCGGCTCCAAGCATAAACCACGAGCACAAAGAAAACCACATCCTCCTCACACCAGATAAATCTCGCAATGGTAAGTAATACGCAGGTTACCACATTCAATCACGATTTTGCCTCACATCACTCCCCACCCAGTCGTCGGGCTGGGAAATTCGCATGTCTAACTCGAAGGGCATACCGTACTACTTTAATGCTGTCAGTAAGCAATCAAGCTGGGATGCCCCCTCAGAGCTATCGGAGGATCAGATCAAGTCTCTTCCCGGCTCAAAGCACCTGAGTGCCGGTAGCAGCGGAGGTGCTGGGACGATCACAGCGAGTCATTTGTTGATAAAGCACAAAGACAGTCGGCGGCCATCGAGTTGGAAGGAGGTGTGCATACATCTGCCTTTCGGAAAGGGACACATGTTAACGATGTATGCTCCTAGACAAATATTACACGCACTAAGGAAGAGGCTATCGACATTCTCCGAGAATATCAGGCCCAGGTTGGCAACTCGCGCGAGAAGTTCGAAGAACTGGCGAGTATCCATTCCGATTGTTCATCGCATTCCCAGAAGGGAAACCTCGGACCATTTTCGAAGGGTCAGATGCAAAAGCCCTTTGAAGACGCCGCGTTTGCTCTGCAGGTCGGAGAGTTCAGCGATATCATCAGCACAGACAGCGGTGTGCACATTATTTTGAGAACGGCATAGCGCGATTGAATTGAGCAGCGGGGAAGTTTATGCAGACGAAGGTGTCGTACGTCCATTAAATTGTAACATTGAGCACGATATTACGGCGTTTGAAGTATATGCGATTGTGTCTCTGACTCTGATTTTGAAGTTTCAGGTCTAGGGCTGAGTTGAAAGCCTGAAAAGATCAAAATAATATATATGCCATGGCGCCAGCACACCAGTCTGCTACCACACCATTTTCAGGAAGACACGTCCGCAATTTCATTTTATTATGAAGCTCAATGAGATTCTGAACGTTGGCGCTGCATGACGCGGTGGCATGGGAGCGAATTGGTCACAGTGCAATACTTCGTTCATTACCGTGACATCTTACCCTGATCAACTTGAACTTTGAAGGCATGGTATCGTCCCGAGTCTTTCCGTGGCTCGGCTGCCACTGGCCAGTAGTATCTCCCAGGTGATCTCAATAACAGTTTATTTCGCCAACCAGTTTATCTCATTCCCGCTACCAATTATGGTAAGTAGCTTGCGTCTTAAGGTCGTGCTCGTCAAAATTAGAGATCGATATTTATTTGGCATTATGATTGTAGCATTCTGATACCTTTTTTTCTCAAGCAGCAGCCATGTCTTTTGCTATTGATAAAGCGACAGTTATTGCGTCTTTCTTGGGACAATAAATCCTCCATTTCGTTCATATCTTCCATTTGCAATCTGTCTTGGGACGACCACGGCGTGTAATATCGTACGCTTGTTAGCAGTGACGGTTGGACTCATCCCCAAGCTATTGTCGACTGATTTTTCCGTTCTTGTCGCGCGATGTGGACCAATTAGCTCACTCGTTTAACGGTATTTCAAAGTACGTGATTGGATTGATTTTGTCGTACTCCCGACTTTCGTCCTTGCCTTCAGAAATCGGGTGTAGGGTATGTGCTCAGATTAATTATATCTGTGTTGACAATCCTATAGACTTTGTTGTCATGATGAAAAATACTGCTACCCGAGCGGAAGATTCCATGGTCCTTGCCCAACGTTGTAAGGCTGAGCAGTATCTTACGGCTTTATTGTTGGAACCGAATACATGTTTTATTTTCAGTGAAGATTCAGATCGGCTCCATCAAATTGTGCGACTCGGAGCATGATGGATTGCGTGTGGATGAAGATACGGAGATGCCATTGGACAGCTATTACCTCATCATCTTTTTCATGGTTTGTGCCATATCACTGACGCTCCAAGTCGAGTTCCGCTGCAATATAATAGGATAACCGGAGGTGCACCACTTCCGAGATGATTTACACAAGTATGATGTTACCTGTAAGTGGGTCCCAAACTATTTATACGCTATCTCGCATGCCCGGTACACTGTCATGACAGTAGTATATTCCGGGGCCAGCACTAGTAGACGTGGAAATGTGGTGAGAATTGAGATAGCAACAACCGAAAGTCAACGGTTCAAAGACATCCAAATTGGGTAGCTCGTGACTTCTATGTGAAATTTATTGTCGGCAAGATGTCGGAGACTCGGAGTAAACTGAGTGAATTGTGTGCCCACCGAAGTGCAAAGATTACAAAAAAATACCGCGTATGCATATAAGTATATAGGTGACTAATGAAACGAAGATAGACAGCAAAAGCTCTCATTCGCCAATTCGTTGTGGATTCTCTCTTGCTACTCCGACTCAACGTTGGCGCTGACATTGTCGATGCACTGAGTTATCGCGCGCCATGAATATACTGAGTTTTCCTTCGTGGCACAAACCTTATTTAACAATTAATCGCAGTTTATTTTGTTCTGCACACTCAAAACTGGCGAAATAAATTGTGATTATTGAGTAAGATTTATGATTATTTCCTCGGCTCCTTGGACACTCGTATCAGACAATGAGCTGAATGGTGGCAGCCCTGGACTAAGACTTCCTGTAAGAGATGGAAGACTGATATTCTTCCTTTATTATGGCCCAGGCCTGCAGCCCTCTGAGAGTTTTTCTACTCAGTCCCCAATATACATCACTTTCATCGCGTATACGAGCGAGATCATCTTTGGCCAAGTTTGCCGTTTAATTTGCCGACGTTGTTTCCCATCTCTTGTCATATACAACTTGCACCCCAATTCCTGGCCAGTCGTACACTGCAGGGTCGACCGTCAGCAGCTGCGGCGTAACGCGGACGACAGCCTTCAAGCTTCAAAATCCACACCACGATGACGAATTTGCCAACTATTCTGGAACAAGGTCTGACCACGTTGCAAACCTCGTGGATTCCAATCATCCTTGTGCCCTTTGCCTATCTGGTTCTATCGCAGATATCAAAATCAGTAGGTACGCCATATTCCGGAGTGCTTCAATACATTTGGGGAAGATCATTGGAGCTTTGCTTCAAAAATTTTCAAATTTGAACCTGGTACCTTCAGCCGCTCAAATTAATATCTGAACTGTTTTCTAGGATTAGGTGGTCGATTAAACAAGGGAAAAGCCACCGGATCCCATGCCTCAGATCACTCCAAGTTTGATATGTCAAATATACGTGTAACTAAGATCCTCATCCACCCCATCAAGGTGTGTTATTACGCTGAGATCTGCTCTGTTGGCAGTAGTGTTGATTTTGTAGAGCTGTAAGGGCACTTCTGTTTCAGAGGCAACATACACTCTTGAAGGATTGGATGTCAGTGCATTAAATATGTTCTGGTAATCAAAATTGACCGCGCTGTAGAATGACCGGAGATGGTGCGTAATAAGGGCAGATGATAATGCAGTCGTGACTGCCCGAGATGTCCCCAAGGTACGTCCTATACTGTCAATAGCACCCGAAGTCCAGTTGACATTGGCACAATTTTGTACAGATGATTCTTATAAATCCTCGTATCATCCCGGACACCTCATGTCCAGAGGGTGGCCGGCTCGAGGTATCTTTCCCAACGGAGTCTGGATGTGAGGCTTTCTCCGTACCATTAAATCCCAGCGAGGAAGTACTTCAGGATTGGCAGAAGTGAGTACAGCAATGTGTCACTGCGGTCCGATGTCTCTTATCTTTGACCATGTGTTTTCTAGCCTCGATATATCATTGTGGGGTAAGGATGACATCGAAGGATACGTATGCCAGACCAACATAGGAAGGTCGCCCTCGGAGATACTTTCGGAATATATGGGGTTGCGAGTACACTTGGCTATGAAGGGCTCGCGTCCGCGGATCTGTCCGCCTACATTACGGTTTCCCGACCTAGATGCACCCTCGTATTTTCAGGACGGGTTTCCTTTGATGGTGATGTCCGAGGAAAGTGTCGCGGCCGTGCAGGAGCGGATCAGGGGAATGGTGGGCATGCAAGGCATAGAGGAAAAGTGGTCTAGCGACACACTACAGCTAGAAAGGTAAACCCATCTCGTGTGACTTCGGATTGTCTTGCTTGCTTACATAATCATTGCTTGCAGGTTCCGCCCCAACATAGTGATTAAAGGAGCCGGCGCACCTTTCTTCGAGGATATACTCACTGAATTCACTGTGGATTCTCATCGCAAGAGTGTAGACAAGGCGTCACCAGTCATTCGGCTTGTGTCTAAGTGTACTCGTTGCATGGTGCGAATTTGCGGCCGATTGCGTTTCAAAAATAGGTGCTGATTATTTGGGTATGCTTGGGTTTCGCAGCTGCCAAATGTACATCCCGAGACTGGTGTGCGTGACAAGGCGGTACCATTGAAGGTTTTAATGAAGCATAGAAGAGGCCTAGATCCCGCGCGGCCCAGCCTATCGTGTATGGGATGCAACGGGATTCTCACGGCGAATGGGGTGGTGAAGGTCGGCGATTGGATCCACGTGCGTAAGACGGGATTCGTATGACTTCAGTCATCTTTGAAAGTGTTGTCTTTTATTTTTGTGTATTTATTGCGTATCCCATAGTCTTATCGGCTTCAACGCCAAGTAGAGATTTTGATTTGATTTATGAGCTAGGCGTTATGAAATGACTGCGTGCTGCCACGGATTATTTGATGTGTACTCTTGGCAATATTGACACGGTGAACCTAGCTCCGCATGGTTTCCTATTCGACCCAGGGTCTGATGAGCAAGCGTGAGATAGTATGAGAGGTGGAGACAACCAAACTCAGTGCTAATGCGAACCATTAAGTTGTTGCGGTTGTGATCAGCACTGTGGGCAAAGATTTTATTGAGATGAGCAGCACAAACTCCAAGCCTTGAAGGAGGTCAAATGAATAAAGCCCGGCGAGGCACGGGTGGCATGGACATGTCATTGGGTACGAGACCCAGGGGTATCGTTAGCTCATTTTGGAAACCCAAGCCAAATAAAGATGAGGAGGCCGTCGGCATGCCACGCTCGTAGACCCAACATTAGATAACATGAAATCTGCACATGTCTGATATTCAGTCACCAATGGAGTATCTGGTGAGCGCTAGCACTGGTTGCAATATGCTGCTGCACATGTGAGCTTGCGCCTCCGCAGTGCCTTGGTCTGCCACGCGAGAAGTTACCTTTTTTAGAACGGAGCAAGGGGCCCGGCTGTCGGTTGACTGGGCTCGGAATCCATGTCAGTAACTTGTTTGATGTTACTCATAACGAGGTTTCTCTGCCGTAGCAATCTGTCCCCAATTCCGAGTCTGAACCGCCATCATCTTCTACCGCAGAGCTCGTCACCCGAGCACTGAACTATGGCTATAGGGAAATGGAACCCTTTTGGTCAACCTGTGCTACAAACCACCAGCGACCATCCCGTCGCGCAACCGTTGCCAATCCCTTGCCCTGATGGAAAACAGTTTGGCCTGGAGAATGTATGTCCTCTAACTACTCTATTTCCACCAATGATCTTTATTACCATCATTCCTGTAGTTTGGCAACACATGGTACGATTCACTTCGTTCCCACACCCTAACCGCTCGCTCATGATCCAAAAGTTATGCCAACTCTGTTCTACAAGCCCTATATTTTTGTAGTCCCTTTCGAGATCTCATAATTCAGCATGCAGATCCATGCGCCGTTATCCAAGAAGCCCTATCCTCCCAGTTCACTCCCAGTGCCGCTCCCGCCTCCCCAACTGTTGCTGCCCGTAGGAAGCAAACAGAGCCCCAGTCTGTACAAGAATCTCCCCAAAAACCCGGTATCGTAAAACCTCCAACGCCACCGATCCCCTCATCACCACGGACCTTGATGTCAGCACTTCGCTCCTTGTACATTCACATCTCTCAGAACCCAGCTGACAAAGGCACCATCGCCCCCCGAGCATTCATAGACAAACTCAAAGAATTAAATGAGGCGTTTAGAAATACAATGCACCAGGATGCTCACGAATTTTTAAACTATCTCCTCAACAAGATTGTTGAGGAAATAGAAGAAGAAAAGAAACTCGTACAGGTTCCTCTAGATGATTGTATGTGGAAAAACCAGAATTCAGAATACTCGTTGTTTCCACTGACACCCCGATTTTTCAGCGGCTCATTCCGTCAAATCATCATCTACAACCTCGCAACCGTTGGTAATGACAGCAAGCACGTCGAGCTCTGGCAATCCCCCGACGGGGGCTACATTTATACACCAGATATTCGAAGGTACACTGACTAGCGAAACTCGATGTCTGACATGCGAGAATGTGCGTTGTCATGATTCTTACTGCTGCGGCTTGCTGATCGCGCACAGGTATCTTCACGTGACGAATCATTTTTGGACCTCTCCATAGATATCGAACAGAACTCGAGCGTGACAGCATGTCTTCGACAATTCAGCGCTAGTGAAATGCTCTGCCAGAGAAATAAGTTTTTCTGCGACGGATGTTGCGACCTCCAGGAAGCGGAAAAGAGGTATTTAATATCTGCTCATCCAGATTTGATACTGAGGCCACGTCAGGATGAAGATAAAGCGACTGCCCAATGTTCTCGCTCTACATCTTAAGCGCTTCAAGTATCAAGAAGATGTACAAAAGTACATCAAGCTGGCTTATCGCGTTGCATTTCCCTTCGAGCTCCGCTTGTTCAACACTATTGATGATGCTGAGAACCCTGATCGACTGTATGAACTCTTCGCCATAGTAGTTCACATCGGAAAGTACGTCCCCTGTTGCGTGTGACGCTCGTTATCTGTAATCGCCGCTGACACACTTTTCTTCCCTCGTTCGTCTCTGGTACATATAGCGGGCCAAACCATGGTCACTATGTCAGCATCATCAAGACGTTGGGTACCTGGCTTGTATTCGACGATGAAACAGTGGAGTCGATCAAAGAATCCGACATAACCAAGTACTTCGGCGAATCCAATTCGGGCTCCGCCTATGTGCTATACTACCAAGCTGCGGATTTAGACCTCGCCGCCCTTGATCTGTGTCCGACAAATCCACGTGCTCCTGAGGAGCATTCACATCAAGGACTCCCTACAGATTCTCCCGCATCGCTCTCACAACCTATACCATTGCCACCTGGGCTGTCTACAGAACCTGCAGAGGCAGAAGATGCCGAGACTGCGTCTCTACTGCCCCCACCGTCTTTACCCATTAATATTCCCGTTTCTCCTGCTGAGATATCACCACGTAAACTTCCCTCGGAATTTATGAAACCTAGTCTTCCCTCGGTACCTCCGTATCATGCATCAATCGGTCGTAGCTCGTCACTGCAACCGCCCTCGCCAGCTCGTAATGGCATACTCAGACATGTCCCCTCACTGAAGGTTGGTGCAGACAAGCGCGACACTGCTGCAAAATCCACTGCTCCCTTCCCCAAGGCCGAGCCATCATATCCGCTGTCACCTGTTTCACCTGTCCCTACTCTTCTGAGTCCGAACGGCAAGGAAAAGGAAACAGAGAAGAAGAGCACCAACTGGTTCCGAAGGAAAAGTCTTAAATCGGGAGGGAAGTCAGGTCCAAGTTCGGAGGCCGAGGCAAAGAAGATTCCATTGCCTCCTGTCGTTCCTTCGGATGTGTCATCATCACCGTCGAGGTTCCACACTACCGGGTCGACACCGAAGCATTCCATTGATAATGATGGTTCTGGACATCCTTCGGAGCCGGCAGGTCTTGATCGTCCTGTAGCGCCCTTCATGGTCCATCGTCGCCCTTCGTCTGCTTCTGGTCCTGTCCGGGCATCATCACATAGTACGAACAGTCGACGAGATACTTCGTCTTCCATCTCAGGCACTACGTCATATTCTTCACATACTACAAGCACCTCATCATCGGCATCTCCTGACCATCACCCATACACCATTCGCCCCTTGCCAACAGTACCTGCCTCTCCGCAAAACTCGAGGATAGCACAGTCCCCTCCTTCAGCTTATACTCGAGGACACTCATCTGAGCATCCACGACCGCACAAACGGCCAGCGCTGTCATCTCATGACTTTGAACCGCCAAGATCGCCTAAATTCCCAGCTCGGCCGACAACTGCAGGTGCTACGCTTGGTTCACGCTCCTCTGCAGCTATACCTCAGGACCGTAATCTTTCTCCATTGCCAGCTACTACGGGTGATCTATTCAATGGGACATATAGTAACACGCCCGCGACACTGCCTCGTTCAGACAACGGCAAGACGCAGGCGAAAAGTAATTTGTACGAGGAAGGCGCGACAGGCCTGTCTGGACGGTCAAGGTCAGCACATGCGTCTACCGCCCTGGAGGCAGTTTTGCAATCTAGCACTTCCACCTACACTACTAGTGCTATGAAGCGGGCAAGTCGGAAGTTGAGCTTTACCGCATCATTCCCGTTTGGGCGCAAGGATAAGCAGCGCTAGAAGGGGAGAGAGCTGGAATAAGTGTCCCGGATCACCCACTCCTCGTCTCTTGCTTGTCCAGAGCCTGACGCACGTCGAACTTGTATTCTATGGTAAAGATGTGTTTACCTATATCTTGTTTAATGATCTTCGTTCCCATTTCTTGCTTAAGCAGCTGCCTCGCGGAAAGGCTTCAGTCATCTATTTTAACTACAATCGCATACTATGCTTGTATTCGTGCAAAGCGGAGAGTTCTTGTTGCACGTATCCTACCGTTACATCATGGCTCATTCATCTCTAACTTACCTCGTCGCGTCTGTATCAATTTCATGTTGTATGTTAGAATAATGACCAGAGAGAAACAACGATAAAGTCATCGCGAACTGGGTATACTAGCATACAATCGGTAAATTTTACAATGTAACAAGTAATTAGCGCTTTAACTGTCAAGTCCTTCATGCGAGCGAGTTTATCGAGTGATATAATTCACAAATCGAGCATGCGCTCATCCTCCAGAGGGATTGGATAACGCTGCCCATTTATCGCTATAACATAACATTAAGTGTATCGCCAACTGGGCATACTAACTTCAACTCACTTTCCAGGGGTGTTGCTGCCATATCAAGAATATGTAGCATCGTCTCGTGTGGCTTGGAATAAAAGATACGCCCAGTGCCTTCGTCCCAGGCTATCGCCGTCACACCATTGCGAATGTGATCAAGGATATATGAAGGCAGATTAAACTGTCCCAGCATATTTTCGCGGTGCTTGGGAACATTTCGGAGGATATTTTGCAGCATTTCGCGCCGCATAATACTATAGGCATCGTTGCCTTGTTTTGATAGAAGGTGACCGGAGAAGTTGCGGATAGAAAGGGTGTCTGATCGATTATCGCGCGGAACGGAGTAGAATAAAGAGCGCAGACATCCTGGGATGACGAATGTTCTGCATACTGTTCTGGATTCGTCGTTTTTGAAGGATAAGCGGTGCATCATGTTGGACTTCAGGTTCGAGATAGCATAATGTGGTTTCCCTGTAGATCTAAACCCCTCGGGCGCGCTCTCTCGTGGGGTTGGCGGGATAATCATGTGGCAGATACGACCCCCGCTTTCATTCCTGTAGAAGATATTGATCGGAGGTGGCAAAAAATCGCTACTACGGTCATTGAGCAGATGCGGGTCACTTATTTGGAAGTCTTCGATGTCTTTCCCGTAAAAGGAGGAAATCGAAAGCGGGTTAAACTCTCCCGCTTCTCCATCCCCAGGTTCAGGCGTGGGAAACATGGCGACAGTAAACATGACATCGGGAATGATAGGTGGACCTCCAGGCGAGGGATTGGCCGGTGCTAACTGCGGACGATTCGTGGAGCGCACGACGAGAATTTGCCCCTGCAAAGGTAATAACCGGAGGTTACAAATAGGTTGCTCCTTCGAGAAGTTTAGAGCAATCTTCATAGCAAGAAAAGGATTATACCTGTTGTGAAAGCGTGACCTCACGCGCGCATTTAAAAGTAGAGATGCGACCTTCAAAAGTCAGTTCCTTCATCACAATCATTTCGGGCATCTTGGCAACTACCATGTTGGGAACGCCATCGACTTCACCAAGATCAACATTTCGAAGTTCTGAATCGCTGCGAAGGTATCCGAGAAGGCGAAATGGCGGGGGTTGTGATGCAGCAAAGTCGAAAAACTCTTGGGAACCAGGTACGAGGGTAGGATTTCCTAACGCATCTAGTGCATCCAGGGAAATCTGTAAACACGTTGCGACATACTCCAGCGGCATTGGAGCATCGATTTGATATCGTGGGTTGTTCAAGTACGGATTGTATATGGAGGGATCAATGCTGAGTCGACAGTCAGCGTTGGAAGATACAATCGGAGACACAATCAGCTTTCACCTGTTAGTACTTTGACGACCTTTCAACGTCTTCCGGCGAATATACCCGATAAGAATGCTTGGCGTGCCTTCCACATTCACGTACTTGGCGCATACATTGTAAGCTTTCCCTCGGACGGGTGTTTCTGCCAGAGGAACGATGCCACGGATACGGTGATCAAGAACATATACAACCAAACTGTAGTGAGTTTTGGCAAGATTGCATGCAGAAGCGACAAGGTATTTTCCACCGGGAAGTACGACCATTGATAATATATGTCTATGCGCCTGCACAGGAAGGTAAGAGGCGGCAGGCGGATTTGGCAGGATCCAGTTCTTGTGAACTGTAATAGCGCGAATAATTAATCGTTCAGCCTCAAACGAGGTCAAGAAATGAGGAGAATAGTGTGTAGAAGGTGGTAATGCAGGCACATTGGGTCCGATCCTCTGCAGAAACCGTTTCCATATTATACCATGGTGCGTGAGGTTGTAGAACAGTTTGTTGACCTAAAACGAGGAGCTTAGTGACAGCAGGTAGATGCAAAGTAGACATTACCATTCGCAAGCACAGGATATCTTCCACCATCAGGTAGTCGAATATGTGATCGACCAATATGTCATCAGAAAGCATACTCAAACTTGGAAGACCATTGAAATCTTGGTGGACCCGTACACCCCACGTTCCTGTTCCTATTCTGCTTCGTTCATTGGCACCAGGGTAAGAGCAAGAGAGGGCCGGAGATATGAGGCGAGAAATCAGGGAGAACCGGCCATACATGATTGGGAAAGAAACAGAACAGACGTCTTGAGGCGGAGTGATATTTACTAGTCTATTAGCCTTGTTTTCATGTTCGCGACACTTTCAACGAAGAGGTTAACCGTTGTATTAAAAAATACGGCCATGGCGACGGCTTGATGAAAAATACAAGGACTGGATTGCCCTGCAGAAAGTGCAAACAGATCATGAAGAAAGAGGTCACGGTAAAAATTAAGCGAACTACAACACTTTCCTAACACGATTTGCCTATATTGACACGTGACCCACCAACGACTCCCTCGAAGACGTCAACTAAGTGGGCCGACGCGGGTGAAAGTTACCGTGAAACTCCCGTTCCCCAAATGTATCCTCTAGGATTGACCTTGTCAGTTGCTAGTCGATAATGTCGTTCCACCAAAAAAAAACTAAGTGGGCCAGCCTGTGCATAGTGATGGATGAGAGTGTTGTTCCATAGGGAATTAATTGCAACGTTTTATCAGTGTCCGACAATTTTGACTCGCATCCAAGTATGGGTGCGCGCAGTACCGTTGAACAGATTACGTAGCTGGCGGAATTTTCGTCGGTAAATCCGTACCTTCAATACATAGAATCTTATGATGACACTGGAGCTGCGTCCACCTGCATAACTTGAAGCTTTCAAGACTTAAAGTGCAAATAACGTTCACTCCAAATATGCACGAGGCTCAACCAAAATAACATACAGCGACACTACGACAACGCCCACGATACACTCAACGCGATGAGGTCCTTTGAGCGAACACCAATGCAGTAGTGTGTGGAAGCCGCGGTATTGCGTCCGTGAGAGTCCTCCTCGTGCATTCGGTCGTACCAGAGGCCGTAGATGTAACGACGACCGCACAGTGATGACGAGAGACACGGGCACCAATGCTAAGAGAGAAAGAACCTCGGTGGGAAGTAGGACTGGCCCCACGGCAAGAGCGGACTTGTCTGAGGCGCTGACGTCCGCGACCAGGATGCGCGTCAGCCTGCATAACGAGCAGTCGAATCAGAGACAACGGCTGATGCGTCAGAAGACGAAGTTAACGCCATAGAATGGGAGGCCGTCGTGCTTGCCTGAAGAGTCGAGGAGTCGGTGTAAGAACTGCTGACTACTTCTACTACGCCCTGTGGAAGGCTAACCGGAGGGCAAGTAGGCAGTCTAATTCTGTAGATGGGTAACTAGGGTCTGTGCTTATTGGGCTTGTAGATTAAGTGAGCCAAGAATGGACTTCGGCAGACCAAGCAAGGCAGGGATGAGTCCGTCACGCCTACGCTGCTCCTTTATGCGTGCAGGAGTGGTTAGAGGAAATTGTGTAGGTAATCCATAGGAGCTGACCATGCCGTAGTGATGCATCGGGATTGGAGACACCGACAGATACGCCACGGACTCGGATGCTGTCGCAAACTAGTATAACTGAATGAATGCGAATGAGAGATGGACAAGAAGCGCGGTGTAAAGACAAAATTGATAACACTGGCGCCAAATTTTCAACTTAACGACCCATATGAGACGGAGGAGACAATTCAAAACATGAAACTCGAGTCCACGGTGATATCACACTTAATCCATCAGCTGAAAATTGAAGGTCGTGGACTCGTGGTCCTAATACTCTCGGTGAAACAACGAAGAATTGGTTTGACCTGATTTGAAAGCTCACTAAATTCGACCAGCTTCGCGTTCTTGAGCAGTTCTGTGTAGACCTGGCCAGGTAATGTGCAAACATGAGGTGAACAACTGAACTAGAGTGACTTGAACAACACTGAACAAGAACGGTGATCGGGATTCGGATGCTGAAACCAACTTATCCGAGATCAATGAACCTAAAACGGGTTTCCTTCCCTCTCCATGACGCACACCAAATTTTGCTGTACGACCGTCTAAAATTCATTCAAATGCGTGTCTACACCTCTGTCGTCATATCCGAAACTATTGTCAAGTTCATGCGAGTATGGCCCCAGAGAGATCTCATCAAAAATGACGCAGGGGATTTTTGATACGCACCGCGCACTGCAAGCTGTAAGGTGCATTGGCAGGAGAAGAATAGGAAGGTCATATGGCAACCAAATGATAACCGACCTTCGCCCATGGTTGAAACATCAGTACATCAGTATTGAAAGCCTTTGAACCGTGAATGATCCGTGACCGGAAAACTTACCTGGTTGGACGTTTGGCCGCACTTCGCAAGCCTACACAAAAATGCGTTCAGTGTACATTGCAGATATTAAATACGCTTCTCTGTGTTCAGGTACCACTTTCTGGCCACCAACAACGCAAATTTTATAGCCAGTTATTTCCTGCGCATGCTGTCGCTCCATCCGATCCGGACTTCTGGACTCAGGCCGGCCCAGGACATGTGGGTTTCGCTTTGTGCTGTGTTCACGAGCCGTATGATGCAAATCAATGCCCGAGACGACTATCAAATGATGAAGGAGTTCTTCGATGCTCCCTGGAGTCGATGAGAGATTTTTCGCTCACCTACCCTTCACCACATCACTCGTCCTTCCGGGTCAGACTGGTTTTCCTTGCATTGGTATTGTCTTGTTACTCTTCATGCGTATACAGACACTGAAAAGCGATCATTTATAGGCTCTCAGCGGGGTGGCAAAGACATACCTTTGTGTCAGGCCGACCAATGTTCGAGTTGCAAGAAGGCGATTTCCTTCAACTTGCTCGTGTAGTTTTAATAAAACTACGGTCAGTTCTCTATCTTGGTTAGAGGAGTCAAATTCCACCGGAACTTAGGACAGGATGTTGCGATGTATTAAAGTAAACTAAATAAAATAGTGAGTACTCGCAAGGAAATGCAATGAGAATATTCTTACCCGTGACGTTTGGCGCTTGAGTCTCCTCGATTCAGATGCTGGTAAGCCGTCTCTAAAATCACGCGTTTATAAGGTGATACGAGAAGTGTACAACAATTTTTGCATCAGAACCTGGACCAACCCCAAATCTGTTACTTGCTTTGGCTGGGCTTCTAACGTCCACTGCACCTTACGTAGGTTCGTTCTTTGTTACTGTTGACCAGTTCACCGCGTAGGCCGTGTCTCCCAAAGCGCCGATATAAATCGTGATCTGATGTCATCACTTATGCGAGTGGAACTTAGATCTACGATTATTCAACCCCACGTGGAGCCAGAAACATACACCGATCTAATTGTTAGTCTCAGGTGGGCACGTCCACAGCGCATCCGCAACGCACTTCTCGTTTGTACGTCGCGGACTTGCCACAAGAATAAACATCTCAAGCGTGGATGCAAAGCTGAACGCATCGTGGTAAAAGACCACCGTCCCATTTAGTGGATAATGGTGGTCCACAGGAAATGTTCCCTGAAAGAGAGGTCCCTGCAGTGGAAACACAACTCGAGGACTCCTTCAAAGCGGCTCTGGACAAACATATAAATATTGCTTCGGTGACCTTCATCCTCTATCCCTTACCCACTGCATTTACTGCCACTACGAACGCATACACATCTCCTTGACATCTCAATCAATTATCTTCTGGCCTAGGTATGTGTATTCCCAGCTTCGACACCTACGCTTCCTAACTATATTTACTTCTTACCTCCAGATGACACAATCTACATCCCACCCCTCTTCGCCGAACGATTACGATTCTTCCAACGTGGCACAATACATGCCGAACACTGGCATGCCGATGGGTCAATTTCCCTACCCCCAGCCCGCATACATTCCTCATCCAGGCTCCTCCTACCCTTACGATGTGGCACCTAATGCGCCGCATGGTGCCACTCCCTCATACGCCCCCGTCGCACCTTCGCCTGGTGTGGGTGCTGGAGTTGAGCATCACGCATTCCAAGCGGGACCAAATGGTTATTACCCACCTGCAGAAGCCGATGTCACTAACGTTGGTCCAAACCCACCGCTAACTGAAGCTACTCCTCCCCCACAAGACCCATCCGCGCCCCTTCCGTACCACCAACCTTTCCCATCGAATTCTTTTCCAGGAGGCGTGAACCCTTGCGCCCCATCCGCACCGCACCAAGGATATCTCCCCCAGAATCACGAGCCTGGGCTCCCAACAGCCCTTGCTCCCTTTTTTGTCCCTCAAGAACCAAGTTTGTCGGTCGGTCAAAAGCGCGTCGCGGAAGGCCTCGAAGGACGCGACAGCAAGCGAACTAAGAGAGTCTTCCGCAGGCTCAAGAGCGACCCGTTATTTGTGAGTTTTCTTTTCATCTTGTGAGGTCGCATTCTCAAACCTTGGGACAGAAACCCGTGTTAGATCATAATGGTCAACCCAACGGGACATTCGTCTGTTCTCAGGACGGCTTAATACTCAATCCTGAAAGCTATCTCAAGCACCTCAAGACGAAAGTGCACCTAGGCTTTAAACTAGAGAGATACAAATGCCCTGGTTGTATCAAAACGTGCGTATCGCAACTCTCAAAATAAGCGCGTCTCATAATTAATATTGTTGTTATTAGTTTTGCCCGACGTGATTCCTGCAAGAGGCATTGGGATGACAGGCATGGAAAGCCAACATCTGAGGGCGCTCGGGTATCATTCGCAGACGCTTGCAAAAATTCTACGAGTTCCGCCTCTGCTGCGCCTGTGACAGTACCCACCACGCCGTTCACGTATTCTCACCCGTACCCCATGCCCTTCATGTCGATGCCCGAGAACATGCAGATCGCGCCCCCAATCAGCTTGGGTCACGCAATCGTATGGAACGCCCACTGTCGCGGATCCCGGACTTTACCTCCCTCAACCACCAGAAAATAACGTGGTCACAGAGCCTGCCGAAGACAATGACGACGAAGACGATGCTGATTTTTGGGAGGCTAATGAGATACGTGACGTGGATGAGATGTAGTTATATTTCCCTCCTGCTACCAACTAATTTCTCTGTTTTATTATCTGCTGTTGTTTATTCGCATATTCGTTCCACCCACACACATTATTTCTATTCTCTATGGCATAACACGCTACTCTTCGTTCATACTATTACGATCCTCGTTGTCGTTATCGTTATTGTTATCATCATCAAGGTGATTTGGTGATTTGTTGGTTGTAATACACACATTGCATGTACGCGCTGGAAGATCTAAGGAATGAGCGAGCAGGTGAGGTGAAACCATTCCAAAGATGGACTCGACAATCATCGATATTAATATCATTTTCCGCCGTTAAATCTCGAGACTCAGAGAGCGTTTGATCAGGATTCAAATAGAGACCCATACGCGTAAATCATTAATAGGCACGAGCCCAAACGAAAATTATATAGCGACACTACAACACGAAGCAAACTATTTCAACACGGATCGGACCCACAATTCACAACGTGATGAAGTCAATGCCAGCTATGCAGCAGTTAGATTGAGGGCGTGCTACTACCTGTGGTGGGCGTTCCTCTCGTCTAACAGTGAAGCTTAAGTATGAGCAGTAGCATCCCACAAACAGCTACCTGGGTGAATAATATTGAGAGTGTAGCAACAATGACGAAGCCCCCATCGAGCCAGTCTATCAACAGCCGGTGGTTAACATGCAAAAATAGTGCTGCATCGTACTGAAGGTTGCAATCACTGATCCAGACCACACATCGGCGAGCTCCACTGTGCAGTACACGGGTCTAAGGACAAAGTTAGCACATTATAACAAGCTGTGCAGAATGCTAACCGAATAAAATGACAATTGTGCAGAAGTTCACCCTGGAAATGATACGTTGCATTTTTTGACTCATAGATCGTTGACCCTTCCTGAATGTGATAACCTGGTGGCGGAAGAGCAACAGAGGGGCGCACGACATTTCTAACGCAAGATAAACTTGGCCGCCAAAGCGATCAGCATTCATGCCAATACCTGTGATACCGTCCTGTTTTCCGCATAAATGCTGATAATACCAGAGTTGTAGAGGGGGCACCAGTGCATGCGGAGACCGAATCAGCATTCAGTTGACAAAATACAGGGTGGTGCTTTATCGGCAACTAGGAATGTCGTGGACGGGCCTTAAACGAGCCGGGTTTGATGAACTCAGGTAATGCGGGGGAGTTGAAAAGGACATGCTGTACGATGCGCAGCCATGAGTCATGAAGAAGAGTAGATATAAATAAAAAGAGATGGAACGCGCCCATATCCCCATCATCACTAGCACTCTTCGTCTTGCTACATAGCATCCTGGTAAGATGAAAACTCATAAGAGTATCACGCACGGATGAACTGACGTTTAAGTGGAGTAGAAAAATTGTGGCAGCTCTCGAACGAGTGAGAGTTGAAACCCACCGCATGTCAAACCTAACCTTGCCGCAGGGCATAAGGGCTATATCCAAATAACTTGCCAGTTTGTCTGGCGAATACAGCGATGGTGGCTTCCAGCTCAACACAGCCCGGTGGAATAACAGACAAATCAATTCTGACACCAGTCATGACCTTGGAGGGACATAAACCATACACTATGTCCCCGTCGCATAGTGAACATCTCGAGTACAAACATGTTTCATGCATTTCCTATTTTTCCGACGGCAAGCAAATGATCAGCAGATCGGACGATAAGACCATTCGGCAATGGGACCTGCGGGAGGGCAAGGAGATTGAGGAGGCTCTGGAGGTTTGCGACAATCGTATAAATGCAGTGGGGGTATCAAGGGACGGTCGATGGGTTGGGACCTCAAAGTCAGTGAGAGGACCGTGAGAACATTTCATGAAGGCTATTGGATCAGATGTATCGATATCTCCTCGGACAGTACGCTGCTAGCGGGTGGGTCGATCGATTCCGTGCAGATATGGAGCTTGGAAACCGGCGAACTCGTGGCTGGTCCATTCAAACCAAGTGGTAATTTCGTGGACGCACTTCGACTCTCGGAAGACTCTCGGAAGCTGGCGGCGATGTCAAATTGGGGGCGGTGCCTTCAGGTGTGGGATGTCCAAGCGCAGAAATTGGATATCACCGTACAAAATTCCATTCCTAACAAGGTGGTGACATCTTTGCCGGTCTTCTGGACAACAAATAGCAAATCCATCGTAACCGCATTCAGCTTCATTGCAGATGAGTGTCGGATGATCTATGAGTTTGACGCGTTGACGCTCAAGACTGTCGGAGCTCCTTTCAAAGGGCACACTGATAACATCACCGGTCTAGCACTTTCCTCTGATTGTGTTCTTCTTGTCAGCTCTTCTTATAATAACACCATCAAGGTATGGGCCTTCGAGTCCCGCCAGCTCCTCGCTTCATTCGATGTCGAATGCCCCCTCACCCTCGTCCTCTCGTCCGATTCACACCAACTGGCTTACACGTCTTGGGACGACACCGGTATCTACATATGCAACATTCCAGCCAACATCCTTGCTAGCATCGGGCTCGTAGAAGACCCGCAGCCTGGTGTATGTATTCCCCCATTCATCCATCATTTATATGCTAATATTCTTACAGACCAGCAAACCTGAACATTTGCGGTGTGCTGGCATACTCCACGTACGTGGTCCTGCTCTCTCATTCATCTACACCACACCATTCTCTATTACAGTCCGATGCAACACGTCGTCCCATGCGCCATAAATCAATTATAACACCTGTCATGTCTCTCATCCCTTGCCCGCCAAGACCTCTGCCTACAAGCGACCAACATGCTTTTCTTCCCTTTCTACGCAAGCTCCTTTCCTCATCTCCTGGTTTTGATGCGGATCGCACCAATGAGCCTCGTAATCCTTTGGATGTACGTTTCTTGTGCCCGTCCGCCTTTGCAGTTGACTCGACGATTCCCTTGCAGTTCCCTGCCACATCGCCCCTACCTCGTCCACTTGTAAAATGAGACGGGAATGTGAGTGGGACTTTCATTATTATATATTCAACTTACATTCTTCTAGTCTCGACCACCCACCACCCAATCTTCCGTCGTCAATACTTCTCCAACCATCAAATCCAGCATACATCGACTGTCAACTTGGTGGCCGTTTGAGACAAGGCATGCATCACCTGCTATTAATGTTGTTGATGTTCCTCTCGCTCCGAGTAAATTGGTATGCACGTCTCATTTTTCTCATTGCATCCCGAAATCCATGCATATGTATATAGCGGTACGCTACAGCGGGTGCTCCTGGCCCGGATGATGACCTGATACGCGACGAAGACTATGTTTCTCCACCTCCTTCGCCGAATCCCGATTCTCGACAACCATCTACAGCGAAGGTGGCCAATGCCGGAGAGCATGGAAGCGGCCGGCTCTGTTTCTGCTTGTAGAGTGATTTCGACCCTTGGCATTTCGTTGCTGTAATTACTCCTTGCATGTGTTGTCCTCCCGATTAAACCTAAAGCGGGTGAGATTTATCAATGCAGTCTCCTGTCCAGACTCTACTCGGACCTCCCATATGCACACACGGTCTATTGCATGTCCAAGTTGTCGTTGCGCTCAGAAGGTTGTCGTGTCCTTCGTAGTCATAACTTCAGAGATTAGAGGGGCCGGAGAGGATGATCATGAGTTCTGCTGGTATTCGTGCAGTCAGCCTGATTTTTTGATACAACTAAAGCCGTCTGAAATATCCCTGAATCCCATTGCTGCGATCACTGCGCAGACGACTTGTCATTGAAAAACGAGCGGGAACGAGACAAGACACAATATTGATCACGACGCTCGAATACAGGGTTGTGATAGTTCAAAATTAAAGCAAGATGGAGCCCAAGAGCAAGTCCTGAGGTCACAATGGAAGTGACAGTGGTACTGAGCTTAAAGTTAATACGAGGTTAGATCTTTGGGAAAGAGCGATGCAGCCAGTGATCATTATTACTTTTACCAATCTCGCGTAGAGCATCATCTGACCCTTTCGACTTGTAAAATCCGATGAAGCAAAAGCTGAGTCCAAATCCAAGTAATATGATGATACATTTCCGGGTACAACATAAAAAAGCACTCTGATAATAAGATAATCATCTGCCGTGACGACAGCAGCCACAGAGAATACTCACCATGTACACTCAACACAACATCCACCCTAACGCCCGCGATACTTTCATTCACTCGCAAAGATGTAGCACGATTCGCGTGTGACGTGGTGCAGATAATATCAGAGTTGTTGAAAAGGCACCGCATGCAGGGACCGAACTGGCGCCCGGTGATGGTACAAAAGACTGACTGGCACTTGATTGGCATTTGGAAACGAATGACGTGTACGAACCAGAAAGGAAGAGGAAGGTTTGATCAACTGAACCTAGCTGTGGGGGGGGGGGAGTTAGAAAAAGGATACGCTGTATGATGCACAGCCGTCTGGAAGATATAAATATGAAGAGGTGGGGCGGGCGCCTATATGCCTATCATCGCTCTTTGTCCTTGCTAGCATCCTGGTAAGACGAAAGCCTATATGAGCATGGATGAACTGACGGCTAGTTTAAGCAGGAAAAGTGCGGCATTCGAGAATCTTTCAATATCGAGCCTAGCTCTACAGAACACGAGGCTAACCGGACACACCCATTAACCTGCATACTTGCCAACCTGTCTGGCGAATACAGCTGTGATGGCTTCCAGCTCAATACAGTCCGGTGCAACAACAAGCAAATCGATTCTGACACCGGTCATGACCTTGGATGGACATAAGCCATGGACTTGTTCCTCGCCGGATGGTACACATCACGAGCACAAAAGTGTTTCATGCATTTCCTATTTTCCCGACGGCAAGCAAATGATCAGCGGATCAGATGATAAGACCATTCGGCAATGGGACCTGCGGGAGGGTAAGGAGATTGAGGAGGCTCGGGAGGTTTGCGAGTACAGGATACAGGCAGTGGGGGTATCAAGGGATGGCCGATGGGTTGTCACAACTGACTATGTGAAGCTCAAAGTCAGTCAGGTTGAGACGGGGACCGTGAGAACATTTTATGAAGGTCCAGGCGATTGGATCTTCTGCATCGATATCTCCGCGGATAACACGTTGCTAGCGGGTGCATCGATCGATGGGACAGCGCGTATATGGAGCTTGGACACGGGCGAACTCGTGGCTGGTCCATTGAAATATGTGGGCGTACCATCACTTCGATTATCGGGAGACTCTCAGAAGCTGGCGGTGTTTTCAAATTGGCCCTGGGGGCAGTGCCTTCAGGTGTGGGATGTTCAAGCACAGAAATTGGATACTAGCAGAAATGGGTTGAAACCGCCGCCGGTCTTCTGGACAACAAAAAACAAATCCATCGTAACCGCATTCTACCCCACGACGATCAAAGAGTTTGACGCGTCGACCCTCAAGACTGTTGGAGCTCCTTTCAAAGGGCACGCACGCGGTCCCATCGACGGTCTAGCACTCTCATGTGATTGTGTTTTGCTCGCTACTAGCTCTTCCCATGACGACACCATCAAGCTGTGGGCCTTCGAGTCCCGCCAGCTGCTCGCTTCATTTGACGTGAAATTTATATTCTCCCTCGTCCTGTCACCCGATTCACGCCAACTGGCTTACACGACCTGGAATGACACCAAGATCTACATATCTGACATTCCGGCCAACATCCTTGCTAGCATTGGGCTTGCAGAAGAACTGCAGCCTGGTGTATGTATTCCCTGGCATAGATCCATCATTTATATGCTAATATTCTTACAGAAACGTTCACGCCGTGCTAGTCTACTCAATGTACGTGGTTCTGCTCTCTTATTTATTTACACCATACCATTCTTCAATACAGTCTGATGCAACGCGTCCTGCGCGCCGTAAACCAGTGATAATACCCGCCATATCTTCCATCTCCCACCCGCCAAGACCTCTGCCTGCAAGCGACCAACATGCTTTCCTTCGTTTTCTACGCAAAGTCCTTTCTTCCTCTTCTCGTGTGGATGCGGTTCGCAATGGCACTGATGAGCCTCGTGATCCCCTGGATGTATGTTTCTTTAAGCTGGGCATATTTGCTTTGCAGTTAACTCGATGGTTTCCGTGCAGTTCCCTGCCACATCGCCATTACCTCGTCCACTTATAAAACCAGATGAGACCGTGAGTGCGGATTTTCATTATTATACATTCAACTTACATTCTTCTAGTCTCGACCCACACCGTCACCACCCACCACCCAATCCTCCGTCGTCAATACTTCCCCAACCCTCAAATCCAGCTTACATCGGCTATCAACTTGGTGGCCCTTTCAGACAAATCATGCATCGCTGACTATCGTCGATGTTCCTTTCGCGCCGGGTAAACTGGTACGCGCATCTCGTTTTTCTCATCGTATTCTAAGTCTGATGCATCCATGTATAGCGGTACGCTACGGCAGGTGCTCCCAGTGATGAAGACGACGTGATACGCGACGAAGACTATGTCTCTCCTCCTCCTTCCCCCAATCCCGGCTCACGCCGAGGGATTGTCAATGCCGGACAGCATGGAAGCGGCCAGTTCTGTTTCTGCTTCTAACTGAATTTGAACTTGTCCCCTGGTATCTCGTCACTGTAATTACTCGTTGCATGCATTGTCTTCCTACACTTATATCAAATCTATGGTTACTATACCCCCTAGAGCGCTCGAGATATATTACAGTCCCGATGGTTGATCCTGTCCATCGCAGGTCACCAAAGTGTTTTGTTTTATAGCAACACATGCTAGAAAATGAGTGCGAGGACCTCTGAGACACACTGTCATGCGTCCAGTTACAATCAGAAGGACGGCCGGTTGTCTATTCACGCGCTTATAGTATTTCCACCTGAACTAGACACATTATTTCTATTCCCTATGGCATAACAAGCTACTCTTCATTCATTTATACCATTACGATTGCTATTGTTGTTATTGCTATCATCATCATGATAGTGATTCGTTGGTGATAACACACTCACTCCTTGCATATACGCGCTGAGTTTTACAACACAGAACTCGAACTCGACAAGAATCAAGATTCAATATCAGGCGATTCGCATAAAGCTGGCATCCAAGAAGGGATCCGAGCTTGTGTCTTATAATATTTAAGGCAGGTTGGTTTCATGACTCGATGTTCGCTTTAGATCCATTAAAACGGCTCGAACTCAGCTGCGGGTTGCATGTGACCGATTGAAGAGATCGTAGTGAACAGTTTGGAATCTGGAGACAGCATTGGAACAGGTGCTCAACGGAGGTTGGACTCTGGACTCTGGACTCTGGAAAGTGAGTACTCATAAGAAATGAGGGACGTGGGGGTTGAATGCATACAGGCTATCAAAGAATTGCAGGGACAATTATACAGATCAGGAGATAAGCGGTACAAGAACAGGTCATCAACTAACCTCCGATATCACCCGCAAGCGCACTAGAGTCAAATTGTGCTAACTACTTAGTAGCAGTGCCAAGTGCAACTAACCACGTCGCAAGGGCAATCGAATTCCATAAGTTTGATTGGGTTCGTCCTCGTCTTGGCAGTGAAGCATGAACAGTAGCATCTCACTTCAAAAAATTACCTGCGTCCCGTCGGGCAGATAGTGCCACAACATACTGAAGTAGGCCTTGGGTCGCGATTACTGACCTAGACCGCCCATCGGCCAGCTCCACTGTGCGGTACACAGGTCTAAGGGCGAAGTTAGCACATGATAAGTGTTGATAAAAAGATGCACGGAACGCTAACCTAATAAAAATGCAGATTGCGCAGAAAGTCAGCCGCCAAAGCGATGGAGATCACATAACAGGGGGTAAGATCGGAGTTGTAGATGAGGCACTGTATGCCGGGACCGAATTGGTGTTCGGATGACAACAGACCGGCTTGCGCTTCAATCAGGAATGTCGTGGAGGCCGGACGATCCTTGGAAAGGGAAAGGTAGGTTTGATTCAACTGAATCTAGAAAGAACATGCTATACAATGTGCGGCCGTCTGGAAGATATAAATTCAGAGGTGGGACGCCGGGCGCCCATATGCCCATCATGGCTCTTCGGAGTACCATTGTCTGTAGAATGCTTAGTAATGGGTTTTATCACTGCCTATGGACAACCACAGTGTACGACATCTAATTCTGTTGGGACGAGAGGAGATACCGTTAGGAAATCAATTATTATGACAAGTTGAAAATATACCTAAGCTACACTGACAGTTACAAAGTGCTGACACGCAGGGTGGGGTTTGACGCGGCAGTGATGAGGCACTGACGCAGCATGTGCTATGCTTGAAGCGGCATAAAAGTGGGCCTTGAGGCAGTATAGGTAAGTGTAGAAGTTGACATTGGCATGGAGGCTGCGAAGACGTCGAGGAGAACTTGTCGTGACATGAGTGGTGCTTGACCCAGTCTGGATGAGGCTTGACATAGCGTGGTTGGGGCTTGATTTAGTGGTACAGAGTACAGAAGCTGCATTGCACTTAAGAAGATGGGGTCGAGGCTTGACAATACTTCACACTGCATCTGCAAACCAATATTAGATCAACGATTAGAGGCAATACAAGACAAACACGGTGCACACTACCTTCCCGAATAGTACGAACGTGGAGGACAAGCACCGCAAATATGATGAGAAGTGAAAGCAGCACTCCAAGGCCTGTACGCAGATGGACACTCATATATTTGTTCATTGTCGAAGATTCAAAGTGTGTGGAATTCATTTCGAGCGACATAAGATGGTGTTTGAACATGATCTGTACTCTAGGATGTGTGGCAGTGCAGTGTCACATATGCCGATGCCGTGCCACCACCACGGCAGGCGCAGCATGCCCGCGTCAATTTCGCCTGTCACGTTAAAAAAGACATGCTCATTGCTATGCGATGCGCAACCGTCCGGAAGGTATAAATATTAAGAGGTGGGACGCGCACTCATATGCCCATCATCGTTCTTCGTCCTTGCTAGCATCTTGGTAAGATGAAAACCCATATGAGCATCAGGCATGGATGACCTGACAATTGACTTAACAGGCAATAACTAGTGCGCCAGCTCTCGAACAAGTGACAGTTTAAGGTCAAGCCTGTCCTTGCAGAGCACGAGGAGAACCCACCAAACACATCCACTGTTAACCGATCCACTTGCCAACCTTTCTGGCGAATACAATGGCTTCCAGCTCGACCCAGCCATGTACAGCAGGAAACGATTCGATTCTGACACCAGTCATGACCTTGGATGGACATAAACCATCTATTATTTCCTTGCCGGATGGTAAACATCACGAGTACAAAGGTGTTTCATGCATTTCCTATTTTCCCGACGGCAAGCAAATGATCAGTGGATCACGCGATAGGACCATTCGACGATGGGACCTGCGGGAGGGTAAGGAGATTGTGGAGGAACTGGAGGTCTGTGAGAATCGTATACGAGCAGTGGGGGTATCAAGGGATGGTCGATGGATTGTCACTGCTAGTGGCAGTGGGGAGCTCAAAGTCAGTGAGGTTGAGACGGGGATCGTGAGAACATTTCTTGATGAAGGTCATTTCGTTTGGATCACCTGCATCGATATCTCCCTGGACAGCACGCTGGTTGCGGGTGGGTCAATTGATTCTAAAGTGCGGATATGGAGCTTGGACACAGGAAAACTCGTGGCTGGTCCATTCAAATGTGATGGTGATAATTCTGTCGACCTAGCACTTCGATTCTCAAAAGACTCTCGGAAGCTAGCAGTGTTGTCACATCTGGAGCAGCGCCTTCAGGTGTGGGATGTCCAAGCACAGAAATTGGATGTACAAAGATATACTCTCCAAAATGCGGTGTCAACTTTGCCGATATTTTGGACAACAAAAAACAAATCCATCGTAGCCGCATTCAGCTTTACTGATGGCTGGACCACGACGATGTATGAATTTAACGCGTCGACCCTCAAGACTATCGGAGCTCCTTTTAAAGCTACTTCTCCCATCGATAGTCTAGCACTCTCATCTGATTGTACTCTTCTCGCCAGCACTTCCCACGACCGCACGATCAAGCTATGGGCCTTCGAGTCCCGCCAGCTCCTTGCTTCATTCGACGTTACATCTCAGGCCATCACCCTCGTCATCTCGCCCGATTCACGCCAACTGGCTTACACGTCCAAGGATGACGCTAAGATTCACGTATGCAACATTCCAGCCAACATCCTCGCTAGCATTGGGCTTGCAGAAGACCCGCAGTCTAGTGTATGTACTCCACGCATACATCCATCATTTGCATGCTAATATTTTACAGACAAGTAAATCTAAACATCCACGCAATGCTGTGATGACATCTATGATGTCTCATCGCCCACCGAGACCATGGCCTACAAGGGACCCACATACTTTCCTTCACTTTCTACGCAGAATACTCCTTCCCTCTTCTTCTCGTACAGACGCGGTTCGCACCGATGAGCCTCGTAATCCCCTGAATGTATGTTTCTTTTACTTTTTTGCCTTCCAGTTCCCAGTTCACTCAATGGTTTACTCACAGTTCCCTGCTACATCGTCCACTTCTAAAACACGATGAGAATGTGAGTGCGGACTGCCATAATACATGTTAACCTTACATGTTTTTAGTCTCGACTGTCACCGACACCACCCACCATCCAATCCTCCGCCATCAATACTTCCGCTTAAATCCTACTTATATCGACCATCAACCTGATAGCCCCTTCATACTGATTATACATCGCATGCTGACCTGATATACGACGAAGACTACTTCTCTCCTTATCTTTCCCCTAATCCCTGCTGGAGTCAGCTTCCTGCGGAATAGATTGTCAACGCTAGGCAGCATGGAAGTGGCCGGTTTTGTTTCTGCTTTTAATTGATTTCGAACTTGTTTCCTAGCATCTCATTACTGTAGTTGTTACTCGTTGTCCTCCCTATACTTACATCGAGTTAATGGTCAATAAACCTCCTACAGCGCTTGATATATATCAACAGTAACGATGGTCGATGCCGTCCAGGCTCTAGCATCGGTCCGAGTCCCGAGTCATGAAAGTAAACAATGCGAGGACCTCTGACTCGGAAACGTACTGCCGTGCGTTCAAAAGGACGGCTTATTGTGTTTCTGCTTGTAGACTCATTCCAAACTTGTTCTCCGGGTATCTCAATTTTACTACTCGTTGCATGCGGTGTCCTAGCGTGAGCTACAATAAACTACTAGTATTGTTTGTAAAAGCACCTAGGCGCGCATTTCCGGTGGTTCGGTCCCGTCGCACCTTCGCCTGGTGTGGGTGCTGGAGTTGAGCATCATGCATTCCAAGCGGGACCAAATGGTTATTACCCTCCTGCAGAAGCCGATGTCACTAACGTTGGTCCAAACCCACCGCTGACTGAGGCTACTCCTCCCCCACAACGCCCATCCGCGCCCCTCCCGTACCACCAACCTTTCCCATCGAATTCTTTTCCAGGAGGCGTGAACCCTTGTGCCCCACCAGCACCGCACCAAGGATATCTCCCCCCGAATCATGAGCCTGGGCTCCCAACGGCCTTTGCTCCTTTTTTGGTCCCTCAAGCACCAAATTTGTCGGTCGGCCAAAAGCGCGTCGCGGAAGACCTCGAAGGACGCGACGACAAGCGAACTAAGATAGCCTTCCGTAGGCTCAAGAGCGACCCGTTATTTGTGAGTTTTTCTTTTCATCTTGTGAGGTCGCATTCTCAAACCTTGGGGCAGAAACTCATGTTAGATCAAAATAGTCAACCCAACGGGACATTCGTGTGTTCTAAGGACGGCATAATACTCAATCCTCAGGACAACAAAAAACAAATCCATCATAACCGCATTCAACTTCTACTGCACGCCGACAATCAATGAGTTTGACGCGTCGACCCTCAAGACTGTTGGACCTCCTTTCAAAGGGCACACAGGCCCCATCGAGGATCAGGGTCTAGCACTTTCATCTGATTGTGCTCTTCTCGCCAGCTTTTCCTATTATGATGACTCGGACACCATCAAGCTGTGGGCCTTCGAGGCCGCCGGCTGCTCGCTTCATTCGACGTGAAAAATATACTCTCCCTCGTGCTCTCACCCGATTCACGCCAAGTGGCTTATACGTCTACGGATGACTTCAAGATCTACATATGTGACATTCCGGCCAATATCCTTGCTAGCATTGGGCTTGCAGGGAAACTGCAGCCTGGTGTATGTATTTCCTGCATAGATCCATCATTGATATGCTAATATTCTTACAGAAACGTTCACGTCGCGCTAGTCTACTCAACGTACGTGGTTCTGCTCTCTTATTTATTTACGCCATACCATTCTTCATTACAGTCTAATGCAACACGTCCTGCGTGCCGTAAACCAGTGGTAATACCTGTCATATCTTCCATCTCCCACTCACCAAGACCTCTGCCTACAAGTAACCCACATACTTTCCTTCGTTTTGTGCGCAAACTCCTTTCCTCCTCTCCTCGTACGGATGCGGTTTATACCGATGAGCCTCGTAATCCCCTAGACGTATGTTTCTTTTACATGTTTCTTTCCAGTTGACTCGACGGTTCTCTTGCAGTTCCCTGCTACATCCCCCTTACCTCGCCCACTTATAAAACCAGACGAGAACGTGAGTGCGAACTTTCATCGTTGCATATTTGACTTACATTCTTTCAGTCTCGATCTACACCGGCACCACCCACCACTCAATCCCCCCGCCGCCAATACTTCCCCAACCTTCAAATCTAGCTTACATCGACTATCCACTTGGTGGCCCTTTCAGACAGATTATGCATCACCGGCGATCGTCAATGTTGCTCTCGCGCCGGGTAAACTGGTATGCGCGTCTCATTTTTTCGTTGTATTCTAAATCTCACGTATCCATGCATAGGGATACGCTACAGCGGGTGCTCCCGCCGATGAAGATGACGTGATACGTGACGAAGACTATGTTTCTCCTCCTCCTTCTCCCAATCCTGGCTCACGCCGAGGAATTGTCAACGCCGGACAGCATAGAAGCGGCCGGTTTTGTTGCTGCTTCTAACTGATTTCGAACTCGTTCCCTGGTATCTCGTAACTGTAATTGTTACTCATTGCATGCGTCATCCTCTCTACACTTGCGTGGAATGTATAATCATTATACCCCCTGAAGCGCTTGAGATATATCAACGGTCCCAATGGTCGATCCTGTCCAGACTCTACAGTGGTCCGAAATATCGCAGGTCACGAAAGTCCTTTGTTTTGCGGCCAACCACACTGAAAGAAGTGGTGATGCCCTTCCATACAGTGTCTAAACCGTTGCGATCAGAAGGTGGAGGTCTCCTTCGTAGTCATGACTATAATTGTAGTGATTACAAGCTGGAGAGGGTAGTCCCCGGGTATTCGCCCGAATCTTTGATGCATGCCTAAAGCTGACCGAAATATTAATATTCCTGAATAGATGTCATCGGTAACAAATTGTAATGATCACTTCGCAGACAAATGTTGCCGTTGAAAAACAAGCGGAAACTTGCCGTACGTGTGTCCAGTGGGTTACACTAAGGATCGATGAAATGGGACAAGATTGTAACATGGTCAGACTGCCGCCCGCATAACCGTCACACCAAAAGGTGAAATACTGAAATCTTAGCTTTCAGTATCAGCGACAGTATATGTACTGATTATCAGAACTCAGGTAAGCCAGCGTGTTTACAATGATCCTGTATTGACTATGATGCATTACAATGATCGTTGGAAGTAAAGCAACGTCGTCCAAGAGCAATCACTAATAACGCAAGAAAAGCCTAAATCCAAGTCTTATTATGCATTTCCCGGTAAATACAAAAAGGTGCTCAGATAACAAGATAATCGTATGTCATGACGATAGCACGAGTTATCGCCCGTGATACTTACCTGTACTCACAAAAATATAATGGCAGTGCAGATAACACTAGAGAGGGCAGGTATTCCATGCAGCGGTCAAACTGGTGTACTGCAGGGGACTGGCTGGCGCAGGAATGATGTGGAGGCCGGAAAGGGAGAGCGAGGTTTGATTCAACTAAAAGCTGGATCATCATATAGTCACGGTATGGAGTTAAAAAGGACATGCTGTATGGTGCACAGCCATCTGGAAGATATAAACGTAAACAAGTGGAACGCGTGCCTAGTATATGCCCAATGCCCATCGTCGCTCTTCATCGTCGCCAGCATCCTGGTAAGACCAAAACCCATATAAGCACCACGCACAGATGAACTGATGATTGATCTTAAGTAGGCAAAGTGTGGCAGTTCTCGAATGAGAATCACTCAAGGTCAAACCTAATCTTGCAGGGCACGAGGAGAACTCGCTGAGCACGTCCAAATAATTGATACCTGTCTGGCAAATACAACCTTTATGGCTTCCGGTTCAACACAGCCCGGTGCAACAGCAAACAAATTGATTCTGACACCGGTCATGACCCTGGAGGGACATGAACCATGGACAGGTCCACTGGGCTCGCAGTGGTATCAAAATGGTCATCCCGTTACGATGATGTCCAAAAATGTTTCGTCCATTTCCTACTTTCCCAACGGCAGGCAAATGATCAGCGGATCGGGCGATAAGACTGTTCGGCGATGGGACCTGCGCGAGGGTAAGGAGATTAAGGAGGCCCGGGAGGTTTGCGAGAATGATATAGAAGCAGTGGGGGTATCAAGGAATGGTCGATGGGTTGTCACTGCTGCCGGTGGTTGCAGTGGGAAGCTCAAAGTCAGTGAGGTTGAGACGGGGACAACGAGAACATTTTACTATGAAGACAAATGGCCCTGGCCATCGATCAGATGCATCGATATCTCAGCGGACAGCACGTTGGTTGTGGGTGGGTCGAACGATTCTACAGTGCGGATATGGAGCTTGGACACAGGCCAACTCATGGCTGGTCCATTCAAATCAAGTGATATTGGTATATACACTCTTCGACTCTCGGCAGACTCTCGGAAGCTGGCGGTGTTGGGCCGGTGCCTTCAAGTGTGGGATGTCCAAGCACAGAAATTGGATGTACAAAAATCTATTCCCAACACGGGGCTCACTTTACCGGTATTCTGGACAACAGAAAACAAATCTATCGTAACCGCATCCAGATTCTCTGCAGATGTCCACACCATGACAGTCTATGAGTTTGACGCGTCCACGCTCAAAACTTGTCGGGGCTCCTTTCAAGGAGCACACTGATACCATTATGGGTCTAGCACTCTCATCTGATTGTGTTCTTCTCGCCAGCTCTTCCATCCAAACCATCAGCCTATGGGCCTTCAAGTCCCGCCAACTCCTCGCTTCATTCGACGTCAATTTTATCTTCTCCCTCGTCCTCTCGCCCGATTCACACCAACTAGCTTACACGAGTTTGAGTGATTGCAATATCTACATTTATAACATTCCAGCCAATATCCTTGCTAGCATTGGGCTTGCAGAAGAACCACAGCTTAGTGTATGTATTCACCGCATAGATCTATCATTTATGTTAATATTCTTTTCACTACTACAGTCCCATGCAACACGTCGTCACGTGCGCCGTAAACCAGTGATAATACCTGTCACGTCTCCCATCTCCCACCCACCAAGACCTCTGTCTACAAGCGACCCACATACTTTCCTTCGTTTTCTACCCAAGCTTTTTTCATCCTCTTCTCGTACGGATGCGGTTTGCACAGACGAGCCTTGTAATCCCTTAGACGTATGTTTCTTTTACTTGTTTGCTTCTCAGTTGACTCGACGGTTCCCTTGCAGTTCCCTGCCACATCGCCCCTACCTCGTCCACTTATAAAAACCAGACGAGAACGTGAGTACCGACTGCCATAATTGTATATTTAACTTACACTCTTCTAGTCTCAACCCACACCAGCATCACCCACCACCCAATCCTCTATCGTCAATACTTCCCCAACCCTCAAATCCAGCTTACATCGACTATCAACTTGGTGGCCCTTTCAAACAGATCATGCATCGCCGGCTATTTAATGTTGCTGATGTTCCTCTCGCGCCAGGTAAACTGGTATGCACATCTCATTTTTCTCGTCGTATTCCAATGCTCATGCATCCATGCGAAGCGGTACGCTACAGCGGGTGCTCCCGCCGATGAAGATGACTTGATACGCGACGAAGACTATGTTTCTCCTTCCTCCTTCCCCCAATCCTGGCTCACGCCGGGGGGTTGTTAACGCCGGACAGCATGGAAGCGGCCGGTTTTGTTTTTGCTTCTAACCGATTTCGAACTCGTTCCCTGGTATCTCGTAACTGTGATCGTTGCTCATTGCATGCATTGTCCTTTTTACACGTATTGAATTCATGATCATTATACCACCAAGCGCTTGAGATATATCAACGGTCCCGATGGTCGATCCTGTCCAGACGTCCGAGGTATTTAGAGGGGCTGGAGAGATGAGCTCCTGGGTACTTACCCGAATCTTTGATCCATGCCTAAAGCTGACCGAAATATTCCTGAGTAGATGATATTGGTAACAAATTGTAGCGATCACTCCGCAGGCAAATGTTGTCGCTGAAAAACGAAAAACAAGCGGAAACTTGCCGTACGTGTGTCCAATGAGTTACACTAAGGGTTGATGGAATGGGACAAGACACTGTATTGACTACAATGTTCGAACACAGGATTATGATCGTTAGAAGTCTAGTCTATGTAAGAGCAATCACTCACAATGCAAGAAAGTCCCAAATTCAAGTCATTATGCATTTCCCGATACAACACAAAAAAGCGCTCAGATAACAAAATAATCATATGTCGTGACAACAACATCTACTTCAACGCCCGCGATATTTTCCTGTACTCACAAGGATATAATGACAGTGCGGATAACACTAGAGTTGTAGAAAAGGAATCCATGCAGCGGTCAAACTGGCGCTCGGTGGTGTACTGCAGGGGATTGGCTGGCGCAGGAATGACGCGGAGGCTGTAAAGGGAGACCTAGGTTTGATTCAACTGAAAGCGAGATATAGTATGGAGCTAAAAAGGACATGCCGTACGATGCACAGCCGTCTGGAAGATATAAATATAAAAAGGTGAAACGTGCACCCGTATGCTCATCGATCAGGCGATCGCTCTTCATCCTTGCTACATCATGATAGCATCCTGGTAAGACGAAAACCTATATGAGCATCACACATGAATGGACTGACGGCTAGTTTAAGCATACGGCAAAGTGCGGCATTCGAATGAGTTAGACTTGAAAATCACTCAATATCAAGCCTAGCCTTACAGAGCACGACTCGGAGGAGAACTCACCTAACTCATCCAAATAATCAAAGCACTTACCAACCTGTCTGGCGAATACAGCTATGATGGCTTCTAGCTCCACACAGCGCAGTGAAACAGCAAACGAATCAATTCTGACACTAGTCGTGACCTTAAAGGGACATAAACCATACAATGGGGAAATTGCAAACACCTATTTCATGCATTTCCTATTTTCCCGACGGCAAGCAAATGATCAGCGGATCGTACGATAGGACCATTCGGCGATGGGACCTGCGGGAGGGTAAGGAGATCGAGGAGGCTCGGGAAGTTTGTGAGGAAGGTATAGAGGCAGTAGGGGTATCAAGGGACGGTCGATGGGCTTCGATGGGTTGTCATTAATATTTGATGCTAGTCATGGCACTGGCTTGGCACTAGTGACAGCAAGACTAGGATCGTGAGAACATTTTTCGACCAAGGCACTTGTATATCTCCGCGTGGCAGTACGTTGCTACTAGCTAGCGGGCGCAACGACCGACTTCACAGTGCGGGTATGGAACTTGGACACGGGCGAACTCGTGGCTGGTCTATTCTATAGTGATATCGATGAAGATCATCCTCATCTTATAGGCCTAGGCGGAGCAATACTTCGATTCTCATTCGACGTCACATCTCGCGGGCCTTAAGCTTCATCCTCGTCCTTTCGCCCGATTCATGCCAACTGGCTTACACGTCTAGGGATGAGACCAAGATTCACGTATGCAGCATTCCAGCCAACATCCTCGCTAGCATTGGGCTTGCAGAAGAACCGCAGCCTAGTGTATGTACTCCCCGCATACATCCATCATTTATATGCTAATATTTTACAGACAAGTAAATCTAAACATCCACGCAATGCTGTGATGACACCTGTCATGTCTCGCTTCCATCGCTCACCGAGACCATGGCCTACAAGGGACCGATATACTTCATACTTTCCTTCACTTTCTACGCAGAGTACTCCTTTCCTCCTCTTCTCGTACAGACGCGGTTCGCACCGATGAGCCTCGTAATACCCTGGATGTATGTTTCTTTTACCTTTTTGCCTTCCAGTTCACTCAACGGTTCACTCATAGTTCCCTGCTACCTCGCCCACTTCTAAAACACGATGAGAATGTGAGTGCGGACTGCCATAATACATGTTAAGCTTACATGTTTTTAGTCTCGACTCTCACCGGCACCACCCACCATCCAATCCTCCGCCATCAATACTTCCGCACTCCTCACATCCTGCTTACATCGACCATCAAGCTGATGGCCCCTTCATACAGATCATACATCGCATGCTATTAATGTTGTCGACGTTCCTCTCGCGCAGGGTAAGCAGGTACGCGAGTCTCATATTTCTCATCATATTCCAAATCTCACGCATCCATGTATAGCGGAACGCTGCAGCGGGTGCTCCCGGCGATGATGATGGCCTGACATACGACGAAGACTACTTCTCTTCTTATCCTTCCCCTAATTCCGGCTGAAGCCAGCTACCTGCGGAATAGATTGTCAACGCTAGGCAGCATGGAAGTGGTCGGTTTTGTTTCTGCTTTTAATCGATTTCGAACTTGTTTCCTAGCATCTCATTACTGTAGTTGTCGCTCGTTGCATGTGTTGTCCTCCCTATACTTACATCGAATTAATGGTCAATAACCCCCCTACAGCGCTCGAGATATATCAATAGTACCGATGGTCGATGCCGTCCAGGCTCTAGCATCGGTCCGAGTCACGAAGGTAAACAGTGCGAGGACCTCTGACTCGGAAACGTACTGTCGTGCGTTCAAAAGGACGGCCTGTTGTATTTCTGCTTGTAGACTCATTCCAAACTTGTTCCCCGGGCATCTCAATTTTACTTCTCGTTGCATGCGTTGTCCTAGCGTGAGCTACAATAAACTACAATGTTGTAAAAGCACCTAGGCGCGCATCTCCGGCGGTTCGGTGTCAATTGCATCCACTCCGTCTAAACTCCAGCTTTCAACATTTCGTTCTTGTTTTAGCAACACTGGCTACAACCTATAACTTTCATGGATTAGTCTGTGTTCAAAATGCATCCTGCATAGCAAAAATTATTGGCAGTCCGAGGCTACGTTGCCTGGCGGTCACTTGGCGGTAGCCATGTTTATACTAATACTTTTGGAGGTCACACAGCTTTCGTCGAGAACAGCATTTGTGTCACGCATGCTCGCGCCATATGCATGATTTGCACTGCAGTTACTTAGTACTGACGTGACGGCGCTCCTACTCGTAAAAGACATCACGTTAAGACCGTAATTGCTCTCTGTACCTTGCTTAACTCCAACTCCTCCACGTCGTCCTTAGCCTGTACCATGGTGACAGCGTCTGAAAGGCCACCCTCCTGCACCTATTATTCCTATATCTTGAAACCGCCGCTGTCCGCACTGCAATGTCTTGAGAAAATTCTGTTGCGGAAATGGATCTCGATTGCTTCCTGCACTTCGCCGCCTGTCGGCCTGTCTTCGTGCATTCTTGAAACCGGAGGATCGGTGGCAATGGCGCCCATCGGTCGTGCTGTGTTGTTGCCCATTGATGCATGATGTCCGGTAGTACATGACTTGATCGCTGTGTGACATACATAGCTGCTCTAGCCTAGTGCGGTAACTAGTGTTATATTTTTAGTGCTCGGAAGACTCATCATTCTATGCGTTGTCAATAAAGGTTTGACTCGACGCTACTCGCTAAAGGCTTGTAACTAAGCTTGGCAGTATTCGCCCTGTCTGCGGCACTCAAATGACGCTAGTCTCAAGATGGGCCAGTCATTTTCAAACTGCTATAAAGTGCCAATGGACGATGGCAAAGCTAAAGCCCTCATCACTACAGATCCCACAGTTCCAGACATGGTCAATACTACTACCGTAGCGGGACTCGTCGGTGTTGTTCTTTTGGTCCGTCACGGCGACAGCACGACATACTACCAAGACCCAAATACATACAACTCCACCCAATCATACATTACCCCTCTTGGGGAGGTGAGAGTTCTGCGCTATAATACTGGATCTCGCTCACGAATGTTTAGCAACAAGAATATGAACTCGGAAGCTTCCTTCGTAGTACATATCTCAATCCCGATTCGCCGTCTTTCATCCAGAATATCAGCACTGAGGTGGTAAACGTCGATCAGCTGGCAGTCCGTGCAGACGCCGGTGGAGGAAATGGCATCCTGAACTCCGCGTATGCTCTGCTTCAGGGTCTCTACCCAGCGACACGACAGTCAGAGATAACTTTGGCGAATGGTACAAATGTCCTCCCTCCTCTTGGGGGATACCAATATGTTCCAGGCAAGTCAGTCACAGCTACTCGTTGATGCTCTAACTAATGTGCTGCAGTGCAATCTTTGGAGTATTGGCAGAGTCCGTCTCTCACGAGCTGGATGGAGTGCGAGGTAAGAAATCTATCGTATCTTTGTGAGGTCACTTCATAACGCCCGGAAACCTAGTATTTCCAAGATCATCTAATCCGACTTTACGCTTCGACTTCATTCATAAACATGTCCACCACTGCCGCGCCCTTCCTGACTGCATTAAAGCCTTACTTGGGGGGCGTCAGTAACAACTTCACGAACATGGTATGTCACTTCAGCGCATCTGTGAAAACTTTTCTAACTTGAACAAAATTGCGTAGTGGAATGTAAGGATTCATTTGAATATTTTCAGACTAAGCTCATCGTCTCGCAGATATACGACCATGTCAATTTCCAGTACACTTATAATAAGACCTATTACGAGACCCTACCTCCCACTTTCCTCGAGCAAGCTCGCTATTATGCCGATTTTGTCCAACGCAATGTCTTCACCGATTCTACGCCAAGTAGCATCGGACAAGGTAAGTTAGGATTCCGTTACAAAAATGCGTCCCATTAACCTTGCTGCAGTTGCCATTCGCACACTCTTCCCGGAGATCTTCTGGGCTTTGGGCAACATGACATTGGCATCCAACAAAGTCAAGATGAATATTCAGGAAGTCGATTACAAGCCATTCATCAGTCTGTTTAACGTCACCAACGCTACCCTGACTAATCCCAACATTGGTGGTATCCGTCAGTATCAATATCACTATATGAGTTCAGCCCTGCAGACTGACACCAATTAACAGCCAACGATGCTTCTGTCGTTGCCCTCGAGTTGTCAAAGAACTCACAGGGTCAGTACGAGATCGGCATGAAGTTCAAGAACGGCACTGAGGATAGTCAATTCACTCAACTTGAGATATTCGGCAACACAAGCATCGCCCTTAACAGTTTCACGCAAACACTTATTGTGAGCTGCTCTCTACAGCGCGTGTGACTTCTTGCTCACAGATTCATTCATTCAGGACACTACGATTCCGATCAACTCTACTAATAACTGGTGCTTCTCCTGCAATCAGACTATCGAGCGCGGATGCTCTGTCTTTAACTACAGTAACGACCCCTTCTTGAATGGTGTTGGTACTGGTTATACGGGCTAGACGAGGTGTATCTTTTGACTGCCTCAATGTAAAATTACGTAATCGTTTAGAATAATCTATCGTTCTCCAGGGCTTCAGTGAGCGAGGGTGTTTAGATCTTAGACTTCAAGAAACTATGTACATTGAGTAATAAAGGTGCTTGGAAAGTACTACAATTCCCCTCGCCCTCCCCCTGGACCATCCCTCCGACAATGAATAACTCTCCCTTGCAAAGAAGCTCTAAAGTTACATTTGTATCCATATAGCGTCAACCACCAATCACTTGTAAGGGTATAAGTAAGCGTAAACCGATGTCATCATCTCGTGACATAGGTAGCCAACGACTATCTGGTCGCCTAGTACAGTTCTTCTAAGAACTCGGATATATCGAAGCTGCTATCGGGATCTACAGTCAATTCGAGCGAAGGAAGAAGGGTGGCATATTCTTCTCGCTGCTGATCTGTCGTCCACACTGCACTGCCGAACCTCAGGCTCTCCAGAGGACATTTTGACCGCATCAAAAAATCCTTGAACTCTTCATGTGGCCACTTGCCAATATGGCGAGTTTCAACGACGCGAAGGTTGGGGAGTGTGATGACATTGAATAGGCCAAGGTCACCATCTGGGTGAGACAGTGCATCCCCATACATGCGTAAGGTTTGAAGGTTGGTGTGCGTGATTGGTTCTGGATTTTCGATGGGGTCGAATATTCCAAGTACCTGTGACGTAAGAGAGCTTAGGACATAGATGGAGTATGCGGGGGAATGTATCTAGTCCTTGTATGTTGATCTCGAGATGTGTGAGATGGGCCCATGCGGAATCACTGAAGAAATTTAACCGCGTGCGGCTGAACATCTTATCCGGCATGTTAAGCCTACGCAGATTAACCGGCAATTTAGAGAGAGAGCGGTTAATATCTCCCTTACGGTCAGAACCGTAATTTTGTATCGTCAGCTCTTTCAGTGCATGGAAGTCTTCCATCATGAAGGGGCCGACGAACTCAAAAAATTCAAGCCGGAGAGACGAGATTTGCGGACTGTATTCCTGGAGCAGGCTTCGTGGCTCGCTCAAGTCAGAGAGACACTCCAGTGTGAGTGAGAGCGGGCGTCCTGCCGATCGCTTGAGCCAAGAGTCGTAGAAGCGAGCTCTCCGGTACCAGTGATTGTCCGCGGTCAACTGCAGTGTGCACCATAAACTTGGTAAGTCCACAGCAACCTCCCTCCATCGTCGACATATGCCGGTCAACAGCAAGGGAGCCTGACTTCGTATGGGCGAAGGGAATTCTTTGTCTTCTGGCAGACAGTAAAGGAAAATTTGCGAGAGTATTTCCGTAGGTAATCGCCAAATGGCTGATGAAAATTGCCTTGGAGAAATGTTGGACTGAATAATATTGGCCTTCTCTTCAACGAGTTGCCGCTGACGATAGCTGACACCGTTCCTGACGGTGTCATGGTCCGATTCCTTGCACATAATCGCATCCAACTGGTGAAGTAGATGTTTATTATTATATTCAGACGTCAATATCTCCAAAACCAAGCACTTACAGGTTTCTGCATCTCACCAATGGTAGGTGAGACCGGTGGTGAATCGATGTTTGAGTTGGATGTCTGCATATTAACGCGAAGGAGGTTTAGATGTTGCAGATGGAAATTTGAAGAAGGAAATGATTCTACCGTTCCATCGACCGTCGTGTCTCTATTTAAATCGAACCTTTCGCAGTCCACAGGTCCACAGCAACCACACCTGGCTATTGTAGTTTTTCATAGCCGGCCTTAGGTAAAACACCAGTCGGTGGGCGCCTGTGGAACTGTGGAAAGGTGATCTCGCTCAATGGCCTCGGCACACTCGATCGGCATCACTAGGCCATTCAAGACCTTTTATGTCTTCTTATCATGTACACGACAACTGAAGGTCATAGAACAGACATGTCAATCGAGCTGCCTTTATTTTTCCCTATAGTGGTCTTGTGTTTTTGGTTCGATATTTGACAGGCGTGAACTTGAAGGCACTCAAGAAAATCAGGTTTCGACTCTCCTTGGCACCTCCGAGTCTTCACTGTGACATCCCTGTAATACCGTACGTATTGAAAGGCCGAATCCCTTTTCATCAACCATCCCTCCCCTACTACATTCTTAGTATTGACCCACCTGAACTTCAACACAGTCACGCTCTTGTTCAAGTTGAAAACAATACGTTTCCTTCTCAATGGTAAGAGCTCGGGCCGGCTAACAGTAAGAACACGGACTGAACATTGACAAGCGAAACGGGAATAAGATGATTCAATGAGTTTATAGCAGCGAGTTAACGTTGACACGTGGTTGTACCCTGATATAGGGAGCTTCGAGCGCGTGTCACGTAGATTGGGGAGTAAATTGGGAGCACTAGGAGTTGATTTTGTGGTAATACTGCCAGGGTCACGCCTCAGCGCTTCAGCGTGGTAATAACGTCGACACAATCAACCAAAAGCCTGAAATAACTAACATATGTGCAGACAGCCAAACTGGCATTAGTCAATTTCTTACCGGCCTCGAATATTATTCGTACGTTGCAAAATATCGCAAGTGCCTCGCAGAGTGGTCTTGTTATATGCAGGGATTTTACAACTAAACTACACATCCAAGTCACCTGGTGTGGCACTCAGAGAGTGTTCACACGGTAAGAACGAGTAGAATACGCTTAAGGATTCAGACGAGGTAACTGTCAGTCAGGGAAAGATCAACTAATGCTACAGTAGATAGAGGCGACCTTATATACTGTAGAGCAACTAATCTGATGTAATCAAAAGGAATAAGAGAGAAGGTGAAAGAACTAAGTGCGTGCCGACGAGGATATTGCTGATGGAGACAAATATCCGTAGAAGGCTTTTGCCGAGCGTAACACCTGGCGGCTGATGGGTTATTACCGTCAACATCACAAGTTCGCAGTAGCTGTTCGCTTCGACCGAGGACCCCGGTCGGGTATCCACCGCACGATATCTGTGAGTCGAGCTAAGTCCCGTTATCCTCATCATCCACGAGTCTGGATCATCTTGTTTGTCATTTACATTAGCGCAAAAGATAGATGAACGTGATTGCATGCCCCATCGATGTCGTCGAATAACCTATTGCAAACAGGGAGGCGAGGATAGTGAACAGCAGAGGGCATCGAACGCGAGGATTCCGGCTTGAGAGGATGTGACCACTGACCCCTTCCAGAGCTCTTTGACTTTGCTGGATGCAGGCAGACTGATGATAGACGGCACACTCCGCGCTGAGGATACTCAGTGAACCATCCAATCGACGCTGTGTCTGGAACAAAGTTACTTAAACGTTGCCAAGGACCCCCAGGGCCCACTTCCACAACTGTCTTTCATGACATTCATACTCGTGTGCCCCCACACTTGTATATAAAAGCAAGGTTACATTGCGTGGCTTCGGTCTTGACTGAAATGTCGTGCAACATTCAGTCAATCACTGACTTTGACTACAAGTTTTCCTGTAGTTTTCCGCCTGTTGGGTCGATCCGCGTCAGTCTAACCCCATCCACAGTGAATCTATATTCCTTGAAGACCTGTGGCTTTAAGGTACCGTCGACGAGAAGGGAAAACAAGGCATTTCCGTAGTAGAGCACTTCCGAGTCTGCTGGGTGTATGTTTAGTTGTTCATGCCAGAATACCTAAGCGTGAGCATATAAAATGAATAAGGACTGTTGTTAAGCACATGAAAGTCGGAGAAGCTTCACGTTCTTTTGTATGAACCCGATAAGAGGGAATGGTGGAACGAAGCTGTGAAAATGTATCAGCTCGAACTTCTTGTACTCAACTCTGAATTGGCCAAAACCTCATTAATGCATTGTGTCAACATACCTAGACCTGCGAAAAAACATGTCTTCGTCAGGGTTGATTTTGAACTTCATTGAATGAAAGCTGAGACAGGGCTGCGCCCAGTAGTTCGTTCTGTCTTCATCTATTGTGGGGGAGATCAGCGATAACACCCTATCAGAAACTTGAAGGACACAACGATTTCATCTTTGGTGTCATATAATTGTCCGGTGGATAACAGATCATTACTTGTTCAGATAACTGTTCACTCCGGGTATGGAACTTGAAGAGATATGGGATCAAAGTGGTTAGCGAAAGGTCGGATGTTGTGGGACATCGACAGAGGTAACGTCATGGTGAAATGGACGGGACATACTAAAAGGACGTGGTCTGTCTGCTGGAGTCGAGATGGCTGGTCAAGTAGTGAACGGATCCTCCGATAAGATTGCATGTCAATTTGCAAGGTAATGAGACGTAGGGAAGGGAGAAAACGATCATCAGATCATCGGTCCAATTGAAACAGGGCACGATCAAGTGGAGACAGTCGTCTACTCACCAGACACAACCATGTTTGCGACTGGTGGACACGACTCGCTGCACTCAACTTCTGAAATCCTCGATTAAAATCTGGAATGCAAAGCTTACAGGCGAGCTTGTCGCCAAATACTATAATGTCCCCGACACCCAACATACGCGTTAGTGGGAGGAGGGAGCTCGAGGACTCTGTCGAACACAAAATGATTCCCATCAAGAAAAGATGTACAAAGCTGTGCTAATTTTTTCCACGCCTGGTCAACTGACACCGGCCGAAAACTTGAAGCACTGGACTCCGAGCCTTCGTCGCAATGAGCATTATCACTCTGATTGTTTAGTTTATCTTCCGCCCAGATTTTGGATTCAACGACAGAAATCAGGCAACGGTGGAGGGGGTGGGTTCAATCTTGCGGGGCGCGCACTAGACACGCTGGGGGGCATCGCCGCGGGGAGGGATGTGAAAAGACAGCTGGAGACCCTTGCGCAGAGTGAGTCTGCTCTTTGGTTGAATGGCTTATTGTACTACTTAAGCAGACGTTACAAGTCATGGATGCACTCTATCGAGTGCAGTAAAATGACTTCTGTCTAACGCTTCTTCGTTGATTAAATCAATTACGGGGATAATAGCTTTGGTTGAGACTGTGGTCACTGAGGATGGTCTGCTAAGTTACACCTTTATAATATCACTTAGCGAGGCAGCTAATTTTGCAATTGCAAGGTTAGCTAGAGTCTTCGCGCCCGACCAGGAATCACTCGAAACCCATCATATCACCTGGAATTCGTATCACAGACAGGTTCTCACCATCGTGATGAATGTACCCAACGGAGCCGATCGCGTCCCCTTGGAACTTGGCCCGCAATTAAATTGTCGCTAGTACACCAATTGTTCTGCCCATGCACAAATGGTTCTTCGACGATTGGCAGGCTGAACGCTTAGTTTGTTTTGTACGCCCATATTTTCTATTCGACTGAGGCATCTGCAGAGCAAGATGGTGTTGGTATCAAGTGTTTTGCAGGTTTGTAACTCTGCAAGGTAGGATCCTCCTCTTGGATGGTTTACGTTGAGTGTAATTGTCGGAAGTGTTAGCCAATTCATCAGCGGTCAGTTGACGGTTGTGGCATGGCCAGGGATAATATATATCCACGCAGCAACCAATCCACAGTCTCCTGCACTCAAGGGAGTGATAAGCGGGCTCATGGTTTCGCATTGTCACACAAAGCTGTCCGACACGACCATCAAAATACAACTGCACCGTCATGTTGTTCTAAATATTTACACGGGAAGCGTGTGGTGCATAGCAGGAAATATGTCAGTACATGACTAACAAGAGAAACTATAATGGACCTGAAAAGTTACATAAAGACATCTAGATCGCTGTACCAACAGTCACGCGAAGCGGAAGTCTGCTATATGCGGTCTAACAGAAAGTGTTTCTCAACAATGCTTCATCCATGCGGGGCTTGAACATTAGGCTGAAAGGCATCTGGTGTGATACCACACCAGGGGTAAAAGCAGTGTCGTCGATGGGACTACTAGGGTCTTCTGCCACCGTGAAGGACCAGAGCACAAGAGCGATAGCGATGTATACTGATCTGAAACGTAGTGGATACAATGAGACAAAGCAATCGTGAGGCCATGCTGTCGGCTCACCGTCTAGCAATATGCATCCCCGGGCATACACTAAAATATGTTCAGCAGAAACCTAGTGAAATAAGGAACTGATATCTACCGTCTTCCAAAACCAAAAGTGAACAGCTTCATGTCCTCTTTGATTTCTCCGTCTAAACCGATCCATCGTTGTGGATTGAATACTTCGGGATCGTGGAAGACAGAGGGGTCACGCCCGATGCTCCTGAAGAACGAAGTAAAAGATTGCAAAAATAAATCCTGGCGTGTACCTACCAATGACTTCCGGAGACAATGGCGCCAGTAGGGATGCACATTCCATTCTGTGATGATGATGAATTCAAATTTGATTTGTGATTTTGTGCGATATACCCAAATTATATCTTTCGTTGCACGGTGCGGGAATCCTGGAACGCAGATCAACCAAATGACCTTGAATGTGCCTCCTTGCCTCACCTGTTGGGTTAACAGGCCTCCATCGAAGAGCTTCCGCAATGAAAGCTTGAAGCTGAACAAGCTGCGGCCAGTCCTCAAAAGTGGGAGCTGTGGCACAAGGTCAGTCAGTTTTGGACTACAATGAGTTTTACCTGCATACGGGTCTCTCTGCCAACCACAGCTTCCAGCTCCTCGTGTACGCGAGCTTGTGCGTGTGGGAAACGTGCAGCAGCCATTAACACCGTTGAAGTTGCGACAGCAGTCTAAGATTCCCCAAGTTAGGTTGAGCCGATGTGTATACATTTCTTTGCTTACCGTATCGAAGCCTGCCCCGACAAGGGACCCAGTAAGATATGCTATCTCTGCCTCAGACAGTTTGTTATCGTCGGGGTGTAGGAGAAGATCCTTTGTAACTGAATGGGGAGCAGTGTTACTTTCCTGTTGTAGGTTACGACGAAATCGATGTAATAACAGAAGAAGGGTTCATACCACTTGACTTTTAACCCACTTCAACTGGCCAGACAACATATCGTATTCATCCTGTCCCCACTGCTTCAGATCTCGTCCATAACCAGGGACATATTTGAGGATTGGGTACTTGTCAACGAGGTATGCGCCTGGTGACATTGCGCTCTGAACCCTTGGGATCATCCTTTGCAGCCGCAGTAGATACGGGTCATCAAGTGATGTAGGGGTTGTTTTCCCGTAGATGACACGCATAATTACAGATGCTGCGAAACTATGCGCAGATGTCACCAGCCGAAGTGTGAGAATAGGGGACGGACGTACCGCCTGATATGCTGCTGGTGCAATTTGGGCTCGTGCAGTATGTCCAGAATGACCTCACGTCCATGCGCAAGCTGTATCGGCTGATAAGTCTGAGCGGTCCTCACTTGGAGGTGCGCATGCGAAGATCTGAAGTGATTGGGATGGTGAGACGGTCAAGTTTTAATTCAACTGACGTGTTGCCTACTTGCGAAATTTGCGGAGCCTTTCTCCAAAGCGAAGTTGGACGAATCGCATTCCCCTCCCAAGGAATGTCACCGCCAGCGACAGAAGGAGGCCGGTCTGCGAGGAATGTGCCCTGCTTCTCCATGATGTCAATCGCTTCCTGTGAGAGATGTGAATGCCCCAATGGTAATATGCTACAAAATGCGGTCATACCTGGTGACGTCCGACGATGACTAGTATATTTTTTCCATCGTTGAGACATATGACTGGTCCATATTCTGCTATCCACTGAGCAATCTTCCTGGGTGGACTGTTGTTGTGTATCAGTATATGACGATCATCGCATGACTACGACATACTACCGCCCAAGAGGAGGCTCTGATGGACCAGGAGGTAGGGGCAGTTGACGGGATTTAGATGTGCGAGAACGGTAGGAGTAGACTGTAACGCCTAGAAGACCAAATATGACTGCGCCAGTCTGCCAGTGCCATGCGGGGAACATATCAAGCACGGAGGGAATGGGAAAATAGTGCCATCCCTTCCAATTGAAGCGAATAGAACCATGTTGAATGATTGAATATTGACGGCTCGCATCAGTTCACGTCGCACGAGGTGTCAATTACGTGCTAGGTGTCACACATATGTGGGTCTATAAAAGCGAGGAGGACCCGTATGCATTATCTATAACAAGGCGTCAATAAGCAATTTCAAACATATACGACTCATTTGCAAGATGTAATTAATGAATCAGTGATGGAATCACGAAGAATGGACCGTAGCTTGTTTGGAAATGTTTACTCAACATACTTTTAAGTTTTAACGGCACATGTGCCTGTAAATTCATCACGTGTGTCATACTCTGAATACCTTGCTTGCAGACCGCTGTACATGTCCGAGACTCGAATAATATGGGCCGATACTGGCCTGGTGAAAGAGTGATGGTAAGGAGCCTGCGGCTCGGCGTCAAATGTGTCCTCCCCGTCATGTTGTGTTATGTATTTACCTAAGAAACTCCCCAAGATAAGGCGGCACGGCTAGCTACTAAGGTACCGTCTCGAATACTCTTGGAGTCGTTTATACTAATAAGAGTGTGCAGTCCCCCACCTTACTATCCTAGGTGTGTAAGCCTCGGTAATAGGTTGATACTTGATGGGTGATGACAAGCCTTGCTGCTCGTCAGAGGCAAACCCTCTGATAGGGCCTTGCAAGCCTTCTCGTCGCTATCAATCTCCCTATGCTTATGCAGCATTCATTGCTATCTTGATTGTTGCAATCACGATTGTCATTTTCTCCATTAGCCCTTCAAATGACCCCTTAGATTCAGATGTTCGAGATCGCATTCGCAAGGACTGGGACATCGAACTTCGCCAGCACCCGAAAGAAGTTCTCAAGCGCACCGACACTCAAAAACGCTGGCGTCTGGAAGATGACGACAGGATTCGCCTCCGCGAACAATGGGGAACGGGGGTGGAAAAGCACAATCGTGAAGTGGAGGAGAGGCTAAGGCGCGATGAAGAACGCATAATTCATATCCGCGAACAATGGGAAAGAGAAGTGGAAGAGCATGAGGAGGAAGTGAAGGAGGGACGGAGGCATGACGAAGAAGAAAGAATTCGTATTCGCAAACGATGAGGAAGAGAAGTGGAAGAGCACGAACGTGAAGTGGAGGAGAGACAGAAGCACGAATAAGAAGAAGGCTTGAAATTGAATATGTTTTGGACCGACTTGGCATCCCACATGTGCACGACATACGCCACTCGAGAGTACACCGCTCGACTGGTGAATGTTCCACCATACTACAACCGCCGCGTGGGAACTTGCATGGCCACACCGGTAAAGATCCACGCGGCTGAATATACGCCTAAGTGGTGCGAGGATGGCGTAGGTATTCCTGCATTTATTGGTAGTACGAGCAGCTGATATTCCGCGTCCAGGGTCCAGACAACGTAATAGGTCATTGGGAAGTCGACCAGCATGAGCCGGATTGCGCGTCGTACTGGAGCTCGTACAAAGATCTTGTTTGTTGATCCTTCTCATCGGCATATTTGCAACTTACTAATTGCCACAGGGCTGTGTTTCGCCTGGATCCGGTCAGCGAGTAAGTTTCTCAGACACAATATAGTGAGTGAAGTTGACGGTACGTAGCGTATTGAACAGTACTTCAAGAACCTCCCGTCGGGAGGCGATTGGAAGGAGTTCTGTGCTACCACTCCTGCAAGCTTCCGCGGGATGCATTTCATGGGGGGCAGAATTCTGCTTTCGAAAGGTTCGCTACTCAGTGACATCAATTGCGGCACGATTTGTTGATTCCCTTCAGTACCGTAGCACATACGGCCATTGGGTTTTTGATGACAAGAGCTGCAAGTAGGTCAAGTCACAATGAAGCTGCGATGTTGGATGAGGGTGATATTGTCTTGGAATTTTGATGCGCTATTTTTTGCTGTGCCATTCGATGTACAATATCATCTTCCAATCAGGGACGCCGTATCTCCGATTTCCAGGGTGAGTCTTTTTCGTGAACAAGTTCGGTGACGGAAATAGCACGACAATGTTTAATTTTTTTCAGTCTGAGCACCAGTGTAAGCAGTTTTGTTGTTCCTTCGGTTTGTAAGCTTTGGTTGCTCGAGCTGTCAGCCTGATTGTTGGAAAATGGGTCCAATACAACTGTTCCACAGATGCTGTGATTGTGCACCCGTCTGAAGAAGCTCCTGGCGCTGCTGAATCCACGAGTGTCATGCATTCGAACAAAGCTACATCCGTTTTGTCCTTACATATGGTTGATATATTTGGTATGTGTTCACGAGTGGTCGTTCACTCACGTAGATTCAGAATCACTTCAATCACCTCAGAGATTCTGGAACTTCGAAGGTCAGGTTTTAGGATTTTTCAACTTGGGTTGCTATCGCTCGGATTATATCCAAGGTCAGGGTTTGGTTTACCTCCGGCCTCTAACTCATTTCCCCAGTGAGCGTACGTCTGTCCGACTTCTCGAACTGATGGCGTCGACCTCCACTATCGTAGCGCCTATGGGCGCTAAAACTGTTGGGAATACAGCTGGTGGAATTTTCGAATTATCAGATTCGCTGTGAGTCCTGGTTCAGGCGAAACCATCGGCTCTTTGTACGAGGGCAATTGCAAAATCCGTTCCTTCAATACACAACTTAATAAGATTACACTGTCGCGAACTGCTTCCGTCTTGACTGCCAATCATACAACGTCCCATCAGTTGCTGACTTTGACTACAAGTTTGCCCGTAGATTTTCCACTTGTCAGGTCGATTTGCGCCTGTTTTACCCCCTCCGTGGTGAATGGATATTCCTTGAAGATTTGTGTCTTCAAGGTGCCGTTGGCAAGAAGGGAGAACAGGGCATTTCCGTAGTAGAGCGCTTCTGCTGGGGTGTATGTATAGTTGTTCATGCTAGAATACCTAATCGTTAGCATAAAATTGAATGACGCAGTGGTTAAACGTACGTAGGCCGGAGAAGCTTCACGTTCTTTTGCACGAGTCTGATGGGAGCGAATGGTGGAACGGGCCCCGAAGCATTACCCACTGAGACAAGGGTGCCTTTCCGCCTGATCATTATGAGGTCGGACTCGAACCTGCACCAAAGTTCAACTCAACTCAAGTAAGAGAAGCCACAGGTTCGATTCTTACGTGTCTTTACCCACGCCATCAAAGATTGCATGAACACCCTCCCCTTTTGTGAGTTCCAGAACACGTGCGACCGTGTCCTCGCTCTTATACAAGATCACATGGTCGGTCCCGTTAGCTTTTGCAAGGGCGGCCTTTTCTGGGGTCGAGGTCGTGCCTATCACAGTCGCTCCTCGCGACTTGGCCAGCTGCGTCATGAGCAATCCAAGACCACCTGCCACGGTGTGAATGAGGATTATATCGCCCTTTTGCACGTTGTATGATTCTTCCATGAAGGAAATAGCCGTCAACCCTTGCACGAGGGCCGAGACGGCCGTCAATGTCGACACCGACTCTGGAATCACGTATACCGTTTTCCACGGTACAGCAACGTATTCCGCGTGAGAACCCAGGAAATCCTGTAGGCCCGTGAGTAATTGCAAGGAAATGCATAGACAGCACATCGTACGACTGCGACGCGGGAACCTTCTTTGTACCCACGCTTCTTGTAATCCGGGTCGTTCAGGACAGACTCGTCTGTAGGAAGGGCGACGACTATACCGCCGGCTTCCTTCCCAATCACAAATGGGAATTCAGAGACTGGGTATAACCCTTCTCTGTTGCACACTTAGCTGCGTTCCTCGGGATGCTTAGAACGTTTGAACACTTGCCTGTAGTATGTGTCGATGAAATTGACACCCAGATATTGGATCTATTCAGCGCAGCACAGAATAAGTGTTAATGCTCGCATAGGAAATTGGTAATGATTCTACCTTTACGACCAGATGGTTCGGGGCTACTTTTGGGAAAGGGATCTCGCGTTTCTCGACGACCTCGGGTCCCCCCGTCTTTGAGATCGTGATGGCTTGAATTGTTGACGGATAGGACATTCTGGCGGTTGCAGTGGAAAAGTGGCGAGCGAGAGTGGAAAGTCGGCGAGCTAAACCTATCATGCACCTGGGAGGATGTGATACAAAGCGATTCCTGTGGGTAGACTAAGATAAGAGTTACCCTCATGATATCGTCAGCGCAATTAGTCAGCGTCTTGCAATTGCGATATTCTGATCATGAGACACATGGAAAGGCGGAACACCGTAGCTGCTTGACAAATTGAGTGTTTAAAGTTGAGTAGAGTTAATTTAAAGAAAACATATAGAGTCTATTGACGCCGCGGGTGTTGGATTTGGGATGGACGACATCCGGCGGCAAGTACATTTTCGGTAGACTAATAAGCATATACGATGTAACCAATGGATATCGCTGGTGCATCATGTATTCTAAGGAGCTGCCACGTAGTGGTGGAGTAAACGATTGAAGGCTGTACTGAACGAGTGCATGATCAAGAAGCACCTCTGGCTTCAAAGGCTTGGTTTAAGATGTCGTAAATGAGATGAATTTGTTCATCTCTCTGGACCATCCCAGGTCTCTGCTCTCGTAAGCTGTCAATCTCCTGTGCTATCAGGTCTTCCTGAAGTTCCTTTGGTAGGGTACCCAGCGGAGGGACAGGTAAAGGGGACAAAGGCTGTGGGGGAAGTGTCAGGGTGTTTGAGCGCAGGTTGCCACTCAAAAGATGGTATGCGCGTAACAGTGACGACATCGCAATGAATGATCCAGTCCGCCCTATGCCAGCGGAGCAGTTGACCATAATAGGAGGATCTGGATCTGGCTCTGGAGATGATGGGAGTGAAGAGGTATCCTTGTTAACGCGATCCACAAGACGAACGAAAGCGATAAGGCTAGCTCGGTCTTCATCCTCAGGAACTCCATGGTCCTGGCCATGCAGCATACAGCAGATGAGTGAATACCACAGCATCCTGCAGGATTTGTCGAGGTGACAGGAACTATGGAGACCTTGCTCTGCACGCAGCAGGCTTCATTTATTCGCTTGCTCTCTAGTAGCGTCACCTTCAGTACAGGCACATCACTTGTCGGATCTGGGTTCGACAACACTGATTGTCCAGGAGTGGAGGGAAAATAGGCATGAGCTTTCTGTCGTCCTCTCTCCATATTTTGCGTGAGCTGAACGATGGTCCGCACACGACTAGGAGTATGCATGTGGGGAAAATTGAGAGATGCTGGAGGAGTAGAAATTGGTTGCACGATGGCGCTGAGGAACACATGTGCTGTGCGCGGAAGGGGTGCTTGAGTAGCAATCCATAACTTCCCGCCATACAGCTCCCGCACCCAGCTTGCGTTAAAATATCTTCCCTTACTACCCTCAGCTCCGACACTGCAGTGACTGCCCTTCAGATCGCCCACTACAACGCGCGTCCGATCATATGGTTGAATATTGGAGTACCGATTAGCGACTATATTGTCTGGATGGTGGGCTATCATGATGGAGTAGTGTGCGGCTGGATCGATCTTTCCAAGCGCAGAAGACAATGCTTGCTGCCCGCGCGCAAGAAGCGACGTAGAATGTGGTTCTGGCACGAGAGATCGAGTCCGAATGTGATCGCGAGCATATTCTCGTTCAGACAATGTGGAACAAACAGTTTCGGAGATAAAGCGAGAATCATTTGCTAATGCTCTGGAAAGCCAAGCGGGTGTCAGTGTTGATGCAGATGTTGCAGCCATTGAAAAAGATGAAAGGTAAGGCGAAGCTTTGGAGGGATTTGATACCTTCCTGTGTGTGAGAACAAAATGCCAGTTTTGTTCAAAGTCTTCCAAAATTAGTCTGATACAGCAGTTTGCTCATGAAGCTGAGCAACGATGGATAACAGTTATGTATCGTTGATATCAACTAATCCACAGCATGTCAAGTTAGTGATTATTTCGCAGAGCAGCAATTCAGTTCTCACAAATTTGGCTACCAGAGTCAGTTCCACGTTGGAAAAATCCACGGGGAAGAAACACTTGACGGACAGTAACCCAGAAACGTGCTGGACATCGCGAGAGGTACAACAATGTTCCTTTGTTTGGAGACATCATTGAAACATTGACCTCGAATATGGGTAGGGACCTGGGCAGTACATCCATCTAACGTTCGAAAAGCCAGCGATACCTAAGCGAATCACCATCATTTTCCAAGGCGGATTTGTCGGAACCAAATGTAGAATCGAGGTCTCCGAGTCGTCAGATAGGCCCGAATGGCAGACATGGACACATATCCACCCCGAGGATGCGAACAGACGTCAAACTTTTGACTTGATAATCCATAGAGACGGATTTCCAGGGGAGGGAATTCAGAGCATGAAACTCGTCTTCGAGGAGAGTTCTGATTTCTACGGTAGAATCACAATCTATGAGTTGAAGATTGAAGGGCTCCTGCTCTAAAATGACGAAGAGTGGTTTGACCATATTTAAATTTTCACTAGAGCCAAGCCTGCCATGTGCTTGAGCAATTAGATCTGTGTGCACTGTGCGCCAATAAATTTGTGGTGAACAAGAGCCTCACATCGGATGTATTACATACTTCAGTCACAGTGGGAGTCGGACGTCAAATCCCCGTACACACGCACAGTTTGCACCATCCAACGATGATGACCATCTAATATTCATATCACGACAGCAGTCTAAGCATATGGTGGCGCCGCTGCGATCTGTTAACATCCGCTGAATCTTTACTAGACTGCCTACGCAGACCACTTCAGGGACTGAAAACACCCGTGCGCGATGGCTGGAAACCTCCAACTCTTCGTCGTGTCCATCCTTACTGCATTATTTGCGGCCTACAGCCTATATCGCCGTAATAAAATACTTGTCCGGTTCCCTCCTGGTCCGCGTCGACTTCCATTGTTTGGAAACCTCACAGATCTCCCTACGAGCCAGCAATGGGTAACTTATGCAAAGTGGAGAGGTCAATACGGTGAGCTTCTTGTATACGACTCCTAGCTCCTCCTCAACAAGACATTGGTTTAGGTGACCTCATTGGCCTTGTCGTGCTAGGGCAGCCCATCGTTGTCATCAACTCCATTCGGACTGCATTCGATCTCCTCAACAAGCGAGGTTCTATATACCTTAACCGCCCCGGATTCTCGTTGGTACGAGAATGGTATCCCTGATCTATTATGCAGGAATTATAGACTCACATACTGCAGGGGTGGGTGGAATTGGATGATCACAACGATGCAATATGGCGAGGAATGGAAATTGCAGCGCAAGATGTACGCGCAGCAACTGAATCCGAAGTGCATTCAAGAATTCCATCATGTCATCTATGTGCAAGCAGCGAAACTGGCTTCAAGGCTATTATGTTCGCCAGAGAAATTTCAGGACCACACAAGACTGTGATTTCATCGATGCGCCAAGTATAAATGCAAACTGACGATATACTCCCAGGTTCGCTGGTGCAAATATCCTAATGATCACTTATGGTCACGAAGGTATCTACGCAACGTAGCTCTTCGTTTTCAGTCTCATGACGTCAAGCAGTTGTAGACGAGAATGACGAATGGGTCAAGTTGGCACGAGAAGCTAATGCATCTCTAGAAGTTTTAACGAATGTCGGGGCGCATCCTGTTGACATATTTCCATGGTGTAGGATCTTCATACCTGCGCCAATATTGTGGTCAAATAATGCCAATTTTCAGTGCGGCACTTTCCGATGAACATCTTCGGAGGCAAATTTGCGCGACAAATGCGGCATATGCGAAACTTGGCGGAGCAATTGGTTGAACGACCATACGCTGCTGTGAAAGACGAAGTTGTACGTTTCGAGTTTCTCCGCCTTTCGTAAGCCCGTGATTGTATTTTGCAGCTTTGTGGCAGAGTGCTACATTCATCGATGGCGCACCGTCTCATCGACTCATACACCTCTGCGGGCATCACGGCGCATGAGGAAACCATTCGAGGCGCATTAGCAGGTGTTTACGTTGGTAAGTCAATCATTCAGGCATTGCCAGACACTCTGACTTACCCGTTGATACAGCGGGGGCTGATACGGCAAGTGTTTTAACACAAGAGCATAGACTGTTATCCCAATTTTTTGCTTGTAGATCATCAGCACTATCGATACTGCAATCCTTGCCCTTATGCTAAACCCCGATATTCAGAAGGAAGCACAACATCTTCTTGATGTCGTCCTTTGTGGTCAGCGGCTACCAAGTCTGGAAGATCGACCTAAATTTCCATACGTCGATGCTATTTTGCGAGAGACACTAAGGTAAATGCAATCATGTCCCTATTCGCACCCGCTGTAATAAAAGTCTGGCAGGTGGAATCCAGTTGCACCGCTAGGTAAGCAGTGATTTATTTCTCGCTTGGTCGTCTTCCCGATGTTTATCATCCTGCAGCTGTTCCCCACCGCCTGGTTCAAGAAGACTCATATGAAAATATGGTGTTCCCTGCTGGAACTATATTTATTGCAAATAGTTGGTGAGTGTCGGATACCGTGTCGTATATTTGTGTCTCATCCTCAGTAGGCAGATGTTACACGATGAGGCAACATATCCTAATCCCACTGAGTTCTCTCCAAACCGGTTTTTGCGCGATGATGGGATGTTGTGTGATGATATCCTTGATCCACGTGAAATTGCCTTCGGGTTTGGTCGTAGGTCAGCCCTGTGTGTCTTCTGGGAGCAATGTTGTTTATGGAACTGAATCCATTGCAATTCTGCCGCCAGGATTTGTCCAGGAAGGCATTTGGCAGAGTCGTCGCTCTGGATAACGATTTCAATGATCCTGTACCTCTTTGACCTCACCATACCACTTGATGAGAGGGGTGAACCGATCCGCCCGGACTTGACATACACATCAACGTTCATTAGGTATGTGAATTCCTTACGCGAGAGGAAGTCCTCCGATGACATTCCTTCATAACATATCAGCCACCCAACCCCCTTTCAATGTGTTTTCACACCCCGTTCCCATACTGCAAGGTTGCTGTTAGATCCGAAAAAATGAATTTACGTGTATTATCCTGGATACCTGGCTGCGTACATAGAAGTGGACGTACTGTACGATTACGACCTTAGGTTCCTGCCAATCAGTACAATATCGGGCTCACTTTGCAGTGTGGTTGATAGGAAAAAATCCTCCAGAAAGTGTGCGTCAGCGGTTGATCGGGAAACGACAGGAAACGCGTCGAATGTTTTTTAGTCTGCGCAGTGCAGCCCAGTGAAAGGTTCTGTGGCTCAAGTTACAGGATGCTTATGTAAGTTCGAAGATTTTTCATCAAGTTCAACGTCTTCTTACTAGTACTACTTCCTTCTCTCAATGTTACATTACTACCACCGCCACTTTACTGCCAAAAACGTTTACGTGTCTTCAAATATCACTTTCCACCCACTAATAACGCGGTTTTGTGAACAGCTATTCCCTGTGTAGGCTGTCGCCTCATCCGATCCAGACTCAGGCCGCGCCAGGAATATATCGATGTCGCTTCTGTGCTGTATTCACGAGCCGTAGTGGTGCAAATCAATGCCCGAGACGACTATCTAACGATGAAGGAGTTCTTCGATGCTCCCTGGAGTCAATGTCACCGATAAGGGACTTTTTGCCCACCTACCTTCACTGTATCACTCGTCCTTCCGGGCTAGACAGGTTTTCATTGCATTTAGCACTGTCTTGTCGGTCTTCACGCTGCAAGACGGTGATTTCCTCCAACTTATGTAGTTCTGAAAATAGGAAAGTAAAATTACAGTCAGTTCTGTGTCTTGATTAGAGGAATCAAGTTCTGCCAGGATCTATGACAGGATATTGTGATGTATTAACCAGGACTCGAAGTATAAGTGAGTACTCTCAAGGAAGTGCACTGAGAATATTCTTATCCGTGACGCTTGTCGCTTGAGTCTTCTCTAAAATCATTCGTTTACAAGATGACACGAGAGGCGTACATCAGGTTTTGCATCGTCCATTGCAGCTAGCATAGGTTCGTTCTTTGTTGCAGTTGTTGACCAGTTCACTGAATATGCTGTTTCTCCCAAAGCACCGACATGACTCACGGATCTCATCGCTCATGCGAATTGGCCTTGGATCTACGATTATTCAACTGTCCACGGAGCTAGAAACATAAGTTGTGGTACTCCGATCGGATTATTAGCCTCAGGAAGGCGCAATCATCCACAGCGCATCTACAACGCACTTCTCGTCTTTACATCGCGGACTTGTAACAAAAACAAACAACTCAAGCGTCAATACAAAGCTGAATGCATCGAGCAAAATAGCCACTGTCCCATTTAGTGGATAATGGTGGTCCACAGGAAATGTTCCCTGAAAGGGAGGTCTCCACAGTAGAAACACAACTCGAGGACACTTTCAAAGCGGCGCGCGACGACCATATAAATATTGTTTCGGTGACCTTCATCCTCTATCCCTTACCCACTGCACCTGCTGTCACTGCGAACGCGTACACATCCTCGTAATACTTCGATTAATTATCTGCTGGCCCAGGTACGTGCATCCCCAGCTTGAACACCTGCGTTTTCTAACTATATCTACTTATTACAGATGACCCAATCCACCCCCCATACATCCTCATCGCACGGTTCTGAGCCTTCCAATGCGGCACAATACACGCCAAACACTGGCATGCATATGGATCAATTTCCCTGGCCTCACCCCGCATACATTCCTCATCCAGGCCTCTACTACCCTTACGGTGTGCCTATTGCGCCGCATGGTGCCGCTCCTCCATATGCACCTGTAGTACCTTCGCCTGATGTTGGTTCTGGAGTTGCGCATCACGCGTCCCAAACGGGACAACATGGTTATTACCCCCCTGCAGTAGCCGATGTCACTAATGTTAGTCAATACCCACCGCTAACTGAGGCTGCTCCTCCCCCGCAACACCCATCCGCGCCCCCCCTGTACCATCAAGCATTCCCATCGAGTGTTTCTCCAGGAGCCATCATCCCTTACGCTCCACCCACACCCCACCAAGGGTATCTCCAGCATCACGGGCCTGGGCTCCCAACGGGCTTTACTCCCTTGTTCACGGGAAACGTCAAAAAACGCAACGTCAAGCGAACCAAAATATGGCTCGACAAGATCAAGGATGACCCGTTATTTGTGAGTTTTCTTTTAATGTTGTGAGGTCGTATTCTTAATCCTTGCAACAGAAACCCGTGTTAGATCAATCTGGTCAACACTACGGGACATATGTGTGTTCTAAGGATGGCATGGTCATCCGTCCTGGCAGTTACAAACACCACATCACGACAGCGAAACATGTTGGTAACAAATTAACGCTATTCAAATGCCCTCTTTGTCCGAAAACGTACGTGTCCCCATTCCCATATAAGCGTGTCCCATCATTAATACTGTTATGATTAGTTATACCCGACGTGATGCCTGCAAGAGGCATTGGGACGAGAGATGTGGAAAGCTAGCAGCTGACGGCGCTCGGCTATCATACAGAGCCGCTTGCCAACGTTTCATGAGTTCCGCTTCTGCTTCGCCTGAGACCATGTCGACAGAGGTCACCGAAGACGCCCCAAGCCCTGATTCTTGTGCGGCTAATGAGATACAGGACCTTGCTTTGGTGGCACCCGAGCTTCCCCCATCTGAAGTACGAGAGATTACACTCGCAGAGGTCCACGAAAACCTTGCCTTTGGGAGGTGGATTAATGGCATAGAGGACTTTGTGGATCCTGTCCTTCCCATCTCCGAACCTCCGTCCTCTCCGTTACCAGAGACCATGCTCGCAGAGGCTGCCGAAGACCCAGATGTCTGGAGCCTCGTTAATGAGATAGAGGACTTTGTGGATCCCGAAATTCCTCTTTGCGAGTCTCCCGCAGACGCCGCTGAAGACCCTGATTTTTGCAACTTGCCAATCAGAACCCTTTTGATATGTTCTTGGCTAAACAATTCTTACGAGAGCGCTCTACACCAACGATCTCCCTCTGAATTAGCACCTCTCTCTTCTGCCCTCATCGACCACGAGATGTAGAGTTTATTTCATATTTCACTTCTTTGCCAACTATCCATTATCCTTTCTATATTTCACTCCTTGCTACCGCCTATTCACGTATAGCACCACACATTATTTCCGTACCCTCATCGACTATGAGATGTAGAGTTCATTTCATATTACACTTCTTTACCAACTATTCACTATCCTCTCTATGTTTCGCTCCTTGCTGTCACCTATTCACGTATAGCATCACATATTCTTTTCATACTCTATGGGGTAGCGCACTACCTCTCGTTCATTCTTACCATTATTATTACTATCACTGTATCATTATCATTAGGCTGAAATGCACAATTCCTTGTATATATGTGCTGGAAGATCTAAGGAACGAGCGAGCAGGGATGAAACAATTTGTGTTATCATCTCCGAGACTCCCAATCCGTTCAAAAAGCGGGACACAGTACTTACTCGGGCTTGATGAGTTCGTCATCCTACTAGGAAAGCTTATTCAAGATTCAACTGGAGCTTCAAATTTCAAATTTCAAAGCGCAAATCATTACATAATAGGCATGACGCTCAACCAAACAACATAGCGGCCTACAACGCGAGGTAAACTATTCAACACGGAGCGGACCCACATTCGCTCAACGTGGTAAAGTCCCTACAGCGGAGGCCAGCTATGCAGTCATGGAAGGCGTGCTATTACCTGTGGTGGGTCCTCTTGCCTTTGGTTGTACCAGAGGCCTTGGGGGGCATGCCGGATGCGGCGATGATCGGGACGGAGATAGGTGGAGATACTGGGAGAGAATGAATCCGGACGGGCACCGATACCGGGAGAGAAGGGGTCGGGATGGGTAGTGATACTGGGAGAGAAGGTTTTGGGATGGACAGCGATACTGGTAGAGAAGGAACCACAGCAAGAGCAGGCTTGCCTGAGGCGCTGGCTGGAGATGCACGCACCGAACCGGAAGCGCTGGCCGATGAGGCATGCGCCGAGCCTGAAGACGACGGTGCAGATGCTGAGGTTGTATCACGACGGTGAATGTGGCGTCCACGACCCGGGTGCACATCAGCCTGCTGATGAGCAGCCGACGCAGAGGCGGCGGGGGTTGACGCCTGAGAAGGGGAGGCAGTCGAGTTTGCCTGAACAGTCGGCAAGGAAGAGTGAGAACTGTCGGCACTGACTGCTTCTACTGCACCCCGTGGAATTGGCAAAGCTGGAATTGGTAAGGCTGGCAGGGGCAGGTTAGCGGTCAGATTCTGTACACGGTCAATCGCGGCTTGTGCTGGCTGCACTGCTTCCACTGGAAGATTGAGTGAGCCAAGAATGGACGATAAGATGCCAACCAAGGCAGAGATGAGGTCGTTGCGCCTATGTACCTCCGCTATATGGGAAAAGTGGTCAGAGGATGTTTGTAAATGATGCGCAGGAGGGAGCTCACCATGACGTGGTGGTGCATTGGGATTGGAGACACTGACGGGTATGCCTTGGACACCCCCAGAAAGCAAGAGAGCGAGTGAGAACGAGACAAAGACGATATAGAGGGATAGTAAGCGCATTATAAGTATATTTAAAGAGGTTCGTGAAAGTCGTTAAATGGAGCGCTAGAGTGGTTTGATAGATAAAGAGCAGGAGAAGATGTGGGTAAGGATCGTAAAGGCAAGGATGGGTCTTTATACCTTGGCAGAACGGCGGCTGACAGATATACGTGAAGGTGAAACCTGTTGACGATGACGTTCGTGCAATAATTCTAGACCAAACCACGGGCTCGAACCCGAATCGTGACCACAGGTGAGGTGTCGACAGGCATAACATGTCTCAGACACGGCTCTCTCGCAGAGAATTTTATGCCTGCCTGGAGCTGGCGACACCTTGCATTATGATTGTGAATAGGTCTGCAACAGAGCCCAAATGGGCGTCGACGTCACTGGTCATGATGCATGATCTCGAGGTGCAAATGGGTAAAAATAGTAAATGACCTGTGGGTTGTTATGTCCAAGACAACCCAAGACCTATTTTCCATGCTGCAGCTGTAGATCCGTGAGGGTATTTTCACGGTCCTCTCCTGTAGTCCGTCATCTCCCATATATTATCCTCCCCAAGTTCTCTCCGTCTTCTCGAGCTGGTAGTGTCATTTACTGAACCAGACAAGACCATGAGGTTCCATAGGTCAGATAAAGAACGAAGCAGGGGGGTTCCTATGCATGACGACAGGAAACACCATCCTAACCCTGCGAATCTGTTTGAATAAGAAGCTGAGCAGGTAAAAGACACGTAGAATACAAATAAACATACATGAGAACTGCAAGAGCGAAGAGCAAGGCCATCAATGACGAATCGTAGCCTGTTTCTACCATCAGCTGGAGGTCAACAAGTTTGTTGTCGACAACTTGGGAAAAACGGAACCAAATTAATAAGATAAGCCTGGCCAAGACTCTAGACATAAATAATGGTTATCTGATAGGCTCAAACCTTTACTTTTGTTCTCACGTCATTTGGCTCCACCTAGGCTGCTCGGTACATAAGTATCGTGGTACTCCGAGTCAGACGCCTACACACCTTCACCTTTCCTACCTAGCTAGAGGTTCGTACATATTCACTTACTCCCTGTATAGCGTTGGTCTGACACACGTTTTCTCAATTGGCCCTCTAACTCGGGTATTAGAGTCTAGACAAGGGTGTTCGTAACATCACATACTCAAATCTTGCAAGAATCACCGAGCGTTGAATATAATTCATCTTTGAAGATGTCTAATCCCAATTCAACTTCGGTAAGCTTGAGGCAAGTACCAGAGGTGACCATTTCACGCGCACGCGCCCTTCGACGCCCACTCACAGCGTTATAGAATTCCAACGCACAAGTATCAAGGAGGGCCGAAGATATCGAGGTGGCCCCCACACTCCAAGATAGCGATCTTCCCGACCCATACAGGATCCGAGTCGGTCTCAAGACAGACGACGAGCTCTCACAGCTTCGTCATCGTCGTAGGACTGGTAAACGACTCGAAAAATTTCACAGAAAGCAGAATGACGTAAGTTTTTCTCTTATATCATATTATTTCGATGTCGTGCTGAAGGGTAAATGATCAGCTCATTCAATCATTGCTGAAACCTATGGAAGAACATACACAGGAGGCGAAAGAAGATGAAGCACATTTCCATTTTTCTGTAAGGAAGTGCTGTGGGGTTGCCCATCTCTGCTAAACCAATCACGCATTCAGGTTAGGGTCGCAGTCTGGGCAAGTCTTGTTGCCAACTTCATTCTTTGCGTACTTCAGCGTACGTCTTTGCAATATGTCCCTGTTGCTTGCCCTAATTATTCCACACTAGTATATGCTGCTGTGTCATCCGTCTCTTTGTCCCTCATTGCCACAGGGATTGATGCTACTTTCGATTTTGGAAGTAATGTCTTCCTGTACTGGACTCACAAGAAAGCACTGTCAATGGATGTTAACAAATGGCCTGTTGGTGGCTCTCGAGTTGAAACCATCGGAAATATCGTCTACGGTGATTCGTCCGTTCGCTCAGCGGGAAATCATCTCAATTTTTCTCAGGTTCACTGTTCGTCTAGTTATCAGGCCTTTGGAGCTTGGCTGACATTCTCGCAGCATGGCTTCGGTCAACTTGGTTGTTATTGTTGAATCCATCCGCGCAATTATGACTCAAGAGAAGGATAACGGCTTTCACATCCAAGCCATCATCGCAGTCGCAGCTGCACTTGGTACATAGTCCGCACTGAGATCCTTTTCGGTCATCTGATGAACTCTCAATTCAAACAGCGGTCAAATTTGTCCTTTTCTTGTATTGTTTGGCCCTCCGATCAAAGTCTAGCCAAGTGCGGGTCTTATGGGAGGATCATCGAAACGATCTTTTCATCAATGGATTCGGTAGGACGACTCTCTGCTTCAAGCAGTTTGGTACCCTAAAGTGATCATGCTCGCCAGGTATTTTGATGTCTGCTGGAGGAAGTAGATTGCGATGGTGTTCGTGACCCCAGATCTTGCATTCTTTGTAAACTTACATGTCAAACAGGGCTGGACCCTACTGGCGCTATCCTCGTACGCTTCATTCATACATCCCCTGCCCTTCCCACTCATATGATCGCTCCGACAGATTGGCGCTGGAGTGATCATTGCTTGGAGCTGCACTATCTACGAACAATTTGGCTTCTTGGCCGGGAAGTCTGCGCCACACGACTTCCTGCAGCTCATCATCTACAAAGCCATGACCTTCAGCGATGAAATTGAGAAAATCGATACCGTACGGGCGTACCACGTAAGTGTTCAATACCATTGCGTATGATACATTGTCCTGACTAAATGATGCAGAGCGGACCTGTACGTGACATTGGTCCTACTGTCAGGAGTGCTTCTTTGACTGATAGTGTTAACTAGGATTACATCGTCGAGGTAGACATCGTCATGGACGCTACCACGCCGTTATGGAAAGCACACGATATTAGCCAGCAACTGCAGGATAAGATCGAGGTACTTCCGAATGTCGAGCGTGCCTTTGTGCACGTTGATCACGAGACGACTCATGCCCCCGTAAGTAAGATCTAATCCCATCATCTTCAATCACTCAGTCGCTTGTACAGGAACATCGCAAGATTGTGTAGACGAAAGGCAGCTGAATGAAACAACATATCCCTGGTTATCCCCTGTGGGAATGCTATCAGTATCTATAAGAACTTGATGTTTTGTTACCGGATACCTTTACTAGGTGCCAAGATTACGGATTGCTTGTTATTGTTGTGCTCGTATAATCATACTACTGCAGTCTCCTTATATAGTTTGCCTGCTGATCGGACTTACGCTTCATGATTGGAAGATCGACAATATGAGTGCTAGCGCGTATCACATCACCGGTATGAGAAAATCACTAACCACCTGTATAGCCTACGTGCATAGCACAGACTTTCAAACGAGTCCGCAGGCTGCAGTGCGGTTCGATATTACTGTGCCTTCCTATGTCAACTCAATCTCGACAAGACGCGCGAAAGTGAGCTTTTTCTTGAGAACATCATCGTGACATATCTTATTCCCCATCCGAGAGTATAGACCTGCATGAAAATTACTACTTAATCCGCCCATTCGACCGGTTTCAAGGCGACTTCCAGGCCATCCAGGACGTGAAAGAGTCGGAGCTTTGGCGTATCCCTGACACGTGCGCCATAAGGGTTGAAAAACTCTCGTGTCCAGCATTTGGCTGTCGCGAAATGGGGGGCACCAGAGTTTGCCAGACTGAACTAGGCGTCAACGTAACACGACCAGTGTTCCTCTCCATGATGGGCCACCGCACTGGGGAGCGATCGTCAGACAATCTGTCAACGAGTCAGTAATGGTCGCAGGTCGTCCATCGAAGATAACTCACGTCTATATCAATGGCTCTCGTGTCATTGGTTTGTGGTAATGGATCTATCTCTGAATAGTGTGGGGGATATTTGGCAGATTGTGATGTCGTCTTTTGCCTGGGCTGCGTTGTTCTATAATGAGAGACAGCATGTTACACGTGTAGTGAATATTTTGATTATGCGAGGATTGAGGAACTGTCATCCTCGGAGAGGCAATATAGCGAATAAGGCGAACGTAGAGCCGCCAGTTGGTCTGGATGGTCATCAGTAAACCGGTGAGACCCAGATATTAGTAGATACTGTAGTATTTTGTAAGCTCAATGCTTCTTTCCTGTGTATTACTGATGACGGTGCCATTGACAGTTCGTGCGAAGTGCAATTTACCTGTCATTAGATAAGCGCGTTGGACTTTGACAATCTGTATCAAGTACACCGAAATGTGACCGGACGAATTACCTGTTTGATCATCAGTGTTCATTACAAAACATCGAAGCAGGGTTTGAGCGCTGAGCTTTCAAGATTGCGCAGGACTGGACAGTTCTGACGAGCTCGCTTGTGGATGGCATCAGGTCAGGGTCTCTCAGGCAGACCAACTGAAGCAATAAGGAAGACATCCATAGGCAAGACAATACTGCCGTGTCCTTGTGGTGCTGTTGACTCCAACAGGCCCAGGCGCTGTGTAACTGTCTCTGAAAAGGGATTGGAGTAAGATGCCGAGGCCATGCCCCAAGAGATACAAGGCTGAGAACAGCGTTTGTCGTGACAGGTCCACAGAAATAGCGAAGAGCGGCAGGAGAGGTCATCGTTTAGGGAATGAGTCGGTGCTCGGGAGACAACGGTGACATCAAAGTCTCCTTGTGAATGATTGACGTCTGTCCCCGGCGTATCGAACCTAGTCAAGGGGCACGACTCAGAAGCCGAGGATCCAGGCCCAGGACTGATGAATGACTTGGAACAAAGACCTGCAAATATAAAACTCACTTCAAGGGAGTCATTAATCGCACAGGAAATGGAGAGGAGACCATACTTATGGGTAGTGTAGTAAAAGAGCCTTTATGGCTTTGAGCGGTTGCAGTCCAACCGGCGAGAAGATAAAATAAGGCATCAAGTTGTCAACAACTCACAAACCCCACCCTCTCTGCAACTAACACTAGTACTGGAGATCTTCCTCTCCTTTATACCAAACAAACTTTGATACCAGCCTGACGCCTACTCGATACCAGAATCATTCACAAAGATACTTAACCATTCACTCAGTGCGTGTGCGATAAATGATGGTGAGCAGGAGAAAGATGGCGGTAAGGAGTTAGTTCATGAGACGCTGCTAGGATGCTAGAAATCAAGACCCAGAGGAGTTGTATGTTAAACAAGACAGAATCGGTGCGCATCAGATTCTGTTCCTCACCGCAGCCAACTGACCATCTGCGACAGGGAAGGGATCCTTTGGAGAAGTCTACAAAGGGTGTGCTATGATGATACTTGAACCTGCCAGCGGTCCCCCTCACGCTTTTTCTAGGTATGACAAGCGAACTCAGAAGACCGTTGCCATCAAGATCATAGATCTTGAAAGCGCAGAAGATGAGATAGAGGACATTCAGCAAGAGATCCAGATCTTATCACAGCTAGACTCGGCACATGTCACCAAGTTCGTACCTTCCTTGCCGTCTTGCTCTTGTCTGGATTCGACGAGGTTAACATGTAGCGTTTTTGCACGCAAGATATCATGGATCCTTCCTCAAGGGTTCGAATCTCTGGATAGTCATGGAGTACGCACCTTAATTCCATTCCATTCTCATTCCCTCATAAATATATAGATACTGCTCGGGCGGCTCATGTTCTGATCTGGTATGATCACAGCTAACCCTGGTAACTTTCACTTATTTCACATTACGCAGATGAAACCTGGCGTATTTCGGGAAGAGTACATCGCAATCATCGTCCGAGAGCTTCTCCGCGGACTTGACTATCTGCACACAGAGGGCAAACTCCATCGGGATATCAAAGGTCATTCTACTTCACTCCTGATTCATCTGATACTCATGTCATATCATGCACAGCTGCCAACATACTGCTTTCCGCAGGAGGCGATGTCAAGCTTGCCGATTTTGGCGTGTCTGGGCAGCTTTCTGGAACGCTGTCTGCCAAGAAGAACACTTTTGTCGGCACGCCATACTGGATGTCGCCTGAGGTAATCAAGCAAAGTGGTTATGACCATAAAGCGGATATATGGAGCTTGGGTATAACTGCAATTGAGCTGGCAAAGGGAGAGCCACCCTACGCAGAGCTCCATCCGATGAAGGTAAGTGGGACTGGGCGGCTGCCAGATTCCGAGATGTTGCTTACACCTTGCCACACAGGTGCTATTCCTGATACCCAAGAACCCTCCGCCGCAGCTGGACAGTCACTTCTCCAAACCATTTCGGGATTTTGTTGCGTATTGTTTGCAACGGGATCCCCGCGATGTTAGTCTGCTCTCCATTCTTTGTGTTCGTTTCATGTTACCATAACTGAGATGGACAAATATATCACAGCGCCCGACGGCACGCGACCTGTTAAAGCACAAGTTTGTTCGTATGGCGAAGAAGACTAGTTACCTCACAGAACTAATCGAGAGGCATGAGCGATGGAAGGCCGAGGGTGGGGATCGCGCGGAGGAAGAGGAACAAGTTGATAGTCAAGAATTGTGGGTCCCTCCTGCTTTCCAGATATCCTCTAATATATCTTATCTAGGCCTCCAAACGCTGACCTAGAAGATCTCTGGGACTTTGGTACTGTCCGACACACAGGTCGGTCGGGGACGATTGGACGTGCGCAGAACTCGATCAAGGTATCTGGTCCCCCCCTAACGTGGGAGATGAACGGGTCTTCTGGTGAGACGTCGTCGTCGTCGTCGTCATCTTCTTCCATCACAGCAAAAAAGGCGTCCGGGTCATCAATAAGGTCCAAGACTGAGCTGCCACCGTTGCCTTCGTCCCCACCGCTGGTGTCAGCATCCACACCACCCGCTCGAGCACCGAGCGTGTATGAACAAGCTACCGTGAGGCATATGCCGAGTGGAGGGCCCAGCGATAAACAAACGGGCCACAAGCGGGAGTCTTCTGATGAAGATTATGATAACCAATACTTGAACACTTATCCTAGAGGCGCGTCTGTTCACGAGAAACAGGATGAACCAGAGGACGATGAGTTACCTGATACCACTATGCTTGATTCTGTCATATTACCTGCAATAGCTTCGGTGAGGGTTCCGTTCTCCTATTGAGACAGGGCTGATCAGCATGTTCAGCTGTTCCCTCGAGTATCGACACAGGAAGCGCGAGTCGCGCTGAGCACTCTACAACGGGCATTTAGTGAGGCTGAGCGCATCATTCCAGGTGTAACTATGGAACTCGTGAACGAGATCGTAGATTCCGTGGAGCGAGTGGAGGATGATCACCAGCAGTAGGCTAACATACCACTGACATTGTGATATCTTGGTTTGCAGTCTTTTGATCCTTGCTTTCGTCGCTACATTCTTAGGACACTCACCCCACAAATACGAACATTCCTACCTACCCCCGCATAGATGCACTCACCCCCATCTTACCACACCAATCCGTGCTGTACAATCTTGCCAGCATATATATCGTGTAGTTCTTATTAGCATGAATGAGGAGTGTGAAGTGCCAAGAAATACCTAATTATAGTCCTTTGTCCACCGGCAATATAAACGATAGGGGCTCAGCGCTCAGCGTCCTGACTCTTTACTGTGTCAATGTACGCTCGCTTTATATATTCACTATGTCGCTGCTCCGGTTCTTTCCTCGCATCCGAACCATCATATTGCTTTGTGGGCGCTCTTGTGCAGTTGTGTAAGTGGTGAGAACGAGAAAAATGTTTGCTTGGTTGCAAGCAGATAGTTTTTCGGGCGGAAGCCCCGAAGGGGCAACCTCGGAGCCTCAGACCCAGCAGGTTCGGGTCTCAAGCACCCGGGCCCCAGTAGTAGGAATGTGACTATGTGGCTAAGGAACTCGGATATGAATATGGTAGAAAATTGTAATGTAGTCTGCGAAGGAAAGGGGTAGTGGGTGGGGAAAAGAAAATATGAAAGGCGGCAAGCTGCAGATAGGGCGCTGGAGAGCTTGCTAGAGTGTAGCTTGTGCGCTGTGTGGTAGGCGGAGAAGAGAAGCCATCTGCTACACAACATGAAGTCCTTATTCTAACCCTACACTCGTACCTCGCTTCGGGGTAGAATTCCAACGAGCTCCAGGACGTTGTGTGTCTTAGGCTACGCGGTGCGTATAGAACAACACAGCTACTAGTCTCAATTAGGTGTCAAATTAATTTCCTTCTGCCATGTGCATGATCCGGCGTCACCTGCCAATCTGGCTATCTACTCACAAGGATATTTTCACCAAGGATCTTCCGAGTCGAACTCCTCCGTCCGATATTCGTTCAGCATCATTCCGGCTCGTTGAGGGGGGCGTGCCAAACATAGTCACCTGTGATATCATCTCTTCTTTGTCATCACGGGCTCCACTGACTTTATAAGCTCGTTGTCTGAGGTCGTTTATACTTCATCAGTTCTTCCAAGACGCTGTAGTATGTCTCACGTTTATTATGCACGCCGGTTGTATCTCACCATAACTCCTCTCTAGACTTGTCCCTTAGTTTCATTTCTAACAACATTGTCATGGCACAATCCACTCCTCGAGTTTGGTTGAGTGAGTTGGTGCATGTAACCCCTAAGTGTGTGGGTCACTGACTGATCGTAGTTACCGGTTCTTCCTCTGGGTTCGGCAGGGCGATGACGGAAGAGGTCTTGCGTAACGGCGAGATTGTCGTCGCAACTCTGCGCAAGCCCTCCGCCCTTGATGACCTCGCTGCCAAATATCCGCGCACTCGGCTCCTAGTGCTCCCCCTAGACGTGACGAATGAAGCGCAGGTTAAATCTGTCTTCGCACAGGCCAAGAATGCCTTTGGGCACGTCAATGTCGTGTATAACAACGCGGGGCAGGTGTTTTATCAAGAGTTGGAGGGGACGTCATTGGACCGTGGCAGGGCACTAATGGATGTCAATTTCTGGGGCGCCGTAACGGTAAGCTTTGAGGCGGTTAGATTCTTTAGAGAGGAGAACCCGAAGGGTTATGGGGGGATGCTCGTTCAAGTATCGAGCGTGGCAGCGACCGCAGGGGTCCCTTTGCTCGGGTTCTATAACACTACGTGAGCGGGTTGATGCTATCTGGTTAAGCATCGCTAAGACATTTTTGTGTTCGTAGGAAAGCAGGTAAATTAATTATATTGCTTGTGGCACAATATGTGACTTTGACTCACCGCTGCTAGCCTTGGATTCGTTCACCGAAGTCCTGGCACAGGAAGTGCTTCCTGCTTGGAACATTCGTGTGAGTAATTGAAAAGGTGACCGTCGCTGACCGCTGAGTGACCATACAATACAGTTCGTAAATGTCCACCCAGGTTGGACGCGCACGCCCATTTCATCAAGTGAGGTGCTTGAGCCTCCGGCAGTGTACGCATCGGAACCGGCAGCCGCAACCACGAAGATGCGTGCTGGGTTTGATGCGTTCATCAAAAGCGATGCGCTGGCTGATGCTGAGGTTGTAACAAAACGCATTTGGTCGGTGACGCGGATGGACGATGAAAACCTACGCAAGGGTGTTCAGGAGGGCATCCCAGGCCTTGTGAACGTGTATACGGGCATGGACTCGCTGGAGGGTGTGCATGCAAAGATTGGACGGCTGCACGGTGAGCTGATGTGGAATACGAAAGTCCATTATGAACTTTAGTCTCGTGCACATCTACAAAACGAACAGTCAGTTCTGCAGAAGTAATTTGTGTAAACTCCCCAGATGAGACTCAGATGAAATAGTGATGGACGTGATGAAATAAGCGACATACCTGGTGCGATCTGGCGACGGTTCATGCTCAGTTGTGGTCTTAATATACCATTCTCGACAAACTTGGAAAATTTGTAGTCTTTCAAGTCACTGAGACGGCACTCACGGTGTGGATAACCGACATCTGAATTCTATATCCAGTCTTAGGACGACTACTCGGACCCGACTTATTGTCGGCAGATACGGCCGACTGGTGAATACAGGATTTATTACAATGATGTTGTTGTCAAGATTAAATAAGCGTAGCGCGAGGCACAGTAATAGCATCTGTGTAGAACACACGTGTGCTTTATGTATGCTTCTGAAAAAGGTCCCTCGGTTTATGACCGCTGACATCAGGGCATGCGCTTCTAGGATTCTCTCGCGCCCCTAGATATCCAAAGAGATTGTCCAAGTCGCACATCGTCCAATTCTCACTCAATCCCCTCCATATGGCTCCTACCGTCTACAGAGGCTCCATTGGCAAACGTGCCAACTTGAAGATATGCTTCAGGCATTCATCTCGGTACGAATTCTCGTACCAGCCACGGTCGTGCTACAAGTATTCAGTTAATTAACTGTGAGGGATCAGAAAAGGTTACACAGTACTCACTCATCTCGGCAATGTCGCCAGCGTGTTCCGTGTGCCATGTGGCTCATATCAAGCTCGACACATCCTTTAGATATCACCAATGCGGTCCGAGGATTATAAGAAAATGCCTCTTGTGAAGCGGGCGGTACCCAGAATAGCAGCCGACGATTGGGTCCTAACATCCATCCATCAGATCTCAACGAAAAGGAGGTTGATCTGCGGTCATCACGGGAGGTGCCCTCAACGAACTCAGCAGCGTTGTGCAGGCTGTGTCTCGAGTTTGATGAGAAGGAAATGAAGTCGTTCGTAGTATCGGGTTTTATGGTAGGGGTGGTCTTTGTTGGATGCCCGATGCAACTGGAATGTGAGGAGAATGCTGGTTGATCTTGTGTGGCGCGATTCTGCAATGGCTGTTCAACTGTTGCATACCAGACTCGAACAGTTTGATCCACCGAAGAAGACACTATGCGAGTCCCATCTGGAGAGAAAGAAATTGAGCAAACAGGACCAGTATGTCCCCGCAAGGGCTCATCCAGTGGCTGCCCCGACATTGCATCCCATAGCCGCACAGTGCCATCCGCCGAACCAGACGCAATGCGAGTCCCATCGTGCGAGAACGAGACTGACTTGACAGGACCAGTGTGCCCCAGCAAGAGCTCTCCAACCGGCTTCCCCGATGCTACATCCCACAGCTGTACAGTCATATCCTCCGAACCAGATGCGATTTGAGTGCCATCCGGCGAGAACGAAACTGAGTAAACTGGAGCAGTGTGCCCCCGCAAGGGCCCACCAACTGGCTTCCCCGTCACTACATCCCACAGCCGCACAGTCTTATCATGCGAACCAGTCGCGATGCGAGTTCCGTCCAGCGAGAACGAGACTGAGTAAACTGGAGCAGTGTGTCCCAGCAAGGGCTCGCAGACTGGCTGCCCCGTCACTGCATTCCACAGCCGCACAGCCTTGTCATCCGCACCAGTCACGATGCGAGTGCCGTCCGACGAGAACGAGACTGACCTAATCCAATCAGTGTGCCCCTTCAAAGGTTCACCAACAGGTTGGCCTGTCACTGCATCCCATAGCCGGATACTGTAATCCACAAAACGAGTTGCGATGCGGGTCCCATGTGGTGATAACGAGATTGAGTAAACCCACCCATTGTACCCGCGGAAGGAATGACCAATAGATTTCCCTGTCGCTGCATTCAACAGCCGGACAGTATTATCCGCGGAACCAGTTGCGATACAGGTACCATCCAGCGATAACGAGACCGAGCGAATCAAATCTGTGCGCCCCCGCAAGGGCTCACTGACTAGCTGCCCTGTTGCTACATCCCACAGTCGGACAGTATGATCATTCGAACCGGTTGCAATGCGAGACCCATCCGGTGAGAAAGAGATTGAGCAAACAGGGCCAGTATGCCCCCGCAAGGGCTCGCCCAGTGGCTGCCCCGAGGCTACATCCCACAGTCGTACAGTCTTATCCTCCGAACCAGATGCGATTTGAGTGCCATCCGGCGAGAACGAGACTGAGTAGACCGGAACAGTGTTCATCTCCAATGGTCCACCAACTGGCTGCCCCGTCGCTACATCCCACAGCCGCACAGTCTTGTCGTGCGAACAAGTCACGATGCGAGTTCCGTCCGGCGAGAACGAGACTGACCTTACACAGTCACCGTGTCCCTCCAAGGGTTCACCGACTGGCTGCCCTGTTGCCGCATCCCACAGCCGGATAGTGCGGTCGTTCGAACCAGTTACTACGCGAGTTCCATTCGGCGAAAATGAGACCGAGTAAATTGAACCAGTGTGTCCCTCCAAGGGCTCACCGATTGGCTGCCCTGTTGCTGCATCCCACAGCCGGATAGTGTGGTCTTTCGAACCAGTCACGATGCGAGTTCCGTTCGGCGAAAATGAGACGGAATAAACAGCACTAGTGTGTTCTAATACCTGGCCAACTGGGTGACCTGTTACTGCATCCCACAGCCGGACAGTCGTATCTTCCGAACCAGACACGATGCGACTCCCGTCAGGCGAGAATGAGACTGACCTAACCCAGTCAGTGTGCCCGCGGAATGGCTCACGAACAGGTTGCCCCGTCGCTGCATCCCACAGCCGGACAGTCATATCATCCGAACCAGTGACGATGCGAGTCCCATCCGGCGAAAACGAGACTGAGTTTACCGAATCGGTGTGCCCACGGAGTACATTCAGAACAACTGGCCACTTCACATTACGTCCAGATGCCAGATGAAGTGTATTCGGAAATTTTGCAGCGAATTTTGATATAGCGGAGTCTGTGGGTGAGAACGGCAGAGCTGATACGTATAGGTGCGGCGTGCTGTGTAGGATGATGCTTCCGAAGACTTGAATAAATCTCTGCACATCTATAGCGGTGGATGAAACATCTTTGTACTCGTCATGGCTCTGCCGGTCGTGTGAGCGCACATATAACATCGCTTAGTAACCATGTGCTCACCTCCAGCCACTGAACGATGAGTGGCAGGGCAGTAACTGCACCACTCAGAGCATCAATAAGGGCGAGTGCTTCAAGCCAGAAGAGTAGTCGCTCATGGTTGAAGAATAATTTGACTTCCTGTGCGAGCTCCACGTCGAAGTCTGTTTTTCGTACGTGCGCAAGCCAGAATCGACAGGAATACGACAGATGTGGGGGGATGTATCTTTGAATTCGTTCTGGAAGCTCGAGGTCTTCGCAATTAGGATAATACGAAGACTTTAAATCACAGATGTTGAAGGAAAGGTCATGTTGCATCACTCGAAGTGATGCAAAAGCAATGTCGCGCTGCACCTTCGATACGTCGATGAAAAAATCCCCACTGTATGATTGGTCCGTCAGAAAGTCACGAAAGGATGCGTGAAGAGGCCGGATGGGGGTAAATGAGTTGGTGGTGCCACTGAGGAGGGATCCCATATGTTCGACCACGACCTCCACCTCGTAATGCTCGTGTTGGTCTGGGAAACGGCTTCGCATGGCATTCAGGGACTCTAAAGGGAGAGGTTCAGCTGCGCCAAGAATTTGTCCCATCACAGAACGAAACCTTGCTAGCCGTGTTTGCTGAAACTCGGCATTTGCGTATTTGTCCTGTCGCATGATCTCTGTCAATATGAGGTCATACATATCATACAACAAGTGTTCCCGTTTGGCCGGATCGCGGGACACCACATTTATGAAGGAATCCATTGGAGAGAAGCCAGCAGGGGGTGCTTCGATAGATTCGCAAGCAAGACGTGCCCATTCGAAAAGCCCATCTGCTTTCTTAGCGAGGGCTTCAAATTCTCTGCTCCCAAAATCCGACAGTCCTTCCAACTTCTTCGACACGTACGCATAGATGTCGCCCTCCGCGGTGGCTGGTGGAATGTCGTCCATGGATATCCGTTCAATATGCCGAGCACCTGCAAATGCAGCCTCTATGTCACGGAGCGGGCGAGAGGTGACAATGATTCGAAAGTTTCTTGGGAGTTCTGTGATCTGGGGAATAGCTGCGTCCTGAAGTTTACCAGCAAGAATACGGAGAAGATCGCTTCGTGTTTTTACTGCTTTACCACTTTCGTCCAATGCGTCGATCACGATCACTAAAGGTCCCATGGTCGACTCAGGGAGCATCCCTAGCGGTTCTATCAAAAGCTTTTGCCATTGTTGGACGATGTCCACTGTGGTCTTGAGCGCATTGGCATTCTGGACTGCGTCCGCCAATGCTCGTCTCATCTCCGGATTACGGTCAGCGAGGTCGCGTGCGATGGTGGAGAAAACCTTGTCATGGCGATGGTCGGTATTTCGATCGAAGCAGTAACAAGAACCAAGTCCCCCCCACTCCGATGAACGAGCTAGCGATCGTATGAGCAATGGCTGATTTACCTGTCCCAGCAGGGCCAGAGAGCCATAGTACGCGCGGAACATCATCTCTACTGTCGTTGATCCATTCCATGATCTTGGAAAGAATATCTGTGCGCGTCCCTGGTAAGCATCGCTTCCTGCTATCGAGTCCTGCGCCCGCTGCATAATTTATACCACTGAGGTTCAATTCGTCATCTAAAGAAGTATAAATGCACATTGAATTGGAAGTACGTCCGAATCCTTACTCGTACGGTGAACGACGATGGCTACATCCCGAATGATCCGGTCCCGAGCATTTTGCATGAGCGCATCTAGCGCGTCACTGTACCGTTGAATCGTGTCATTTGTTTCGGAAAGAACATTCTTTTTCAGTCTCTCCCCTATGATAATGGTACAGGGATCAGAATCAGCAAATTGTGCAACGGGTCATGGATGACTTACAAAAGCGCTTGGTCTCCGAATAATCCCTGATAAAATGGGCACATTCAAGTGTTTGCTGGGATACCTGTCCAAGGATAGTGTGCATCGACGATATCTGGTGAAGCATCTTGTCTTCTGTCATGAAGCCGTAAACTTGACCCAACTTCTGGAGAAGGCTAAGTACAGCTTCATCGCGATACACTTGAGCAAGAACAATCTGTGCAGGTAACTACTGAGCTTGAAATGGGAACGAGAGTGAAATCAAGCATACTTTCGATGCACAAGACAACACGCCTAGTGCCATCTTTGCATATGGATGTACCTATGAAAGCGGGATTAGTGCGGTTCCGATCGAGAGGAACGGCTCGTACATTCGCGAGTGTCCCAATAACAGAGTCGAATATCTTGAGGGGTTCGAGATATGTGGCCTCGAAATTGTCTGCCTTGTTAAGATCCACTAGTCCATTTTGGCCTACAGATGCTACAAGTCCCGCAGGTCCCAAACGCGTATTCATCTGATCTACAGCATCACGGGCATTCCGAATTGCCGTGTCCACCGATTGAGAATCAGTACCTTGTTCCACAACAGAAGGGGCATTCTGAACCTGTACAAATACCAGAAGTCAGAGAGAGCGCAGAAACGAAAAGATGACCTTCCTCGATATTCGGAATCGATGAAGTAAGTTCACGATCAATTTTCGGCAGAACATGGCCACGACCGTTGGAATCCTTCAAGTTTGAGGATTTGTGTACGATCTCAGCCATACACCAGTATAACTTAGTATCTCAACTCACAATCTTCTTGATTAAAACACCGTCCCTAACCTTCCGCAGAAAGCGATGAATCTTGTTTGGGGGTCGGGCCTGAACAAATCATGCATCGGAGTCAGCGTTTCAAGTACGGTGGATAGGCAATTCTCATAAGTGACATACAGAGCTTTCACTAGTTATTGCTTCACTGTGTGTTCGGATTTCTGGAGCCAGAACTGGCCTGGAATCCCTCGATTGGTTGATATGGTCTTTTGACATGATGAATGGAAGTTGAAGTGGAGGATCAGTCTGAGCGAAATGGTAGGTGCATGCAGTGGGAGAATTTAAATCCCACGTCGTTCAAATTGTGATAGACCTACTATTGGATGACCTCCCGTAACGTTAGAACTTGGTTCTAACGTCGTTCTAAATCTAATTTAAAATCAAAAGTCCTCGTGCCGACGTGCCGCCGTCAAATGTCAGTACTTTGCAAGTCCGCACGTCAAAAAAAAAACACCCGGTTCTAAAGTGATAGGGGGGCCTACATAGCGAAGGGGATGCTATGAAGTAGGAGCACTGGGCGTTGGGATGTGGGTGGATATGTTTTGGGCAGACTCGGATGTAGGTAGGACTTATGTAAGCCGAAGATTCAGAAGAAGTGATAAAACAAGGCACAAGGCATGGATGGTGAATCTGAATGCTGGTGGACGCGACCCATCTAAAGGTGGCAGGAAGGTAATCCCCTACACTTGCGTGGAGGGTCTGAGACTCTTGAGGACTAGAAAATGAATGCCATTAATTCATGCGTGGAAATCACTTCCCTTACCGGGTACCGTGTGACGGTGTCCGGTGCTATCATCCTTGGTGAGTGAGCACCGGCCCGGGCGAGCCGTCATACTTGCGACTACTATTGTTTATTTATCTACCGCGGACGGTCCATCATGTTTTTCAAAAAACACCCTTCTATTGTCCGTCATCTGCACGATGTAAGTTATCCAAATCCAACTTTCGTGTGCCAAGTCACCCATCATGAGACCTGTATGCATAAAGGCAGCGGCCATCAAGGGATAAGCGTTGATCATGCATAACCAGGCTGTCTCTAATCAGCCATGGTTATGCATAGATATGGCACCATAGCCTGGTTTCGACAGCCTCATGTCTGCACGTGGTATGTATTTGTATTTGAAGCATTCGAGTAAGCAGATTGCCAAGATGAACGAGCAGGATGTGAAGAATATCAATGAGCTTTGGGATTCTATTGGTTTTAGATATCTGGTGTAGTTGAAAACTGAAATATTGATAGCTTCTGACAGTAACGCCAAGTTGCTGTTGGATGGCATTGTTGATGGTTAGCTGCTGCACTCACCTCTCCTTTTGTGATTACTACTGTTTCCTTCTCTCCCAGTATCGTTGCCCATCCCTATCGAATCTCTTGTTATCTCCCTCCAGTCCTCGCCGCATCCGGCATGCCTGTGGCTTCTGGTACAACAGGACCCGCAGGAACACCCACCACAGGCACTTGCACGGCCTCCATTGTGCTGTATAGCTGGCCTCCCCTGAAGGGACTTTATCACGTTGCGTGAATTGTGGGTACGCTCCGTGTTGCAATAGTTTACCTCGCATTGCAGTGCCACCATGTAATTTAGGTTGAGGCTGGTACCATTAATGATTTGTGGATTCCGGTCTTCATCAGAATTTCAAACAAGCTCTCTCAATATTTTACGGCGAAAATCAGTTCTGATATTAATGTTGATGTTTGTCAAGTTCGTCTTTGGAACGGACTGGGAGATGATGCCACAAGTCGTTTCACCTAACCTGCTCGCTCGTTCCTTAGATCTTCCAGTGCGTACATGCAAGGAGTGTGTGTATTACAACCAACGAATCACCAAATTACCTCGACGATGATGATAATAGCAATAATGATAATACCGATAATAGTACAAATGAATGAAGAGTAGCGTGTTATGTCACAGAGAATAGAAAGAATGTATGTAGGTGGAAAGATAATATGTGGATAAACGGCAGCAGATAATAAAACAGAGAAAACAATTGGTAGCAGAAGGGAAATATGGCTACATCTTATCCACGTCCTGTATCTCATTAGCCTCCCAAAAATCAGCGTCGTCATCGTCTTCGGCGGGCTCTGTGACCATGTCATTCTCTGGTAATTGAGAGAGGTAGAGTACGGGATCCGCGACAGTGGGCGTTCCATACGGCTGCGCAACCCAAGTTTCTGGGGGTGCGATCTGCACGTTCTCGGACATCGACGTGACGGGCATAGGGTATGGGTAAGAACACGTGAACGCCGTGGTAGGCACTGTCACAGGCGCGGCAGAAGCGGAACTCGTAGAATTTTTGCAAGCGTCTGCGTATGATAGCCGAGCACCCTCAGGTGCTAGCGTTCCACAACTGTTGTCCCAATGCCTCTTGCAGGCATCACGTCGGGCATAACTAATCACAACAATGTTAATTATGAGACATGCATATTTCGAGAGATGGGATACGCACGTTTTGATACAACCAGGGCATTTGTATGTCTCTAGTTTAAAGCCTAGGTGCATTCTCGTCTTAAGGTGCTTAAGATAGCTTTGAGGATTGAGTATCACGCCGTCCTTAGAACACACGAATGTCCCGTTGGGTCGACCATTTTGATCTAACACGGGTTTCTGTCCCAAGGTTTGAGAATGCGACCTCACAAGATGAGAAGAAAACTCACAAATAACGGGTCGCTCTTGAGCCTGCGGAAGGCTATCTTAGTTCGCTTGACGTCGTGTCCTTCGAGGTCTTCTGCGACGCGCTTTTGGCCGACCGACAAACTTGGCTGCTCGAGGGACAAACAAGGGAGCAAAAGGCGGTGGGAGCCCAGGCCCGTGATTCTGGTGGAGATATCCTTGGTGCGGTGGGTGTGGACCAGCATAAGTGGCACTCGAGATATCGGGTACTGCAGGGCAAGGAATGTCCATTTGGTTCTGCTTGGAATGCATGGTGCGCAACTCCAGTATCCACACCAGGCGGAGGTGCGACGGGCGCGTATGGGGGAGCGGCACCATGCGGCGCATTAGGCGCCATACCGTAAGGGTAGTAGAAGCCTGGATGAGGAATGTATGCGAGATGGGGCCAAGGAAACTGATCTATATGCATGCCAGTGTTTGGCGTGTATTGTGCCACATTGGAAGAATCAGGAACCATTCGACGAGGGGGGAATTGGATGTGAATTGGGTCATCTAGAGGTGAGAAGTAAATATAGTTGGAAAGCGTAGGTGTTGAAGGTGGGGATACACGTACCTGGGCTAGCAGATTATTTATTGAAATCTTAAGGAGATGTGTACGCGTTCGCAGTGGCAGTAAGTGCAGTGGGTAAGGGATAGAGGATGAAGGCTACCGAAGCAATATTTATATGCTTGTCCAGAGCCGCTTTGAAGGTGTCCTCGAGTTGTGTTTCCACTGCAGGGACCTCCCTTTCAGGGAACATTTCCTATGGACCACCATTATCCATTAAATGGGACAGTGGTCTTTTGGCACGATGTGAGCTTTGCATCCAAGCTTCAGGTGTCCGTTCATGTGGCAAGTCCGCGATGCAAAGACGAGAAGTGCGCTTTGGATGTGCTGTGGATGTTTGTGCCCTCCTGATACTGACGATCCGATCGGAGTATATTTTTGGCTCTGGCTCTGCCAGAGGTTGAATAATCATAGATCCATTGAAGGTCCATTCACATAAGCGATGAAATCCATCAGATCGTGTCTTATATTGGTGCTTTGGGAGATACAGCCTACGCAGTGAACTGGTCAACAATAACAACAACGAACAAACCTACGTGAGGTGCAAGGGACGATGCAAAACTTGATGCATACCTCTCGTATTACCTTGTAAACGCACTACTTAAGAGACGGCTCACCAGCATCTGACTCGAGAAGACTCAAGCAACAAACGTCATGGATAAGAATACTCTCAGTGCACTTCCTTGTAAGTACTCACACTTATATTTCGTTTCCTCATTAACACATCGCTATATCCTGTTACCTTACTGAGACCCTACAACTGTTCGCTTTTTAGTGTCTATATGAAGAGCAACAAGAAAATACCAATTGCAAGGAATGTCTTCTGGTCCGGAAGGAGCAGTGATATAGTGAATTGGTCAGAGAGCGAAAAATCACTTGCCGTTATCATCGACTCCAGGGAGCCAGTGAAGAACTCCTTCATCGTTTAACATTCGTATCGGGCATTGTTTTGCACCACTGCAGCCCGCGAACACAGTACACCGTACAGAAGCGACACCCATATGTCCGGGCACAGCTCGAGTCCAGAAGTCTGGATCGGATGGAGCGACAGCATGTGCAGGAAATAACTGGATATAAAATCTGCGTCATTGGTGAGCAGAAAGTGGTACCTGAGAACACGGAGGCATTTTCGATATCTGCAATGTACACCGAGCGCATTGGTATAGATTTTTGAAGTGCGGCCAAACGTCGACCAGGTAATATTTCATCATTCACGGTTCAAAGGCTTTCCATACCGATGTTTCAACCATGGGTGAAGCTCGGTTATCATTTGGTTGTCATATGACCTCCCTACTCTCCTGTCAGTGCACCTTACAGCTTGCGGTGCGCGGTGTTTATCAGAAATCCCCTGCGTCGTTTTTGATGAGGTTTCTCTTGACAATACTCCCATTAACTTGGCAATGGTTTTGGATAGTATGATGTCAGAGGTTTAGACACGCATTTGAATGGATTTTAGACGGGCGTCGACGTGGATGTAGCAGAATTTGGTGGAAGAGGAAGAGAGTGACTTGAGTTTGTTGATCTCGATTCTCGGATCATTAGCACGGATGCGGCACGGTGCGGCACGATGCGGCAAAATCCTAAGGCCCGTCATGATGAATAAGAAAGGACTTGAACGCGTAAACAATCATCAACAACGCGGTCGAACAACATCTTGAATGTCAGAAGCGTCGAGCTCTTGTCTCTCATATTCACTCTCCCTGCCAGAGTCTTATATCCTCTTAGATGGACTCAATTTCTCAGCAAACCTTCTGGCTAACAAAGACCTCTTCCACAATCCACTTGCACTAGCACTCGAGAGCATGCGCGGTCGTCCCTCTCTCAGACTAAAAGGCACGGAATCGCTCAAGAATATATGCAGACCCTTCAGATGACGTCTGTACACTATGGCTTCAATTGCTTTCCAGGAGCGCGACTATGTGCCGACTAGCAGTAATGTGTGAAATGGGAGATTCTCGATATGAACTCATTTGCGTTTATTCCAAGTTTCGTCATGGTGCTTAGATATTTAATTTATTGAAATTGGGTGTACTGACGTAGATTTGAAAGATAAACAGGTCTGGGCAGACGAATATATTGTTGTATCAGTTGTCCTTATCGACACCGCCAGCGCATCGTCTCCCTGACGCGAGCATGACTGCACTTTTTGATGCAGGACGCATGCAGTGCTGATGGGGCACAAGTTGTACTGTGATTATAACGTTAGTGACTCATCAACAACGCCGTCGAACAGCGATGTTACTGTCGACTCAGAGCCCCAGACAACTGTCAGAAGCAATCAATATTTCAATCTTCAACTACACCAGATATTTGAAACTAATCTCCCGAATCTCGGTGATATCCTTCACATCCCGCTCCTTCCTCTCAATCTGCTCATTCAAATGCTTCAAATATAAATACATACCACCAAGCATGCCTGTCGAAACCCCAAGTGCAGCAATGCAGATGGCATAGGAATAACGATATGTAGGGCCCCAGTTCGTCGGCCATGCGTATCTATGTGGAAAGTGCAGTCGTGAATAGTTAGCGAGAGCAAGAGATCGTTGACAAGGTCACTGACGATCCAATAACATTGCCTATCTGCCCCATTGCGTTCACCAAAGCAATAGCAACGGCGCGCTTCGCGGGTTCTCTGGCGAAAGTGTTGTTGATCCACCCTAAGACCACCAGGTATCCAGTAACGGTTTGAGCCACCAGGAACCTGTATGATTCTGAGTACAAGAGTGGTGCCCCACAAGTGGCGATACTACTCACAGTGAAATATAGCGCGCAGCCTTGTTCATCGTAAAGATCGACACGATGAATGCAAGGGCGCCGAATGCATTGGGAATAACAAAGTATTTGTAACGCCTCTGCTTCTTGTCAGAATGCCTGATCTCCGTGAGATGCAATTTTCCGATAGAAATGACTCACTAACCATGTAAGAATAAATGCGACTATACCTGCAAACACCCACGGAGGAGCACAAAGCAACAATGTTATAGTCGTGTCGTATCCCAGTGTCGCGCACAGCGTTGGGAAGTAAGCGAAGAAAGACTGCCCCACTATCTGGAACATGGCCGCAACTGCAAACCACCACACCTTCCAGTCAGACACAGCATCCTGCAGTCCTTGCATGGTCGTCTGCTTCCCAAGCTCGTCAGCCTTACCATAGCCATCATTCGCAAGGCGAGAGATAGCAAGTGCTCTTTCCTCCGGAGTGATCCACCTGGTGTTGTGCGGGAAATCAGGGAGTATGAATATCGCGCAAATCGCGACCACGATAGTCATGCCGCCTTCAATAAAAAATAACCATCTACAGATTATTCAGCTCTAAGCATTAATAGAGAGACGATTGTCACCTGCCTCCATGCAGCTTGACCAAGTTTGTCCTGCATGCCGTGAAGTATAGCAGATGCAAGCAGAGATCCGAATGCAGAGCTGAGAAAATTTCCACAAGAAACGAGAGCTATTCTCAAGGCGAGCTCGTCCCGCTTGTACCATTTAGATACAAGAAATATCATACCGGGGAAGAAGGGTGCTTCAGCAAAGCCAAGAAAGAAGCGGGCGACAACAATCCCAGTATAACTTGGGTCAAACAATCAGAGACTCGATCTGAACCATGCAAAACAAGGATGTGTACTTCGTTGTGATCCCTGAGCACTATTAGCAGTCATCTTCATGAACAATCAGTGTCGACAAACCTGTTAACACTGATATTGTACCCCATGCTATCATACAGGACGGAATGATGATAGAAGGCTTCTCCAGCCAGTGCAGGAACATGTTCCTGAAGAAAAGTTATGTTCGGCTGTCTCTCGATGAAGGACGAAACTCACCCTGGGACTTGCATGACAATGTATCCAACATATAGGATGGACAAAGTCGTGGCGTATTGTTGCCCATGCAGGTGCAGGTCTTTCTCAAAACCTTGTAACCGAGCGTTGCTGTAGATGCCATAAGATTAATACAAGTACAACAGTATGTAACACACCTAATATTGGATCTGTCAATCTAGGGTACACAGTAAGCATCAGAATAGAGTTCGCAAAAACCTCGGACCCACCAGATTCAGGGTTTGTAAAATCAGTAGTATGGACATGCGCAAATCAAGCTTCCTCAGTAATCTCCTCTCAAGGTTATCACGGGCATGAGAGGGGACACCTTTTGACAAGTCGTTAATTGTATCGATGGCGTCAACCTCTGTTGGATCGTTGAGAGTGGACATCCTTCAAGTTAAGGGGAAGGGGGGAAAACGCGACATGTAGGCTTGCATATCTCCTGGCGATAAGTAGGTGGGAAGAATGGTGCGAAGTTGATTACAGCTGGAAGCCATAGGTCGTCTGCCAACGTTCCAATTTAATATTGACTGCACCATCGATTGATCAAACAGCAAATCAGGCTGCTCCACCTGTAGTTCACCCAATCCTGGCGATGTGTCGGATCAGCGGCTCTGGTAATTGGTTTGGCTAAATGGTTATGCTGAAGGATGAAACAGATGGTGCACAGAACTCCGTGGCAAGAACATAGTCATCATCCGTCAGAAGCCCCGTGCCGGGCCAGCGGATGTACAGTCCGGAATATGTAACCTATAGGCATATCAGTACACCCCTGGAAATAGTTGATGAGACTGACACTTCTCGTGACGGCCTGGATCCTTTTAACTAATAACGACCTGCAAGTGGTTGTAGATTCTTAGTCGAGACTCGTCCGAACCGCTGGAAGTACATGTGCAACCATCGATGTACCGAAGCGTGAATGAAGTGGATCATGATGACGATGAACCAGGGGTCCCAAGGGCAGGAGCTACACACCAAGGGCCCTTTCCACAGCTTGGTCAGCACGTAGACTAGGTTTCACCATGTGCGTAGCTAGCATCCATCATCATCACAGCTTGTCTGCCTTGCTCTGGGCTTAGGCCGCTGGCCCTGCTCCAACGGGGATTCAAAGCGGATGAGATAGACATGATGTATTGACTCTTCAGAAGGAGAGGTATAATTCCACCCCTACGTTGTCAATGATACTTCTGCCGACAACATTATTTAATTATTAGCCTCGCTCACGTCCCTTACTTGAAGCTGGAGCTTATCATTTCCATTTTAAGAATCCTGAATTTCGCTTTGCTACGCACGACTGATACGGGATTGACTGTTAGACGGTATAAGTCATGGCAAGTCTGTTGAAAATGAAATGAGCATCTGAGGCGCGACTGTCGGATATGACAAGTACCTAAAACCACGGCTCGAGTGATTTTTAGAATAATTAGGGCAGTACTCCAGGAGAACGTTGGGACAGACGTTCCTATTCCGGGTGACCATGTGCGGCAGCAGCCGTCTTACCAGATGATCGCAATGTTCGATGTCGAGAAGAAAAAAGTAAGTTGCCGCCCATCACGATCGGGACGAAGCGACAGTTTATTTTTGTATTATGGAAACCCTGACGAGAGAGCATAGCTGGCCTAGTCTGCATGATATTGACAGTGTCTGGACCAAGTCTGGACTCTGCAAATGCGAAGTTCGTCATGATGGGGCTCAGGTATTTTCAAAAAAGATGTCCGGAAATGATAAGAAGGATGCAGACTAAATATTTAGCAACCGTGAAGAATGGGAAAAAGAGCCGGCGAAACGTGTACTGCCACCAGACTAGTCAAATCCTTGGCTGCTGCTTGGTTGCGTCATGTTACGCACGTGTGGACGGTACGTACTACGTATGGACGATATACACATATAAGGCAGTTGTTGGGTAGGGTGCGGCACGGTGCGGTACGATGCGGCAAAATCCTAAGGCCCTTAGCATCCGAATCCCGATATGCTCTTGTTCAAACGGTTTGTCCAGTACTGTTCAAGGTTCACCGGCACCTCACATCTCTTGAGCTTTACAAACGCATATATTACTTGTCCTACACAAGTAACTGTTCAAGAACCCAACCCAACGCGAACTTGAAGCTGGTTGAGTCTAGCGAGTTTTCAAATGAGACTAAACTAGCTCTTCGTCATTTCTGAGTAGGATCATCACCTTCACTTTTCAGCTCATTGATTGTGATTATGCTGTAGACTCTCCTCGAAGACGAGTCTCACGCTCTGAACTTTATCCCGACTGGCAATCTGTCTCGTGGGTGGTCAAGTCGAAAATTTGCCGCGTTCTGTCCAGTGTTCTCAATATTATCTCTGCAACTGGGGCCAGTCCTACTTCCCATCGAGGTTATCGGTGCCCGTGTTCCTCGTCATCTCCATTCCAGTCGTCATCACGTCTGGTATGTTTGTGGCCTCTAGTACAATCAACGCCCGAGGAGGTCCCTCATGGACTCCACAGGAAACAACACGGCTTCCATACTGCCGCGTCGTTGGTCTCCGCTAAAGGGACTTTATCGCACTGACTGTATCGATTGAATTATTTCAAGTGAGCGAAGTGGGTTTGAGGGAACGAATGCTGCTGTAGTAATTTCCCTAAGTATCAACACAAAACGCGCTGGGGATGAGCGCCCGGGGCCAGCTACGATATTACATCAATGTATGACTACTGTACTTTCATCCCCTGCCTTCATCTCTGGTTTCACTGTTCGTTTCTTCTTCGCTGTACTTGTTCCCTTCTTCTTTGCACGTGTGACTTTGATGGGCTCTGGAGTGCTCGTGCGTAGTTCGTCATCAGGAACTTCGTATGATTGGAAAGAAGGAAGGGGAGGTGGAGGCGTCGCGGTGACGTCAAATAGGTTTGGAGTTTGGCGCCGTGAGGATGGCACGGGAGTTGACGGTTGCGGCGTGATGACAATGCCCGCAGGCATCTCGCCCCCTCTTTCCACGACAAACGATGGAGGAGTGGATCGTATGGACGCGCTGCTTCTCAGCCCAGGAAGGCGGGGTTCCTCTGCAAGGGCGTCAGTCATGTTCATGTGCGTGGAGAGAAATATACCTGGTAGTGGTAAGGGACCGTCTAGTCGGACAACGGGGATTGAATCGACATCCTCTGCAGGTGGCTTCTGAGGTCGGTCGTCCACGATATAGTATGGATCGTCCCGCATTCGTTCCAGCCGCTCGGCCTTAAGCTGTGGAATATTAGTCAAGTCGAAATGATGCAGAGATTGTGGTCAATGCATACCCTCTCTCGTTCAGCCTTTTCTTCGGCTGTCTCTTCTTCTTGCGGTGCAAGCTCCTCCTGGTAATGCCCCTCCTTCTGCTTCTTCTTCCCGCTCTTAACCTTTGTCCTGCTTGCAGACTCCTTCTCCTTCCCTTTCTTGTTCCTCTTGATCTTCCGCTCAGTCACCTCACCGTCGTCACCCTCTTCCGCAACACGATCTTGCATTGACGGCACAATCCATGCGTCCAGGTCAAGCCCTTCAGGAACGGCCACACTCGCTTGCGCGATGGATGCAACAGGATTAAGTTCGTGCGATGAGAAGAGTGGTTGAATAAGGTAGAGACTCTTTGGAAAAGTCGGTTCTAATACGGGGTCGAAGGCGGCTGTACTCGGGTCCGAGAACCCATTTTCCTGCTTTGGTTTGTACATCGCTACATCGCGCTTGATGAAGATGAGCAGTTGAAGGACGTTCGCAGCCTACAATAACATTGAATTGATTAATTTGCGAATCCCTGATCATTGTGATCCTCATCACTCACACGTTCTTGGACTTCGATCTGGGTGCTCGATGCAAATTGTTCCATCTGTTCAATCATGATATCAACGGCTTTCTTGAGGTCTTCGAGGAAGCTCTCTGTCCACTGCTTTGCCGCTTCTGAAGCCCAGTATCCGAAGAGCTTTGTAGCCGATTGTATGCACACAGCAGTTATATCAGGCCTCAAAGACGCAATCTCTGGCTGGAGTAAGTAGGGAATAAGTTCGTCTGGCGCAGAAAGCTCGCTGTGGTATGATCGATCAACATATAGGAAGAGAGTGTATTATTAAAACGCACCCGCAGTACTCTCCGCATATCCAAGCCGCCGCCCACAGCACCTCGGAACAGCTACCCTGCTCACCTGCGTGTAGCAAGAACGTATCATCAGACAATACCTTCACCATCAACTTAACTGCATAGCTCCTAGCCGCTCTCACGCGTCCGACAACGTCTACTAGTTGGTCACGAATTTGCGTGCCAATGTCGACGTTCGATACGTATGCGAGGTCAACGAGGACCGAGAGGTACCATTCAAAATCGATGACATTGTCATAGGTGTTTTGAGAACACATTGTCATGATCCTCTGTGACAGGACAAGGCGGTAGGCGGTGGACTGAGATGGTGCACCTGGGGATTTTGCAGGAGTAGACGGGATGATGTGTTGAGATAGGGATTGCACTGCAGACTGGGAATAGGCGGAGGACTCGGGCTTGACAAGATGTGACAACACCTGCTGCACAATTGATTGTAGATTGTCTCGATTGACCTGTAGAATTGGTATTATACAGGAAGAAGGAAGTCTCACGATAACTTACGAGTGCTGAGAGCAGATCTAGCGCACGCATACGGATGCTGATATCTTCATCGTCGACACTGGAAAGGATTGTATCCTGGTGCTCTGCGACCAAATGGGGATGTGTAGGTACAATCTTCACCATTGCAAGTAAGGCAATGTACTTCACTGTAGCTCAGTTAGTCGCACCCATGCGAAGGACAAAGTAAATCACAGACGATTCTGATCCGGATCCTTCGATAAATGCTGCGAGTTTTCGACACACACGTCCGCGCAAGCGAGTCGCCAGTATTGCCTTGTAGCATATTACCGATGATACATGTGTGTACACACTCGTATAGAAGGGATATCGCGGACTGTCGTGGATATGAGGTCAGTGATCGGTGGTTGGCAGTTTCTTTCACTAGCCGTGGTTCATGAGGAGAGAGAGAACCAAACTAATAAGAGTAAGCGGGCCCGTAAAAAGCAAGCGAGGGTCCATACCAACTTGACGATTTTGATGAGCATCCAGTTGTTAGACGATGTGGTTAGGAGATGGAAGAGCTGCGGGGCGAGCGGAAGGTAGTCTTGTGGGTTTCTCCGGGCGAGCTCACACAAGACATTTACAGTCGCGCAGACCACACCTGGGAGTGTGCCTTGGTTAAACAGACAGCTTGATATCGTCTAGCGTGGGCTGACCTGGATCCGAATCTTCTAGCTTTTCCTGCAATCGGCCGATACCATGATGGAGAGCATCAGGGTACTTCTGGAACACCCTGTACATAGCAGCAACTGCTCTCTTGCGTATGTGGGGTCGGGAGTGGTTGAGCATACCGACCAATTCAGGACTGAGGTCGCGTGCAAGGTCTGCAGTCATAATAGAAGAAACACCGTTTAGAGTGACTGCGACATCTGCAGGCGTTGAACTTAGATCCTAAATGTAATTCAATGGCGTGCTTTACAGTAAAGGGCTGGACCATCTGCCTCCCACCTTCTTGAGCAAATTGGTAGTCAACATCAACACGTCCGTGTCCTCATTGAACGACTGGACGGCACCAAGATATCCCACACTCTTGATATGAATCTTGGGGGACGACATGACTTCTACGATGTGAAAGGAAGCCCAGCTCATATCATATCCTAGCATGTCCAGCTACAAAAGGATGTCAGGCTCGAAGCTAGTCGATAGTAAGAGCAGCGCACATATGTAAGTTTCATAACAGCACCAGCCTTGAGCGCCATATCCTTGCTCTTGATTTCACGCCTGATCTCGTCCATGGCCTGTCCAATGAATTTGCTTTCATCGTTCTTGTTGGCCCGCAAGCCACGAATGAGATCCTGGAGCGTGCGCTCCCACATGGTAAGAATCGACGGTTATCAGCCCCGGAAAGTGTGTGGTAGATGTGTTGTTGAGCTTGACAGGTGCGTAGACGAGCTAAACCGACGACAAATCACATGATAATCGTCAGTAAGTCCACCCTGACTCCTAGGTGATGATACAAATATCTCACAGGAGGGTTCGCCCGTCTCGCAATCCTTCTTCCTTGAAATTGTCACTTATGGTGTATACTCACCTTATTCGCGGCGTTGCAGGCTGCTCCAGGGATACAGCAGTCTAACTTACATAATAACTCATTGCGGATTTATTTTGGTCTCGTGATCATTACGTAGAACGCGTTGTTTGTGGCAATTTATGACATCCTCCTTGTATCGTACCATCAGCATCCCACAGGAATGTACTCCGTCTGACGTGTACGCTGGTGTATCCTGATAACACCATTTAACCTGCGTTATAGGATATTACACTAATTATAATCATCACCTTTAACAGCCCTTCATCATTACGCCAACTGGCCGCAACATAGCATTTTCATTGATTCCTGTCTAGAACAGGACTGGCCAGAGTAATTTAAGGCATTGTTTTATTCCCTGAAAACTTCGATGGATCCAAGTGCGCAGTCCGCCATATGTCCGTATGCTGCTTGCCACTGTCTTCTGGTATCCAGGAAACATGACAAAACCTGCCAACAATTTGAAAGTCAAGTTGAATAATACAATCCTTATGTTCATCTCATGCGTGAAATTTACCCCTTTGATTCGTGGCTCCGTTAGTTGACCATGAATCTGTCCGTCGCCCTTCGAGCTCTCCAACGATCTACGAGGCGAACGCCATGTCCGAGTCAATATGAAGTTCAAGAACGGAACAGTAGGACAGCAAGTTCTGCCAGCTTAAGATGTGTAGTAACAGGTGTTGTCACTTTCAGCTCATTCATCAAGAAACTAGCTGTCAGTACTGCATTTTTACCGTCACCTTTGAACAGCTCTGGGCTAATGGGGATGTTAAACCCACTGGCAGTGGACTACGATCAGCTCCACGAACGATTGGCGCTTGTCATGTAACCAGACGGTCCTTCGGTCTTTCCTACACAGGTTGGGCAATACGTCCCATAACCGGAAGGCGCTGAAGGCTGAGAGGAAATTGTGAGTCATTTGGGTTTCGTTCGGGCATTAGATGTACTTTTCGACTGGATGGAGAACACTTACACTAGTGCGTTGAAGGCATCAAATGATTTGCAGAGGTTGTGAGCATGGTGATCGCTACGGTATCTAGGGGCCGGTCCAGTGGCACTGGTGGGCGAGTAAGGTTAATGGATAACTCTAGTAGGAGCGTTCATATGGTACTACAGCCGCATTAAGATTCATAAAGATTGCATTTAACTGGTTCCATTAATGATGCGAACAGTGGCAGTGAGAGTGAGTACAACGACGGTGATGCAGTCGCAATATATACCAAGAGTTCCAATAACGATGCAAGTCTGATATCAAGACGAAGAGGATTAAGGACGAAAGCAGTAGCAAGGAGGGGGATGGGCAAATTAACCCAAGAGGAGAGGTAATGCTATAGAAGGGCTTCGCCATCCTTACCTGAAGCGACGAGCTCGTTCCAATTTTGACGCCATCGCGCCATCTGCGAACGCAGCTTTTTATCGCCGAGCATGCGTTCTATCCAGGATAGAAGCGAGTCGTCGTCTTCGGGTACGAAGAAAGAGGATAGAAGGGAGAGTATGGTTTCGAAGTTGGCGGAACTGGATGTAATGTGATCTATTGATTGAATTAAAATAAGGACCACTGGATGAATAGAGAGCGACATGCCTCGATAGACCCATACGATGGAGATTGCCACCGCAATGAAAAGGTCTTCCCCCTCTAAGAGATACGCATCCCATAACCGGAGCTGCGTCTGAAAAGGGACCGAATTGGCAAAAAGCGTAATGTACCACTTTGTCGCGTATGAAGTCGTAGAAATCATGTGTTTCTTGAACGCAGCGTATACGTCTGGCATCTTCGATTCCATGATTCGTTCTTGAACGTAAATGGCCTGCAACAATCCTGGAAAACCCGGGGAAAAGATGGTGTGCATGTTGTAGGTATCATGTAAGCGGGAAAGGGCGGCATAAACTTTTTCAGGCTCGAAGTAGCATAGGAGAGTCGCGGCTATGGGACCCATGCCCTGCACGTAGCCACATTGATGGCATTGTAACGAGAAGGAGTGTAGGACGTGGAACAGGGAACGTTGACTGAAGTGAGGGATCAACCATGGCAAGATCAAAGTAAGTATTAATACGTACCCAAGTCCGTACCGCGTGTGAAACATGACATGGCCGCTGATGGTTCTTGGCACATCCAAGTCAATCTGAATGTCGTAGCTTGAGGGCTTCTCCAAGCCCTGCAAATAATGGTTTCCGAGCTCCTCAATCGCCTTACGTCCGGATTTCGAAAACCGATTCATGAGAACCTCCCAAGCTGCCCTTCTCCACCTGTCAGGGATCCCCTTGTATACCCTCTGGCGAAGCTTGTGCGCTTTCGATGCCTTGACACCCCACGATTCTACATTTCCGCCGTCATCTCGACTAAGAACTTCCAGCATCCTGTCCCACTTGGCAACCCGCATCTGTTCCTTGAGCGGAGATGAAGCTGCGGGTAATGAGCTGACGGACACAGCATGGCTCGGGGCTGATTTCGAACCAGCCCTGACTGAAGTTAATCGTTTAAGCAGAGGACCAGATGGGAGTAGAACCAGTCGATCGTGAGATGGTACGATGAAGAATCCATAGCTAGTTGCAAAACATGAGATTTAAGAGGATGTGCTCCCCTAATCCAATCTCACCGATCTAAGCTTGACAGCACGTTGAGCTCTTCAGCTTCAAGGTCTCGTGATTTCTCTGAGGGACCAGCCAAGGCAGCCTCCGCGCGTAGTTCGCTTCCTCTACTGGCACGAATTCGTGCGCGTGTACGTTCCACGCCCTCCTCGTAGCCATCGCCTCTGACACCAATCGCGTCGAGGTGTGCATACGTACTCCGCACGTGGAACGCATCCAGGTCTTCACCTTCTGAGGGCGCCAGCGACGTTTTGCTAGAAGGACTGCTTAATTTCGATGGCTGTTTAGTGGTGGGAGAAGAGGATGGCGTTTGAGAGGATGGTGGGATTAAAGAAGACGTTGGCTGTGGGGGGGTGAGAACCAAAGTAGGTTCAGGGACATGGCGTTCTCTACTTCTCGGCAGTGATGGTGGGCGATTATGGGGAGGCGTAAGATGTGATACACGAAGCGAAACGGCGTCTAGATCAATTGAAGAACTACATGAAGTGAGAGCACTTTGGGAACGAGTTGGGATGGGAGGAACGCGCTTGGAACGTGTAGGAAGCTCCAGAGTGTCTCTTCCATGAGAATTGGCATGATTTGAAAGTGGGAGTGGATAGGACGAGTTAGCAGAGCCATTCGAGGTCGCCGATAGCCGTGTCTGATCATGAGGATTCGACAATGTACCAAAGGGCTTCATGTCTGAGGACAGGTCGATAAAACTGGTGTCTGTATTGGAAACATAGGAAGTCCTCTGATTAAAAAAGTTACTGTAACGGAAGCTGTCCCCCAAGGACAAGTCAAGTTCTTTGGAAGGATCCTCGAAGGTTGAAGAGGCAGTCCAGCTGGTTTGCTCTTCGTCGTCACCGTACATAGAATATATGGTAAATATGGCAGATTCTGTTGAACTGCGTTCTCTGTTTGTCGATGATGATGAATAAAGCTCTGGGACGGAGGACGCTGTCGATGATGGTGATGACCTCGGATAACGACTTGGTGATTGTTTTGGTAGCGCAAGAGTGGTCGACGACGACGGGGTCTCCATAAAATAGAGAAGTTAGGCAAGAAAAAGAACTTGAAGAAGAAGAAGAAAAGGGAATTGAATTGAAGGAACGTCGGAGGAAGAAGCTTGGGAAAAGTGTTAATACGCCCTTTGAGAACTTTGGATGAGAGATTTGGATGAGAGATTTCAATGAACGCCGATTCAGGCAAATTATTAAGGTCACTAGTAACGGTCAGTCTGCAACAGCCACACCGCAGCGCTGGCTGCCAGCTGGCATGGCAATTCACTCATTCTCTACGTTGCCTGCACATAGCAATCTCAGACAATTTCATACAAGAGCTTGACCAACAATGGATATGGACAAAGCCCGGTTTCATGATATACTACACTTGCATTCACAGAGTGAGAAGTACTGGCGGCCTAGTAGTGTTCGTGGGCAATGACAGTCTACGGCCATTCAAGCGGTCTCAAATTGACAGACCTTGGGACCCACCCATAACTCATCGATGCATCCTCGAGCGCGTGGCCAATAGTGTTGTAATACGGTGTCAATGTCAGTTGATCCTCTCCAAATATCAATTCGGACCGGCACTGATCTTAAATCTCCCGAAGTGCCCACATGTGACGCACAACATCGTACACGTCCTCTTCTGCCGAAGTGGCCACTCAGTGCCAGCCGCTATCAACACTATATGTAGCGATGAGATTAGTCCATAGACCGTCCATTCCAGGCAATTAAAGCCCCAGCGCCACTGACAAAGGGCTAGCTAGCCACTGGCGATTACTGAGATCGTCAAAGACGACGTGGAAAGCGGCAATGTATGGCAAAGCAGAAGCGATACTCCGGACGATACCTTACTGCTGGTAAGACAAAAAGTAGGACAACAAACTATTAAACTGAATATCTAGGTCCCTTAGAGCAATAGTCGACGAGGCCAAACTTCCCGATTTGAATTCCAAGGCACTCCATGGACTCCATAGAATAAGTACGATGGGCTCAGTCCATAGACCACCCATCCTTGTCTGGTATAACCTGCGCTCAGAAGCAAGAGCAAAAACCCTCAAAAACGTTCAGCGGCGGAACACTCTGGTCAGTTGCATGTTTGTCACGATCTGATATGTAACGTTCAGAACAGAGAACATGGTAAATCTCTCCAGCGCCTCTATACAAAGAATGACTGTCTTCCTTCTATTGGTCTACCTAGTGGAGACTAAGC